TGGAAAATCTTCGACATCAACAGTAAAGAAACAGTCGTAGCACGTGATGTCCTTTTCTACGAGAACCTCACCCTCGACGTTCACCTCGCCTACGTAAGAGCAAACAGACCTGATCCCTCGGGCGGATTCACTGGAACCCGAGCCTTCGCTTCGGCAGAAGACGAAGCTGACTGGGACGAGCAGAACGTGGACGGAGCCTCGGAAGAAGCCGGACCACTACCGTACTGCTGGGTGGACGTACCAATGGACGACGACAACCCTCGCGAAAGCATCAACGCCGAAGTCTTCTACAAGTTCGCCGACGACGGTTACGTTACACCCGAACAAGTCAACACCAACGAAGCAGAACGCGTAGGGCCCAATTTCGCACCTGATCCAGAAGCTGGAGACGAAGCAGTCTATCCCGAGGACACCACACTTCCCCGCTACACACAGAGTGGACTTCAGATACTCGGGCTCGTCACCGCAGTCCACGGCGCCGCCATTCCTAAGGAGCCTGCAACGGTTCAGCAGGCTCTGGGGGGGGAGCATAGGGAAAAATGGCGCGAAGCCATGGACAAGGAGCTGAAGGCATTAGAGGAACGCAACACGTGGAAATTCGTTCCTATCGGCGTAGCACGAAACAAGACTATACTCACCGGAAAATGGGTCTTCCGAGTGAAGACGAAAGCAGACGGCACCATCGACAAGTTCAAAGCACGCTGGGTCGTACGCGGCTTCGACCAAGAGCACGGGCGCGACTTCACCGAAACCTTCGCTCCGGTCAGCCGCCACACCTCGCTCCGAATTCTCCTCGCGATCGCCGCCATGAAGAAGAAGAAACTGCGGCAAATCGACATCTCGAACGCGTTTCTTTACGCACCTGTAGATGCAGAAATCTTCGTCGAACTACTGCACGGGTCCCACGGAGAGCCCAACCAAGTCTGCCAGCTGCTCAAATCGCTCTACGGCATCAAGCAGGCTCCGCGACTGTGGCAACAGTACCTGCACGCTCGTCTCATCCGCATCGGCTTCAAACAACTGCCGCACGATCAGGGCATGTACCGGCTCACGAAGAACGACGACTACATCCTGCTAATCGTCTACGTGGACGATCTCCTCTACATCGGGTCAACTGACGGCATCACCACCTGGTTCGAAGGGGAGCTGCAGCAAGACCTCACACTCACGGTCTCGCCTACCGTCACTCAGTACCTCGGCCTCAACATCCGAGAAGAAGAGGACGCAATCTACCTCAGCGCCGAGAAGTACGCCGACACTATCGCCAAGCGTTTCGCTCTTACGCCGACCGCGACCTCCACGCCATATCGCTACACTACAGGAACCGACAAGGGAGGATCCGCTCCACTCAAACCCGCCGGCATACGCGACTATCAGAGGAAGCTAGGATGCCTCCTCTTCGCAGCCGTTACCTGCCGTCCCGACCTCTCATACTCCGCAAGCCAGCTCGCCACCTACCTCAAGAAGCCCGAAGCAGAACACCTAGCGGAGCTCGACCGCGCTCTTCACTACTTCATCAGCACCCCGACGATCCGCTTAACCTACCACAAGAACGCAACTACACCAACTAAGCTAATCGGTTACGTCGACGCCGATCACGCCGGCGACTCCGACAACAGGCGCTCACGCACCGGCTATGTCTACCGCCTCGAACCTATCGGACCTATTTCCTGGCAGTCGAGCAAGCAGGAGTTAATCGCGCTATCTTCAGCTGAAGCAGAATACATCGCACTCTGCTCAGCCACCAAGGAAGGACTTTATCTTCGCGAGCTGCTGGAAGAAGCGAAGTTGGCCGAGTTACCTAACTTCACCCTGTTCTGCGACAACCAGTCGGCAATTCGCATCGCCAACAAGAACGGCTTCGCGAACAGGACGAAACACATCGCCCTACGCTACTTCTTCGTGAAGGACGAAATCGAGAAGGGGAGACTTCAGCTGTCATACTGCCCCACGTCCGAGATGGCAGCCGACTATTTGACCAAGAAGCTCGGAAAGCAGAAATTCGAGTACTGCATGCTGCTGACTGGACAGAGCCACGTCATCAGCAGCGACACTCCAGAAGCGAAGGGGAGTGTTGGAAACAATAAAACTTAAGCGCTTCAGTCGTGTCGAAACATCGCACCAGAAGTGAATTAAACAATACCGAAGCAAGCGCGAGTCAACCCTCGGAGGTTGAGAGGTTGCTGGAGGTTACGCGAAAGTCAAAGGTCAAGCGACCTTTGACCCGACAAGTACAGCGCGACAGTTAAGGACACACAACTGACTCGTTACAGAGCAGTTGCCCGAGTCGTACTGTATCGAACCGCAACAGCAACAGTAAAGTAGTTATAACCGTATCCTTTCATATTCCTTGTACTATTATATAATCTTGTACTTCTTTGCTATAATCAATCTACTTTGCCCTCACATACTAGCGCAAGGTGGTTCACAAACTCTTCATTAAACGCTTCCGCTATTACAAAAGTTCCTACCCAGAGTTCACCCCTGAAACGATCCTAACGGCTTATTTCAGCCCAACAGAGGCTCCCGAGCCGCATGCCATCCGACTGGGGTTTAGTTTTTTTTTTGCCCGCGGGCAGATCGCTTCCGCGGAAAGGCTCGCGGATTCGCCCGTGGTTCACTGTTTCTGCTTCGTATGAACCTCCGATTTCATTTTCGGGCGCTGCCTCGCACATAACAACAACGAGCCATGGAGTGCGCGGAATTACCTTTGTCAAGCTGTGATTGGGTGTCCTCCTTATTGGTTTCATCCACTACAGTATTCCTGGACAGCAATGAGCTTTGACGAATAAATGTTTGTGGCAAAATGGGAAAATGACGTGCAACCACGTCATCGAGATTTTCCGAATCGAGGGTGGCCGCAATCACCCTCATCAGCTGTGGCTGGGATGCCGCCATGCTCCCCCCCACCACCCAGGGAGGGACATTGTCGGAGAAGGTGATGGGGCGGATTCATCAGCAAGTGCTCCCCTATGTCCAAATTTTCGAGTCCTCCTTACGGCTGTCACGGCCCTCAATACCGTATTCAATACCATAACAAAACAGCGATATGCCCACACCTCTTTCCTCATTCCCTCCCGTCCTCTCGCTGCACGGCAAACGGCCTTACCTTTTCCGTCTGCCTCAACTTTCCCTTTTGAAAGACGGCGGAGTTATGCCCGTCACGCTAAAAAATGGTTCGCCACGCAAGCCTGCTACAGCAGGTATGTTTGAGAGTAAAGTCAAGTCGTGCGCACGCGACATGCCCCCCGTCAACGCAGCGCTACTTAGAACCGCAAGAACACGAGATCAGTGTAAGCACCAGACTCGAACCGTCGCTTCAGCTCGTTATCCTGATACACAAAGATCAGCCTCGTCACTTCCAGAAGCATTACTTTCAACTCAACAGTCGGTTCCACTCTCCTTAGCACAGCAGAAATTTACCCAGCAGCATGCTGCAGCTAATTCGACTGTTAGACGACTTTCACTCAGAATATGAAGTTAAAGAGAAGCTGGGAACCGGCAAGTTCGGAACGGTGTGGCGATGTCAGGAGCGACAAGGCAATAACGAGTTCGCGTGTAAACAGGCCGTCGGCAGAGGGGGCGTGGATTCCGCCTTACGAGAAATCGGCGCGCTTTCGACTCTTCAAGGCTGTCCCAACGTGGTTTCCGTCCAAGGGCTGTTCCACGATCCTCAGACCGAAACCCTAATCATGCTCTCCGAACTCGCGACAGGCGGCGATCTGGTAACACACATCAATGCGAAAGGACGGCTGCCTGAATGGGAGGCGCGGTCAATTTTCCGCGACGTGGTGCGCGGCGTGAAGCAGTGTCACGAAAACGGGCTGATGCATCGCGATATCAAGCCGGAAAATATTCTGCTGTTTGAAAACAGATCTACGCTGACATCAGGCGACGTCGCGAGGTGCGACAGCAAGAAGAATGACTCTACTGAATCAGTATCAAACGAAGACGTGTACGAGTCGCCGTTATCTCAGGAAGAAGACTCCGGGCTTCACGACGCCGCGCTGCCTTTCGTGGCCTTCACAGCCAAGCTGTCCGATTTCGGCGCATCGACGGTTCTAAAGCCGGGACAGAAAGCGCAGGCGTGCGTTGGAAGCCTTCCGTACATCGCTCCTGAGGTGCTCGCGAGAGAAAAATACGATTTCTCCGCGGACATTTGGAGTCTTGGGGTTACCCTGTATTCCATGCTGGCAGGCAAATGGCCGACGATTATTCGCGGACACCAGTCGCGCGAGGATTGGTTGCTGCCTTGCTGGTCCGAGATCTCAGGTTCAGCGAAAAATCTCATCCGTTCGATGCTGTCTGCGGATCCTGGATCGCGTCCCGCCGTCGATGCGATTTTGAATCACCCGTGGGTGAAGGGTGTCAGTCAACCAAGCGCATTGATTTTACCGAACGGCAACGAATGTAAATCTCCGCCGCGAAGCTCTTCGCCACGGGTTACCTCACCCATTCCGTCGCCTCTCGCGACGATTCACAGCTCGACGCGAATAGCCGCTCAGACCTGCCGAAACATCGCGCTGCGCATGCTACCGAAGCGGCGCAATTCCAAGTCTAACCTGCTCGCGGATCTCACTTGACACACGAATTAGATTATTATTACTCGTAGAAGATAGGGCATCTAAAATTGCCCTGACAAAGCGAAGCAAGAGCGGGAAGAGGAGGAATCAACTGGGGGCGTATTCAGGAACTCAGCTTCGAGCACAGTGTCCCACCCTCTGAAGTTGCACTCGATAAAGGTTCTTGTTACCGGAAACTACAGAGCTACAGTTTCTTCTTGCAGTGTCACTCCTACCATATTTCTAGATAATCTCACAGGCTATACTAAACAACACGTCATCAACCCAAACATTCAAAACAAGTACCATTTTAGAATCTAGTCATAACCCTGATTCCATTCCAAATCATTCCCCTGCACTCTTGAGAATGGTTGGGCTGATATACACACGATCTTGGTGTCACAGGTCTAGAAGACAGTTTTTCAAATAAACAAGACATCAAACATACGAATCAGGTGCTTGGCCTGGCAGAAAATACTTGTCTCTGACCTCCTCAGCTTTGCAGAAGACAACCTGCGAATAAAAGCGGGAAGACAGGTCAATAGACCAGTTTCGTGCCCCATTGATAGAGGATACAATCAGGTAACTATGAGGTGAGTTTGAAATGTCTGAATACCCAGAAGGCACCACGGCCATGGCGCGGCAGTACTCACAAGGTTGGCGTACGAGTTGAGCAGATTCGTCATGACCTAGCTGGCTTATTATGGGGGCTTTAAAGTCAGCAACGTGCAGCAGCACAGCACTCACCAGGTTGGGATACGACTTGAGCAATAGCTGCATGACCTAGCTGGCTAATTTTAGGGGCTTTTAAGTCAGCATCTGCTCTGCACTCACCAGGTTGGCATACGACTTGAGCAGCGGCTTCATGACCTAGCTGGCTTATAAGGGGGGCTTTAAAGTCAGTAACGCGCAGCAGCACTCACCAGGTTGGCTTCATGACCTAGCTGGCGTTTCAGGGGGTCTCTAAATCCACCAAACACAACGGCACTCACCAGGTTGGCATACGACTTGAGCAGTGGCTTCATGACCTTCCATCCAGGCTGGAAAATGAAGGGCGCATCCACAAAGAGCACCTGGGGTGGTGGCAGGTCAGGTGTGGGGAGTAAGTGGGGAGGGAAAGAGGGACGATGCCATGTGGCAAGGGGATAGGAAGATGAATTATCACCGCGGCTGGAAGATGAAGGGCACATCCACAAAGAGCACCTGGGATGGCAAGCAGGAAGGGTTCAAACAATTTGGGAAGTGGTGGGAAGCGGTGTGGGGCACAGGACGGGCAGGGAGAGGAATGGAAGGTGAAGGGCAATATCACAAAGAGCATTTGGGGTGGTTGAGGTTCAGATGTGGGTAGGGAATGGGGAGGGCAAGAGAGATGATGGGGATGTGTGGTTGAGAGAAGCAAAACGAAGGGCGCACACACAAAGACCACGCGGGGTGGGAGGCGAAGAATGGAAGAGAGAGAAGGATGGGTGAGGGAAGAGAATGAGAAGGACGTAACCACAAAGAGCACCTGGGGTGGGAGGCGAAGTACGGAAGAGAGAGACGGGTAGCATGGGAAAGCATGGTGAGATGACAGCTGAAGGGAGAAAGCAGTGCAAATGGTCGAGTTTGAAGAAGAGAATATTCTGTTTCCAGGCTTATGTGAGCGACCAGCATCGCTGGTTGGGTTTGTTTGTACGAGTCCTTGATCGGTTTCAACGCGTCGTCCATGGTATCCTTGCAATCTTGCAAGAGCCGGCCCATGATCAGCTTCCGAGTAGGTGTTGGAAATCCAGGACTAGCTGCAGCCACTTTCTTTAACATAGACTTGAAAGCGGGGTGCTCCGCTACATTGGGGGCAATGCGGCAAACGTGGAAAAACGTTGCAACCGCCTGCTGCGCGCTTGCGAGATTTGCACCTGTAGGCCGACATTCGAGCAACGTTTTCTGATTTGCCGGGCGCTTGCTTGGTGTGCTAGAGCTAGCAACGATCCCGGTTGTCTCCTTGCTAAACGCGTCCATCGTGCGCTTCGAGGCGATCCGCTTAGCTTCCTGCTCACTAGACTTGGCTGATGCCGCTTTACGCACTTCAGCCTTAGCCTCTGCTGACACTTTCTTGCATGCTCTAATGTCCTTGCTATTACCTAGGATATGAGCCTGCGCACGACTAACGTTAAGGGACCACGAATGATTGCAAAACTTGCATTGCCTTTCCGCCGAATCTGATGGAGCCCCATCTGGTAATCTAAAATGCTTCCAAACGGGGTGCTCGTTAAGATTAGCAGGTGAAGCCATAGGTTACGGAGATCGAGGAACTAGAGCTAAGTAGTCGCTGAATACGAAGTTCTGCTCTACTTACGGAATCTGGATCTGGATTCTGGATTCAGATCCAGTTTCGACAAAAGTGGGGTCACGTAATATTTCTGGCTTTGCTGATTCGCTAAGACCTAGGGTTGGTTGGATTCGCTGTTACATTTTTTTTCGTTTTCACCAAACAGCCGAACAGAATTGTGGCAGTCGCGAACCCTAGATTGAATTTCGCCAACATCCACACCTACAAATTTCGCCACGCACGTACGCCACTCACATAGCCGACGAATCTCCCTAGAGAATTTCGCAAAGCGCGCGTCCTAATTCCGAGCCCAACAAACCACCACTCACACCCTCCTCCCTAGCACAACGTCTTGACTCCCTCACAGCCTACAAAACTCTCTCGACCTAATCGATCTAAACCTAGTGGCTCGATATCTTCACATAGTAGTCTACCACCAAGACGTCACAGATTCAGATCGCGTTAGGGACTTTAAAGGCGCTGCGTTTCTACTTAGTTCGCTATTGCAGAAGGCTCGGATTAGCTGTTCTTGCTTCTATCGTAAGCCATAATTGAGGATGAAAAAAAACGGGCCGCGGAAATTTTTTTTTTCCGCTGCCCGCGTCAGACTTACGCGTAACTTAACGTACGAAATCGAAATCGTAACATTTCGCGAAATTTACGTTTACGCTGCCTGGAAAACCGTAAGAGCCCAACTTAGGTTTGTAGTAATGTGAGTTCCCCCCCACCCTACCTGGTGCAATCTCTTGGGATAGTAGTTGAAGAAAACGTCAATCTGCAGGAGGTAATGGTGGGAAGAAAGCGGGATAAAGGGATACAGAGAGACACTATTTAGTAGTTGGAAACACCAATCAGCGACCAGAAATTGTGGGAAGAAAGAGGGTAAAACAGATGTCGTGAGGCTTTTGAGACGTCTCAAAAGACGTCGTGAAGCAATGAAGTGAGATTTGTGCTAGCAGCGGGGAGGGAAGGTAAAAGGAACATGAAGGGACAATGAATCAAGAAAGGGTGCTGGTACCGGGAAGCGAGGGTGCAAGGAAGATAGAGAGACACTCAAATAGCAACAGGTGTTGATAGCGGGGAGGGGAGTTGGTGTGAAAAAAACATTATTCCAGCATTCATGCTCTCTCATGCTTCCCCCCTGCGCCCCCATTACCCACCCCCCCCCCCCCCTCACCTCCTCCCCCTTCCCCCCTCTCTTCCCCCCACCTCGTCCCCCCCCCCCTCCCCCCCCCCTCCCCTACCCAATGAATACTTACCATAAACTTAACAAACGCCAGGTCAGTGTTCTTAGCGGTGAAGCCTCTCAAATCGAATATCCCGCGGAATTGCTCCTCCCCCTCCGGCAGTTGCTCGATGGCCCTTTCAATCAAATAGGCGCACAGCTGCTGGCTGTAGAATAACGAGACGGGATGACTGGTGGGCAGGGAAGGGGTAATGACAGTCAAACGTGGTCCAAGTGGGTATAAGAGGTGGTTGCTCAATGGCCCTCTCTATGAGGTAGGCGCAGAAATGCGAATGCATGTAGTTGAGTTAGATGGATATGCAACAGGGAATGATTGATCTTTTGAAAATTTCTCAAAAGTGATCGCATACGTCTGGGAAGTGCTTTGCTGCCACAACAACGATCACGGGCCGCCCGTCCACGTCAGCGTGCTCGTGGAGGAAAGCCTTCCCCGTTGCGCCCTCCTCTGCCACGTCAGCAGCTGTCAGCCCCGCCACTCCAAACTCGTGGCGCCATTTCTGATAAGAGGACAAGCGAAGGGACAAAGGCCATTGGAAGAAGGGAACTGACAGAGGAAGAGGGATGGGGCAAAGGGCATTGGAGAAGGGAGAACGAGAGTAACCAGCAACATCACCTGTAACGCACTGTACCGCACTCCACCACTCACAATGGCTTTGACGAGTTTCTCCACCGTGGGTTCGACTTTGTATTTCCTGTCCTTGAGGAACCACCTCAGCATGGCTTCATCGTCCCTCCCATACTCGCCCACGGGGAGAGACGCATGGTCGCGAGCAAGAATGCTCTTTACCTCGTCCACGAGCTGGAGTGAGTGAGGGTGAGTGGGGGTAGAGAGGGAACAGAGAAAGGATAAGTGGCTTCAAGAACCACCTCAGCATGGCCTCGTCGTCCCGCCCGTACTCGCCCACGGGCAGGGACGCATGGTCGCGAGCCAGGATGCTCTTTACCTCGTCCACGAGCTGGAGTGGAGGGGGAAAGAGAGGAGATAAGAAAAGGATGGGTGCATGCAAGAACCATCTCAGAATGGCCTCGTCGTCCCGCCCGTACTCGCCCACGGGGAGAGATGCATGGTCGCGAGCCAGAATGGATTTCACCTCGTCCACGAGCTGATGGTAAATGGGGAAGAGGGGGGTTCGTAGAAGGGGGAAATGGGTGCGGGTAGTATTGGAAGAGACGGGAGAGGATAAGCATGGTCTCATCGTCCCGCCCATACTCGCCCACAGGCAGGGATGCATGGTGGCGAGCCAAGATGGTTTTCACTTCGTCCACGAGTTGGAGGGAGGAGTTGGGAAGAGGGGGTGGGAATAAGGTAAGAAAGAGGATAAGCATGGCCTCGTCGTCCCTCCCATACCCGCCCACGAGGAGAGACGCATGGTCGCGAGCAGATTTCACTTCGTCCACGAGCTGGGGTGTACAGAGGGGGAGGAGGAGACACGAGAGAAAGGGGAAGACAGGATGAGGAAGAGACGATGAGGAGATGATGATGGGAAGAGAGCAGTAAGTAACCACCTCAGCATGGCCTCGTCGTCCCGCCCATACTCGCCCACGGGCAGGGACGCATGGTCACGAGCCAAGATGGCTTTCACCTCCCCCACCAACTGAAGAGAGGGGCAAGAAGGGGGGAGACAAGGGTGGGCGCTAAAAAAGCCTGAGACAGTGTGGGGCAAGGATGAGGCGATTGGAGGGTGAGGGGGGGGGGTGAGGGGGGGTAGTGTCTAGCTTACAGCCTCACGAGAAGTGAAGGGTGGAAGGGCGGTCCTGGCCTGGCTCGCAGGCATAGATGTCATACACATATACTTGAATACACTTCCACTCACTTTCATGAGCTATTACCTGAACCTGAACCACTACCTGATGATTACCTGAACGATCACCTGAATGATCACCTGAACAAGTCACCTGAAATGACACCTGTTTCCACTCACCGCAGCAATCTCCTCCTCCCGCCGCTCCGCCCATCCGCCGCTGCCACTTGTCGTCACGTCATTCGTCTCCGTCGTCGCGGTCCCCCCATCCGCTCGCACGCGCACTCCCCTCCTTCCCCTACCGCATCCCCCATTCTCCCTTCTCGCGGCCAACAACCCGGCAGGGAAAGCACCACCTCTTCTCAGGCTCAGCGCGCTTATATGATTCTCTAGTCCTCCTCCTCCCCTCGAAAATCTTCCCCTCCTGCCTTGTTGGGAATTGAGAGCGCTGATGGAAGGTGCAGGGGAGGTTCGCGCGCTGCTAGAAGCTGACGTCACGCTGACGTGCTGCCACGTGGCAGCAGCAGGAAGGAGGACTGCTCTGGTGTTGGCCGCTGCAGCGGATCCTGTGAACGCCATGTCGGGTAGTCACGCTGTGCCACGTGGCAAGTGGAGGAAATGTATGGACGACACGCATTGGCGTGATGAGCAATTTGGAAAAATGCATATTGAATGACTGGTCTGGTATGTAAGCTATCATGACCAATTCGTGTTTGATCGTACACAAGGTTTTTTGCGAGTGAATTTGAATTGAATCAAGGAGTGTGCAATGTGTAGGTGAATGGAAAGAGAAACAGAATGGAGAAAAAACAAGACGACTCGTTGTAGTCACGCTTAGAGCGAGCAGGTACGTGCGGAACCCGCCGCAGCGTACCCGGCTGCGGGTACCCGGATCACTGGGTACTCTCGCGACGTCAGTAAATCCCAAGAGAACCACAGTGGGATCACGGATCAAGGCACACGGCGCCAACGGCATTTTAGCGACGATTTTTTGCTATCGAACCAGCCAAAGCGGTAATGTATCTCGCAAGAGAACCCACACGGCAGCGACGGCATTCTTATACTCTCAGGCATCCCGCTACGCAATGCAACAAGGAGCGAGTGAAAATGCGATGCGATAGTGCGCGGAGAGGGAGTGCAACAATATGATAGCTACTTTTTAGGCGTTGGCATACAGCTGCGAGGCGCGCAGCGTCACAGAGCACTAAAATGCGAGGCGTGGTACTAACATCTAGCCGTTGACAGAGGAATCTACTCACCTCGTGCAACGGAGTGAGCTTGATTGGAACGCGACACGGTATTCCTCAATGCGTGACGATAATCCCTGAACTGTCACGGCATTCCCAAGGCGTTCTTTTCAGAAGAGTGACACACCTCGAGAGTGCGAATGCGCAGCAGAACTGAAAATGGCGGGAGGCGAGGGACTTGTGCCTATTGGAGGAAAGAGTGGATAAGAGTGATTGTATCAGGAATGTGACTCTATGAGAAACGTGGAGGAGTGTGTCGCTCAATCCAGATTCTCTGTTTTGATTCTGTGGAAGATTCTACACCAGAGGGAAAAGGCGACCAGATCTTCGGCGAGCTGAGAGCTGGTAACCATGTGCTGGCGACATCCAGCTCTACATATACGCGCTAAGCGAGCCGTCGTAACATATACCGTAAACAATGCTTCAAAACCAACAACAAAGCACAACCACTTTCTAAAGAGGCTCGTGTTGAGTCGTCAGGTGATTCCACATGAGAAATCTGGGCTGGGCTCCACCAACTGCAGCTCAGGGTGTGAGCCAAATTGCTCCCCAACGTTCCCAAGCCAAGGTTTTCTGCCGAAGCTCGTTTCCGCGTCGAGCCGAGCCAGCCGTGAGGTGGTGTGGCCGGGCCAGAAAACGTGCTTCACCTCACACCGGATGCTTGAAACAGAAAGGCTCATGGCACCAGCGCTCGACTTTTTTTTTTCCTTGACCGCTGCTTTCATTTTCTTGTGGAACCACTCCTTGCACTTGAAATTAGCTCAAAGCCTACGAAATAACGACATAACTGACCACTTTCATCCCATACTCCCCCATACTTTCAAAAAAAGGGGGGGTATTTTATTTCGTGCCGGAGACGAAAATGCCTGTGCACCGTCCAGCCTAGACAAAACAAGTTCGTTGTGCTTGGGGCTTCCGACAGCCCGCTTGGTCGCAAGGCAGTGTCGTTTTCTGCATGTCTGTCGACGCTGATTGCTGTACCTCAACCTCAGTGGTCTGGCTGGAAGCGCATCCACAGATCGTTGTGGTTCGACCATCGCTGCTTGTTTAAAGGACGTGGTTACACGTCACCGTTCACAACCAGACAAAGTACGAACCAGGTTTTGAGGTTCAGAGCTCGCAGAGCCTGCTCTTTGGTTGGTAGACATCTGGTTCGACTGGCTGATCAGGGAGGCACCAGCTACAGTGAGTACGGCACTGTTGCAGCGCAGCCATTCCCCCCACCTTTCCCCCTCACCGCAAACCTCTCCCCATTCCCCTTACCTCCTCGCACTCCCTCCGCCTGTTCAATTGCTCCGCTTGCATTCTCTCCGCCTGTTCTAATGCATCCGCATTCTGGTTGTTGGTGTTCAATCAACAGCGTACTCCTGTCCTGAACGATACCCCAAACAAACGTTCACAAACGTACAGAATCGTATTTCAACGTACTTTACAGAGCTCGACTCCTTGTTTCAAGGTTGTTCAAAATTTCTGCTTGGCTGGCTGTTGCCTGGTTGATCAACAACAGATAGACTCTGGCGTATGTTTCTGTCTTCTGTTGAAATCAAGTGTTCCCGAGCAACCACCATACACCTCTTCCCGTCACCGACAAGTGAACAACATTTTCTTCGAATGCTGTACGAAGCACATCAGATAGTTGTTTCTTAGTTTCGCCTTTCGCCTAAACTCGCCGTTTCGCCGTTCGTAAGTACATCACTTGGTCTCGGACCGACAAGCGATTTCGTGGCGTGTCGCCTAGTTGTCGCTCCGCCAGTCGCCGAGCAGTCGCTGAGCTGTCGCGCGCGTCGCATGGCGATGGTGGATTACCTCGTGATGGGCTTCGGCCTCGCCGCGTGCGGCGGCTCGCTCTGCGGCGGCGTGCTGATCGCCTTCGACTCGCACGCGCCCGAAAAACTCAAGGTACGGACAAATGTGTGCTGCAAGGTACGGCCGAAATACTCAAGGTACAAAGCTGGCAATAGGAGCTTACGACAAGAGCGCTATTCGGCGGTTCCGGCTCGTCCCGCTCTTTCCGCTCATCCTCCCCTCCCCTCCGCTCTTTCTTCGCCGTACTGCGAAGCCGGAGCCCCGTTCGCATCCTCCCGCTCTCTTGCCGTCTCTCCCCGTCCCCCTCTCCCCTTCCCACACCCCCTCTCCCACCCTCCCTCGCCGTCCCCGCCGTCCCCGCCGTCCCCAGCTCTTCCCCGTCCTCCCCCCCAAACCGCTCCCTCCCATCCTTGTATTCCAGCCGTTTTCAAGCGGAGTTTTCATAACGGCTGCACTGTATCAATAAACTGGCTCTTCGTCCGCCCACTTCCCCCGTCCCTGTCCTCCCCCTGTCCTGTCTTTCCCCTCCCACATCTTCCCCATCCCTTGTCATCCCCACTCCCCCCCCCCCCAACCCCCTATTCCCCCTGCCGCTCTTCCCCTTACCCTGTCTCCTCCCTCCTCCATCCAACCTTTCCCATCTCCTCATCTTTCCTCTCCCCCCAATCTCCCCCTTCGCGCCTTCTCCCCCTTTCCCCCATCCCCCTGGCGCAACAGGCGGAGGATGCGGAACCTATTCGCAATGATGAGTCGCTTATGGACCCGCCCTGTCTACACCGCATCTCGCGCCCGTCCCACGGCGCCGCGCATTCCTCCAACGGCTCCGCGCATTCATCTGGCGGCGCCACGCGTCCGTCGCTCACTGGCTCCCGCCCGGCAAGCGCGCCGATTCGAACCGACCGATCTGAGGCGGAACCGACGGCGCGGATGCCGCCCGCGAATCACGGCGACGAGCGGAGAGAAACGCGTCATGTGGTTTCAGCCGCCCACCGCCCGCACCCGACGCGGTCGCGCTCCTATGTGTCGTCTCCCGCCGAGCTAGAAGACGCAGTTCCTCCGCTTGATGCGCCACGAGATGCGGAGCGGCGGAGGAGCTTTGACGGGTTGGAGTCGGAGAGGGCCGGTCTTATGCGCGACGGTGACTATAACGGATGTTATCCTCGCGGGGGACCGTTCGAATCGCGCGAGGGAAATTACGCTAATTACCCATGTTACCCTACGCACGGGGCTGGAATGCTGGCGCGGCCACACTCACACCCCAATATGCACTCTCGGCCGCAGCAGTGCGGGTCAGAGGGGGATGAGACGCAGCAACACCGTTACTACCAGCACCACAGGGAGCAGCAGCAGCAGCAACATCAACAGCACCAGCTGCACCAGCAGCAGCAGCAGATGTACTATCAGCAGCAGTGTCATCAATATCAGCAGTACTTGCAACAGCAGCAGGGGCAGAATCAGGAACATCAGCAGGAGCAGGAGCGACAGCAGGATTACTGGCGCGCACACAGCAACCAATATCCGCACTCACTTCCCCCCCAAAAACCCCCCCACGCGCGCTCACACACCCCGCCCTTCCCCCCGTCGTACCACCCCCCCCATGCCCCAGACTTCCCCCCGCACGCCCCCCCGCGTTGTCCCCCCGCGTACCCCCCTTCCGCCTTCCCCAGCCGGCCCGCGGGCGCGCCCATCTGCCCGCCCGCGCAGAGGCAGCAGGGGGGCGCGGGGGAGCAAGCGGCGCACAGGCAGCTGGAGCAGGGGCTGAGGACGCTGCCCAGACTCAAGGTGTGACGCGGGGAAAGTTAGGGGCGGGCGGGGAGGAGTGCCTGGGGGCATGTGCAAAGAGGCGGCTCACATGACGGCAGCTGGAGCAGGGGCTGAGGACGCTGCCCAGACTCAAGGTGTGAGGGGAGAAGGGGACCGAGGCGGTTGGGGGAGGATGGGTGGAGGAGGTGTGAGGGGGAGGATGCGTGCAGGAGTTGTGAGAGGCTGGCCTGTGCAATACCGGCGATAAAAGCTGAAGTGGGGCTGTGCGGCGGGATAGGGGTGGGGATGGTTGGGGGAGGATGGGTGAAGGAGGCGTGAGGGGGAGGATGCGTGCAGGAGTTGTGAGAGGCTGGCCTGTGCAATAGCGGTGATGGAGGCCGAAGTGGGGCTGTGCGGGAAGTAGTATTTGAGGCGCCTCAAAAAAGGATGCGTGCAGAAGTTGTTGTGAGAGGGTTGGCTGTGCAATAGAGGCAATGGAGGCTGAAGTGGGGCTGTGTGGAGGGAGAGAGGTGGGGGTGGTTGGGGGGAGCGCCAATGCTAGCTGAAGCAGGGGGAAGTGAGTGTGGGCATGTATCGGAGGAGATTGGGTGCGGGAGAGGGGTGGGGATGGGGAGGAAACTGGTGGGGTTGAGTAGAGGAATGGGGGCACTGGGCAGTTGGAGGAGAAGGGCATGTCTTTCGTGTTTTGAATTGCATTTTTGTTGTATTTTACCGTATTTGATAGAGGCATCAGCATGCGAACGTGGCTGGAGCAGGAGGGTAGGAAATAGCGGAGGATTGATGGTTTCATTTTGGCATAAGTGGATGAAGGATGAAGTACTTCTGATGTATTTTCATGGCTTTATAATTCTATAAACCCGTACAACTCAGTTGTGCTTATACATTAGTTAAAGCTCCAACTTGCTAAATGAATATTGATATACGGTATCAGTGTACAGTCAAAAGCAAAGGCACCCAGCGCATTATCAAACCCTTCTGTGGCCCTCGAGATTGCCGCCACGCCTGACAAGCTGCCGTTTGTGCCCTTCCGATATTACTACCTGTTTGTGCCTGGGACTTGTGCGATTGCTGCCAATGCTGCCTGATTTTCCCCGGCGTGCTTCGGGACTCTGGCCGAGAATCCTCTTGCGCTGCTGTAACGTCATGGAAACCGCAGAGGGGCCTCAATATTCCATAGTCGTAGGTTCTAGATTCTAGGTTTCAGACTCCAATTTAAATACTCATCTCATGGCTTGCTGCCTTCGAGTCGTACGATCGTCGTCGCTCACGATGCTTGTGAGCCAGCGGCCGACGTCGCATGAGTCGCCAGCGGCCTTTCGCTCATGAGCTGCTCCCGATCGCTTCTGATTGCGACTGCTGCTGCTCTGAACCGTGTTACACCGTTCTGAACCTCCTCAAGCAGTGGTTATCAGTAATTTTTATCTGCCCAATAGCTGGAATGCCGGCGACTCAAAGTAGCTGGCACGGTACACACCTGTGAGGGTCGCAGTACGGTTCATGTAGTTAAACTTTAATACAATTTCACACTTATTTACTACGCTTCGCCGTCGTAACGCATCATATCCTCAGGCGCCTCGTTATACTCACCCACCCACCCGCCACGTCATCAATGACGACATCATCCTCCGCCTCTTGGACAATGCGCTTACCACTAGGCACACCAGCACCCGCTGCCAGCTCTTGCTCTCTGCGCTTACTACCCCAAAAAGCAACCCACGGAGCAGCACAGTCATGGCTGGGGTGTGGACTTAGCTGCAGCGCACAGCATCGGAGGCGCGAGTTACCAGGCACACCATCAGCACCCGCTGCCAGCTCTTGTTCACTGCGCTTACTACCCCAAAAGTCAGCCCACGGAGCAGCACAGTCATGCATGAGACGTGGATTTAGCTGCAGCACACAGCAGCAGAGGCGCGGGTTACCAGGTACATCGGCACGCGCTGCCAGCTCTTGGTCACTGCGTGCATTACCTTACCAAGCAACGCATGGAGCAACCGTCGGAGCAGCAGCAACTCCTGCCTGTCAAAGGCCAGGAGCAAGGGCAGGGGCGCGCGTGAGCATCGTTGCTGTTGCTGCAGCAGCAGCAGGAGGAGAAGCAGGAGAAGCAGAAGCAGGTGCAGTAGCAGGAAAAGGAGGAGAAGCAGAAGCAGCAGCAGGAGCAGAAGCAGGAGCAGGAGCAGCAGCAGAACCAGAAGCAGCAACAGGGGGGGCAGCAGGCAGACGAGCACTTCTTGCCAGCCCAAGACGAAGATCGACGGCAGACATCCGCGTGATTTCTGCTGCTGCTGCTGCCGCTGCTGCGGCATTTGCAGGAGCTGCTGAGAAAGCAGCGGCAGCATCAGCAGTAGGAGCAGAAGGAGCAGCAGCAGCAGGGGGCCCGGTGTCAGCGCTACCACCGGTGGCTGGGAAGGCGATGCGGGTGGTGCAGTGTGTGTCTCGCTGTGCGCCCATGTTGGAAGATAATTTCCTCAACAACTCCGCCAGAACGCTCTATTCCTATGTCCTTATGCCTGGCGAAAAATCGTTTGGGCTGCTGGCTTGGCTGCCGGTCCGTGTGATGGCAGCTGTGCAGCGATCAGAGACGCTGGTAAGTGCGGCCTATGTGTGTGCTTGTAAGGGCTGGTACGTGCTGCTGATGAGGAATTGATATGAGACGTCGCAAGTTCTGATCAATGCTGTTATCGACACTACATTCCGCTCCACGCATACTCACTGCTCTCCCTAAAAAGGGTCAAATTATCGCATCTCATGCCACGTGAGCACTGCATTCTATGCCACGTGGACCCTGAATTCCATGCCACGTGGCAGGTTGTGATTGCTCTGCGGGAGTCGATCGTGTTTCTCGCCCTTGTCGCCCTCTTCGCTGTCACACCCCACGTCTGCCGAGCCCTCAACTGGTAACCGTCAACTGGTAACCATCAACTGACAAGCATGGCCTGTAAATCGTTACGATGTCATCTTGTTGCAACGCCATCTCATTTTCGACTCTCTTGACTTTCTTGTGAACAGAGCCACCTGGGAACCATCCAGTTTCAATCCACACTCATGTCAATTTGTGTTGCCTCCTCCGCCATTGTATGACGTGTCAAATCGTTCTGAAAACATCTCAGAAATTATTATCGCGAGGCAGTGAGTCCACGGAGGAGGAGCGGTGTTCACTTGGAATGGAACAAGGGGGAGGGGTCAGGGCTTTCGCCTTTGCTCCATATCCGACTCTCTCCTTTACCCCTGCCTCTCAAAATCTGGGCCTCCTTCACAATGCGGGACAATGGCATCACAGGAAAGGAGTTTCCAGGACTTCATGTTCTGCATGCACTGCCCTGCACTGCACTGCATTGCACTGCACTGCACTGCACCCCAGTGCTTCCCTCACGGGTCACTAGCCACCAACGCCTCCTTTTGCTGTGACCGTCTTTTGTCCCTGCGTCTCAGGCTCTGGGCATCTTTCATAATGCGGGACAATGGAGTCACAGAGGAGAGTTTCCAGGACTCCATGTTTGGCGCTCTCGTGCTCCCCCTGCAGTTCGTTGCAGCAGCTTTCTTCCTTACCAGACAGTAAGCTTCCACCCTCTTATATCGCTCGTAACCACTTGTAACCGCTCTCATGCTCCCCCTGCAGTTCGTTGCTGCTGCTGCTTACTTCCTCAGCCCCTTTCTCCTCTGGAGGCTCAGAATGGTTTCAGTGGTGCTGGTGGCAAAGCGTCTGTTCCCCCTTCTTCCGTCCTCGCCCTTGCAGCATGCATCTCCTCTTGCCTCTAGCCAAGCGTCACCTCACCCCCTTTCGTTGCCTCTCCCCTCTTCTTGTACTCTCCCCCTTCTTCCGTCCTCGCCCCTTGCAGCATGCGTCTCCTCTTGCCGCTAGCAAAAAATATAATAGTACCCTTTATTCTACCTTATAACGCAAAAAGAAGCTACCTAGCTCTTATAAAAGGTTGAATAGACTAAACCCATTTATGGGAGTTAAGCATCACCTCAGCCCCTTCGTATGGTCCCTCCTCTAGAGGTTCACAATAGATTCAGTGGTGGTGGCAGTGTGGGTGGCAACTCTCCCTCTTCCTCTTTCCCTCTCTCCCCTGATACCTCCCATTCATCCTTTCAGCATGCGTCTCATCTTGCCCCTCGCCAAGCTCCAGTTAAGCCCCTTCCTCCTGCAGAGGCTCAGAATGGTGTCAATGGTGGTGGCGGCAGTGGTGGTGATAAATTCCTCCCTTCCCTCGCTTTCCTCCTCCGCCCCATCCCCCCTCCCTTCCTTGCAGCATGCGTCTCCTCTTGCCACTAGCCAAGCTCCAGTTAAGCCCCTTCCTACTCCGGAGGTTCAGAATGGTTTCAGTGGTGCTGGCGGCAAACTTTCTATCCCTCTTCCTTGTCACCTGTCCTTCCACACACTCCCCTCCCTCCTCTCCTCTTCCCACTCCCACCCCTCCCTTTCTTGCAGCATGCGTCTCCTCTTGCCCCTCGCCAAGCTCCAGTTAAGCCCCTTCCTCCTCCGGAGGCTCAGAATGGTGTCAGTGGTAGTGGCGGTGACGTGCTTTGTTGTGGGGTGGAAGGACAGAGTCATGCGGATGGTGCTTCAGAAGCACCCGGCTGAAAAGGTACAGTATGCAAATGGCTTTGAGGGTGGTCACTTTCTGTACTGGCAGTGGTGGCAGCAGTGGTGGTGGTAGTGACGTGCTTTGCGGTGGGGTGGAAGGACAGGGTCATGCGGATGGTGCTGCAGAAGCACCCGGCTGAAAAGGTAGTGGGTGTGTAGGTGTGCTTGTGTCCCATAGGCCATCTTGCTCAACGTGAGTCGATTCCTCTCTGGTTTAAACCCTAATGCCTCTCGTGGGGGTGGCCATACTGGTTTAAACCCTAATGCCTCTCGTGGGGGTGGCCATACTGGTATAAACCCTAATGCCTCTCGTGGGGGTGGCCATACTGGTTTAAACCCTAATGCCTCTCGTGGGGGTGGCCATACTGGTTTAAACCCTAATGCCTCTCGTGGGGGTGGCCATACAGGTTTAAACCCTAATGCCTCTCGTGGGGGTGGCCATACTGGTTTAAACCCTAATGCCTCTCGTGGGGGTGGCCATACTGGTTTAAACCCTAATGCCTCTCGTGGGGGTGGCCATACTGGTTTAAACCCTAATGCCTCTCGTGGGGGTGGCCATACTGGTTTAAACCCTAATGCCTCTCGTGGGGGTGGCCATACTGGTTTAAACCCTAATGCCTCTCGTGGGGGTGGCCATACTGGTTTAAACCCTAATGCCTCTCGTGGGGGTGGCCATACTGGTTTAAACCCTAATGCCTCTCGTGGGGGTGGCCATACTGGTATAAACCCTAATGCCTCTCGTGGGGGTGGCCATACTGGTTTAAACCCTAATGCCTCTCGTGGGGGTGGCCATACTGGTTTAAACCCTAATGCCTCTCGTGGGGGTGGCCATACAGGTTTAAACCCTAATGCCTCTCGTGGGGGTGGCCATACTGGTTTAAACCCTAATGCCTCTCGTGGGGGTGGCCATACTGGTTTAAACCCTAATGCCTCTCGTGGGGGTGGCCATACTGGTTTAAACCCTAATGCCTCTCGTGGGGGTGGCCATACTGGTTTAAACCCTAATGCCTCTCGTGGGGGTGGCCATACTGGTTTAAACCCTAATGCCTCTCGTGGGGGTGGCCATACTGGTTTAAACCCTAATGCCTCTCGTGGGGGTGGCCATACTGGTTTAAACCCTAATGCCTCTCGTGGGGGTGGCCATACTGGTTTAAACCCTAATGCCTCTCGTGGGGGTGGCCATACTGGTTTAAACCCTAATGCCTCTCGTGGGGGTGGCCATACTGGTTTAAACCCTAATGCCTCTCGTGGGGGTGGCCATACTGGTTTAAACCCTAATGCCTCTCGTGGGGGTGGCCATACTGGTTTAAACCCTAATGCCTCTCGTGGGGGTGGCCATACTGGTTTAAACCCTAATGCCTCTCGTGGGGGTGGCCATACTGGTTTAAACCCTAATGCCTCTCGTGGGGGTGGCCATACTGGTTTAAACCCTAATGCCTCTCGTGGGGGTGGCCATACTGGTTTAAACCCTAATGCCTCTCGTGGGGGTGGCCATACTGGTTTAAACCCTAATGCCTCTCGTGGGGGTGGCCATACTGGTTTAAACCCTAATGCCTCTCGTGGGGGTGGCCATACTGGTTTAAACCCTAATGCCTCTCGTGGGGGTGGCCATACTGGTTTAAACCCTAATGCCTCTCGTGGGGGTGGCCATACTGGTTTAAACCCTAATGCCTCTCGTGGGGGTGGCCATACTGGTTTAAACCCTAATGCCTCTCGTGGGGGTGGCCATACTGGTTTAAACCCTAATGCCTCTCGTGGGGGTGGCCATACTGGTTTAAACCCTAATGCCTCTCGTGGGGGTGGCCATACTGGTTTAAACCCTAATGCCTCTCGTGGGGGTGGCCATACTGGTTTAAACCCTAATGCCTCTCGTGGGGGTGGCCATACTGGTTTAAACCCTAATGCCTCTCGTGGGGGTGGCCATACTGGTTTAAACCCTAATGCCTCTCGTGGGGGTGGCCATACTGGTTTAAACCCTAATGCCTCTCGTGGGGGTGGCCATACTGGTTTAAACCCTAATGCCTCTCGTGGGGGTGGCCATACTGGTTTAAACCCTAATGCCTCTCGTGGGGGTGGCCATACTGGTTTAAACCCTAATGCCTCTCGTGGGGGTGGCCATACTGGTTTAAACCCTAATGCCTCTCGTGGGGGTGGCCATACTGGTTTAAACCCTAATGCCTCTCGTGGGGGTGGCCATACTGGTTTAAACCCTAATGCCTCTCGTGGGGGTGGCCATACTGGTTTAAACCCTAATGCCTCTCGTGGGGGTGGCCATACTGGTTTAAACCCTAATGCCTCTCGTGGGGGTGGCCATACTGGTTTAAACCCTAATGCCTCTCGTGGGGGTGGCCATACTGGTTTAAACCCTAATGCCTCTCGTGGGGGTGGCCATACTGGTTTAAACCCTAATGCCTCTCCTACCTCCCTCCTCGTGTCACTCCATTCTCCCTGCCCCCCTTCCCACCAGCCCATCTTGCTCAACGTGAGTCGATTCCTCTTGCTGCTCATCCACCTCGTGGGAGTGGGCACACTGTGCCTAATCAGGGTTCCCCTGTTCCCTCCCCATTCCTCCCTCCTCTCCTCTTTCCCCTCCCACCAGCCAATATTGCTCAACGTGAGCAGGTTCCTCTCACTGCTCATCCACATCGTGGGAGTGGGAACAGTGCTAGGCCTGCTTAAGCCAGGTTCCGCCTTCCCCATGCCCCTCCGTCCCCTCTCTCACCTCCCACCAGCCCATCTTGCTGAACGTGAGTCGATTCCTCTCGCTGCTCATCCACCTCGTAGGGGTTGGCACGGTGCTAGACCTGCCTTCATGACCAGTGTTCTTCCGCCTTTCCCCTCCCCACCCCTCCCCTCTCTCCCCATCTCGCCAGCCCATCTTGCTGAACGTGAGTCGGTTCCTCTCGCTGCTCATCCATCTGGTGGGGGTCGGCACGGTGCTGGACCTATTTGGTGTCTCCCTTCTCTCCCTGGTGGCTGTGGGCGGCATTTCAGGTGAGGAAGAGCCGTGTTTTGAGTCGACTCAAAACACAGGTGAGGGAAAGTGAGGGGGTGTAGGGAAGGGGGACTCATCCACCGGGTGGGAGTGAGGGGGTGTAGTGAAGGGCGACTCATCCACCGGGTGGGAACGCTGCTGGACCTCTTTGGCGTCTCCCTCCTCTCCCTGGTGGCTGTGGTGGCATCTCAGGTGCGTGAGAGAGGGGGAGTCGATGGGTGACAGAGAGAGTGAGTGAGTGAATGATTGATTCAGTGAGTGAGTGAGTGAGTGAGTGAGTGAGTGAGTGAGTGAGTGAGCGAGTGCGTGAGTGAGTGAGTGAGTGAGTGAGTGCTGACTCAAGCAGGGGGCATATCAGGGCAAAACAAGCACCTCAGGCCCCCATCTCCCCTTCGACCCTTAAAGATCGAGCACCCACTCTCCCACCACCCAACAACCCCTTCTTCCCCAACCGCCAGGTGTCGCCATGGGATTCGCGTCCAAGGAGATAGTGACCAATTTCTTTGGCGGGCTGGTGCTGGTGATCTCACAGCCATTCGTGGTGGGGGAACGCATCCAAGCCGGTCTTCTAATGCCCCCTCCTTCCCCAAACCCCACCCCGCCAGGTGTTGCTGTGGGATTCGCCTCCAAGGAGATAGTGACCAATTTCTTTGGGGGATTGGTGCTGGTGATCTCACAGCCATTCGTGGTGGGGGAACGCATCCAAGCAGGGGGCATATCGGGGCGGGTGGAGGAGATTGGGTTTCTTCACACCAAGCTGGCTGGGGCAGACAAGGCGCCAGTCGTGGTGCCCAATCAGATGTTCAACACTGCAGTGAGTGCGCTTATAACGCGTATCCAAGGTGCTTACTACGAGAAAGGGACTGAGAAAGCATTCCATTCAAGCAGGGAGCATATCGGGGCGGGTGGAGGGGATTGGGTTTCTGCACACCAAGCTCGCAGGAGCAGACAAGGCGCCAGTCGTAGTGCCCAATCAGATGTTCAACACTGCAGTGAGTGGACCTTTAACGAGTATTTATTGTGCGAGTGCAACGCGAGCCATTATGACTCACGTTACTTGCATGTCCCGCATCACTCGTATGCTCAAATCACATTGTGTGACTGCAAGTCATAACCGTACAGGTCACCCCGCTCCCACCAACCCTCTCCCAGGTGATTACCAACAATCTCCCAAGCCCAATGCTACCGATTAACTATGTTGAGTTTACTTTTGAGAATTCACAAAAATATACTTACCAATTTCTCCCGAGCCAAGTGCTACCCTGTAGCCGTCACTTTTGAGCTTCGAATAGAGAATATTGAGCGAGTGCGACCCTCACCCATACATATAACCCCATTCATGCCGTCCCATTCCCGCATCACCATTGACCCTACCAGGTGATCACCAACTTCTCCCGAGCCCAGTGCTTAACTTTTTCAGTCACATTCAAGCTCAGAATAGAGGACATCGAGGGAGTGCATGCCATCACGTCCCACATCACACACATACTGAAATAAGATTGTGTGATTGCAGCTCATAACCCTACATGCCACCCCACCCCCCCGGGCTATTCACGCTGCCAGGTGATCACCAACGCAGTCACATTCGAGCTCAGAATAGAGCGTGCACATATCCCCATTCCTGCCTTCCCATTCCCACCAACCCTCTCTGCCAGGTGATCACCAACTTCTCTCGAGCCAAGTGCTACCCTGTGGCAGTCACGTTTGAGCTTCGAGTTGAGGATATTGAGCGGGTGCAAGCCATCAGCTCTCGCATCACACGCATGCTGAGGTCGCATGCTGACGTGGACCAATCACAGGGCCCCGCGCACGCAGTGCTGAAGGACCTTAGCGGGGCGAGTCTGCACGTGGGCATGCTGGCTTCACTGAACCCTCAGGTGAGTCTGCAGGTGAGTCTTCAGGTGATTTCAGAATTCTCAGAGGTGGCCCCGCACATGCAGTGCTGAAGGATCTTAGTGGGGCCAATCTGCATGTGGGCTTGCTGCCTTCGCTGGACCCCCAGGTGAGATTTCAGGTGTTTTTTCAAACGTGTCAAACGTGGTGTCCGTGGGTGCTGTACATATTAATCTTTGTATAGTACCCCAGTATAGTTTGGGGGATTACGACAACTATACTCATGGCACATGGCATCTAATCTGTGCCACGCGGCATTGAGTGTTGGCAATGTCATAAATTTTGACATAATTACCCGATGTGATTGCCAAGTATCATGTTGTACCCATAAGAATGTTGCACCCATAAGTGTGTTGCACCCATAGGTATGTTGCACCCATAAGTATGTTGCACCCAGAAGTATGTTGCACCTATAAGTATGCTGCACCCATAAGTATGCTGCACCCATAAGTATGTTGCACCCATAAGTACGTCGCACCCACCATAAATACGTTGCACCCACCATAAGTACGTTGCACCCACCATAAGTACATTGCACCCATAAGTACGTTGCACCCACCATAAGTACATTGCACCCATAAGTACGTTGCACCCACCATAAGTACGTTGCACTTATAAGAATGTTCCACACCATCACCTACCCCCCCACCCCCTTGCCCACCACCCTTTCCTCCGCAGTACCATGTGGTATTGTGACATGGCACGGGCATGTGCATTGGTCAGGGACTTTTTATAGTTTACGGACTCGCTGTCGCTAAAAGTTTGTTTGTTTGTTTTTTTTTTTTTTTTTTTTTTTTTTTTTTTTTTCGTTGCAGGGCGGTAGGAAGGTGGTGGATGTCAAGCAAGAAATCCTTGAAAGAGCGGTGAGGATCATTTTGGACGAAGGAGCATGTATAGGCAAAAACGTACAGTTTCTTGATAGTGGTACACATTCATAAGGTTTGGTTGGCACAATTCTGTGACATGTCCGTACCATCCGTCTAAGCCTCCATGCATGACCTGGAACAGGAGGTGGCAAATGGAGTGTGCTAGATAATTGAGGAAAGAGCAACCTTCATAAACAATGAGTGCACCTATACTGTTTTTTCCAAACGATTGTAATATTCCTGTTTGAATTTCGAATTGTGAAGTTCTTTGTGACCTAGACATTCAAATGTGCTATTCGTCTGATATAGTATCGACATTCACTGTGCCCTCATCAACAAGGTCAACGGAGTCGTGGTTGTGAGTGGCAAGCGGCCAACTTCTCAACTTTGTCCATGCAGTTTTCCCGACATAGGTTACCTCGTTCTGTATAATTTGCTTGCTCCATTGAATGTAGAGCATACATCTTTTGCCGCACATAATGAGTTGTAAATGTACCCGCCGCCCAAATGCTTTATGTGCTTGTTGACATTTCGAGCTGACTTCATTTGCCCTTGCTTTCCATACATTCACATCACACGTGTCACTGACGTCGCGTGGCCGTCAAGTCGTGCGTGATTCATTCTTGACTCGTGTGACCCGGACCAAATCGCCACCGTCCGTCTCTTGCGTGTTCGTTCGTCCATTGTACAGTACAATTTCCCAAATAGCTCGCCCCTGCGCCTTGGTCATGCTTAACCAATGAAAATGCTCCTCCACACGCCGCCTGCTTGCAGTACTCCTCCATATTGTACAGTACTCCTTGCATCTGCTGGGAAGGACAGCTCTCTCTCCCTCCTCTCCTCCCAAATCATTATTACACCCTTCTAAGCCCAGCCCAACCACTCTAAGTTCAGCCCTGCCTAACGTGGTTGTTGAAACTACGCGGGATCGAATCGAAGCAACGTGGGGTTGAGAGGGTACGCGGAATTGACACTCAGATTGCATTCCCCGTTCAGACACCATCCGAAGTTTGGACACTTGTAGCGGTTTTTGAATGCTGTAAGCCTACTCCTCCTGTTTTAATCTGACCTAGACAACAGCCTACAAATTTTTGTTGGATTGAGAAATACCGTGCGAACTTCTTCACACTGTGAGTACACTCTACGCTACATGTGTCAGTGAGCGTGAGGGAACACAGTGGACCCCGTCCACCCAACAAATACTTCGAGACTCGGTTACTTCTGGGTAAGTTGGGTTCGCTTATCCATGAGCATTTAAAACTACGAGGTGACTCTAGATTAAGACCTTCATTCGGAAACAAATAAAATAACAGCTCAAAGTGTCCGAACTTCGGATGGTGTCCGAACGGGGAATGCAATCTCAGAAACTCAAGGGGCCTATTTATCAGCTGTGGCAGCTGGTGACAGTGCATTGCTGCTTCAGTTTCGTCGGCTAAGAAATTAGCAGCTGGCACAGCTCTTTGCTGCTTTCAGAACCGCCAGCTCGACGAGAGACACGTGAGCGACAAGCGCCGACGCAAGCAAATCAGAGTCCCAGCAAGCACTGCTGCGTTCACTGGCAGGCGGCTGCGCGTTCAACTCGCTTCGTTCACTGCAGCCATGGGCAATTGCATCAGCGGTTGCTGCGGCGACAAAAAGCCTGAGGAGACGCCTGAGGAGACGCCTGTGAAAGGTGGGCATAGATTAAGTAGCGGCGATTAAGACCGACTGCCAACTGTTTTGATTGAAAGTTCGACGCGCATGTTTCTCTCGTGCTCAGAGATCTGCAGCCGAGCTGCAGCTCCTTTTCCCCCCATGTCCGCCTCTTTTGAGGCGCCTAAATGAACGCAGTCTTCCCCCAAAATGCTCGCAACATGTAACGCATTTCTTTTAAGTCGACTCAAAATTCATCTCACAATCCTCCCCCAATATGCTCGCCACTGTAACGCATTTCCCCTCTGCTGTTTTCCCGCTTTCCGCGGCTGCTCCGTTTCCCCCCGTACCGCCGCGGATCCCGCACAGACGAAGCTTCCACTCAAAAGGCCGAAACCGCCGACGCGCCTCAGCCGCCGCCACACACGCCGTCCTCTGTCAAGGACCACCGCCCATACCAATCCGCGCCTCACCTCAAGCCGCGGAGCGTCCATCCTTCCGAAGTCGTTCCCGTCGACCCTTCCCCCCCGCCTACTCAACCCTCCGCGGAAGAACTACCGTGCGCCCCAACCGCCTCCTCCGGAGAGCGCTCGTCCGGAGAGCGCGACCGTTCCGAGGAGCAGGGCGTCGCCGCCGTTCCCCCCCGCAGCGCGGAAGACTCATCGAGCGCCGCCGCAGCCTACTACGACAAATCGCGATCCAGAGATTATTACAACTCTAATTACGTCCCCCAAGCAGTCCAAGACTCATTTGATTATGCCGCCGCAGCCGCAGCTGCAACCGCCGCATCGCCACGACCTTCCGCTGCGAAGGTCGTGGCGGACATTTCCGCCGCCATTTCGTCCGCCGACACAGAGCCTTCTTCCAACTCGGCGCAACTCAATTCCATCACGTGTACACATGGGAGCCTCAGCGACTCCGCGGACGCCTCCGCCTCCGCCTCCGCCTCCGCGCGGATGTCCGCCGACCTCCCTCCGCTCCGCGAGTTCAGCTACGCGGAGCTGCGCGCGGCGACGGGGGGTTTTGCGCCTGCGCACGAGATAGGGAAGGGGGGGTTCGGAACGGTGTACCGCGGGCGGATGATGCTGCCTGCGGGGGACGGCGGAGAGATGGTTGAGCGCGAGGTGGCGGTAAAAGAGACCAACGGAAAGCAGTTCACCGAGCGAGACATGAAGAGCTTCAAGGTGAGTCTACTTTTGAGGTGCCGCGCAAATGCGGATGGCGGAGGGATGGTGCGCGAGGTGGTGGTGAAAGAGACGAACTTCGTTGAAGGGAAAGCAGTTCACTGAGCGAGACATGAAGAGCTTCAAGGTGAGTCTACTTCTGAGGTGCCGCGAATGCGGATGGCGGAGAGATGGTTGAGCGCGACGGGAGGAGGCGGTGAAAGAGACGAACGGAAAGCAGTTCATTGAGCGAGATATGAAGTCTTTCAAGCAGTTTATTGGGTGCTGTCATTGGGTGCTGTCGTGCGTAGTAACAAGCTGGTATGGCTATGGTCAAAAGAAGAAGCAGAAGGGAATTCTAGAAGATTTATTGACCAAATAAAACAGACACCATGATTTTTCTTCCTCTGCTTATCTGTCCACCTCCTTCCGCCTCTTTTCTACTCCGTGATTTCAGGCTGAGGTGGCAGCCATGTCAGCACTAAATCATCCAAACATTCTGAGGCTGGAAGGCGTGGCGTTCAGTGCGGAGCAGAGGCCAGTGCTCGTGTACGAGCTCATCCCAGGAGGCGACGTTTTTAATCTCCTGCGACGAGGTGAGAAGAATGATCTCCTGTGACAAGGTAAGAACCCCCCCCTCTCGTGTACGAATTCTTACGTCTCCTCGTGCATGCGCTCATACCCCTCATTCTCTCACCCCTTCATGAATCTTACTCCCCTTCCTGTGTGATTCCTCTCCAGCAAAGTGAGAGGACTCCGTTCTCCCTACCCGACCCCTTTCCCCCTCCTCTCCCCGCTCTTTCCCCCCCCCTCCCCGCTCCCCTGTTTTCACTCCCATGTTCTTCTCGCATTCCAGTACTTTCTCTCCTCTCGCTGATACAATTCAGCCTGCTTGATAGGCTGTAATGACAAGGCCTATAATGAAGCAATGCGGACGCACAGCTGCTACCCGCATTGCTTCGCTCCCATGCCGACCTGTAAATTCCCACTCTTTACCTCCTACCCTCTTTCAAACAAAACCACGACCCTCTCCCTTCTATCCCCCGTCTCCACCGCTACCCCTGTCCATACTCTCCTCTTCGACTTCCCCCCTCTAGTCCGCAGAAACGAAGCACGGTTTCTGTGGAGGGATCGTGTGAAAGTTGCACCGGGGTGTGCCAGGACCCTAGCTGTCCTTTCAATGCTCTCCCCCTCCCTCCCCCCTCGCCTTTCCCCCCTCCAGTCCGCAGGAACGAAGCACGGTTTCCGTGGAAGGATCGTGTGAAGGTTGCACTGGGGTGTGCTGAGGCGCTGGCTATCATTCATGAAAACAAGTTTATTCACCGCGATTTCAAGTCAATGAATGTGCTTCTGCGACTGGTAAGTCGGGATGGGGTTAGCCTATGGATGAGTGTTTTTTTCTCTTTGCTTATTATCATTTTTTCCTGGTGGGATTGTGTACATTGCAGCGGCATGCTACATTCGTTTCAAAACACCCTGTGATGTCTCTCATCCCAATTGATTGTGTTTGTTTGGAATATGGTTACCACGCCCCAATTCTTTTCGATTGTAACTTGTAACTCGCAGGATCGTACACCCGTGGTGGCTGACTTTGGTTTAGCTCACACAATTGAGGATTGGCAAACACACGTCTCGATGACCGTGGCTGGCTCGTGGGGCTACGTCGACCCACACTATCTTGAGACGGGCCATCTGTGCCAAAACGCTGACACGTACGCGTTTGGCGTGTTTCTTTTGGAGCTTGTTTCTGGCTATCAGCCCGTCGAAGAAGAGTATAAAGAGAAGAAAAAAGAGGTCAGCCCAAAGGATTTCAACAAGCCTTCCTTGGTTGCCGACCCAACCATGGAGGGGGAGTGGGAAAAGAAGCATGTTCTTCAAATCCTTGCTATGGTTCGCTGTGCCACACTCACCAAGCCGCATGATCGGCCTGCAATGGGGCAATTAGTGGCAGTACTTCAGCGTATCTGGAGCGAAATATAGAGCGACTAGACATCGTAGGATGAGTTGTTAAAGTAGGTTTGAGTTCATGCGTGTTTTTGCTCGTGCTAGCAGCTATGTGCATGTGCCATTGTGTTTCTTTATATCGTCTCCAAAAATGGGGAGGCGAAACATGGGTTCTCTCATACCCTGAGTGCAGGAACATGTGCGCTTCTGATAATATACCGTGTACAATCAGAAAAAACGTCCATTTGATGGAGCAAAAGCAATATGGTCATGTATATAGGCTGCAATTGTATTTCGAAGCAGGATGGTGTTGCAAGAAAATCCTTGAAAGAGCCATGAGGATCATTCTAAACGAAGGAGCACGTATAGGTGCGAACGGGTACAATTTGATAATGGGGAAAAATCGTAAGGTTTGGCAAAGTCATGTCAATATCTGCTTCATTTTTTCCTCCATGCTTGAAGTGGAACAGGTGGCAAATGCAGTGTGCTACATGACTGGAGATTGACCGTCAAAAAAATTTGAGTGCACAGTTACAGCTGTTTTTCCAACAAATAAAAAGAAAAATATACTGTAGCAGCGTTTTTTTATTGCATGGTATAAATGTGAATTCTATGTTGACCTAGAGGTTAAGAATGTGCTACGTATCGTATCGAATCATTTTGTCTGTGTGCACTCCCCAACGAAGTCAACGGTGTCGTGGTTGTTGCCAATGCCAAACAGCCCAACGTCGGTCCCTACCGTACTGTAGTGTACCATCTCCGCCCAAGCGGATGTGATGCTTTTCAACGTCCATTCCGTCCCCCTTGAGCCCCCCATCCTGTCCCGTGCACGTCAAGGGATTTTCTCGCCGCGCGCGTAGGGAGGAAGGCACGACGCCACGCCAAGATCCATCCCTGAAATGCTGTCACAATCTCACTGGACGGCGGATGCCAAACTTTGAAGCCTGAATCGACGGCTACGAGATGCCCGTTGTTCCACAACACCCCCAGCCCACATCGCGCACAAGCCAAGTGATCTTCCACCCACCTTCCTCACTTTGACGGTTTCACCTCACTCCACCCCTGTATCCACTTCTAAAAACTTCTCTCTACCACCCATATCCTTCTGCACCAGCATCCGCGCTTCGGCTGAGGTCAACCAATTTCCCCCCAGTGGCTCAATGCATGTCAGCTGTCATACACAGCACCTCTCACATCTACCCTTGCGTATATTCTCGCACTTATCACTATCAGTCCAGAGTGTATAGTAGCGCCTGGCAAAGTCCTCCACCTCTTAGATCTTCTCGTGTGTATATTCTCACAATCGCAATAAAACTCTTGGTGTTTAGTAGTAGCCTATTCATCGCCTGCCGTCCTTACGCTGCGCGACCAGCGCCTCCTGGCAATTCCTCGCTGTCTCGGACAGACACAATCTTCGCAGCCACATATTTTCGTGTCGACTCAGATTCCACCTCGCAATCATTTTTTTTTTCCCTCGGCCTCTGAGTCTCATTATTATTAAGTCTCCGCCGTTTTTTCTCGAAAGCGGCCTTCTCGGAAGCTTCACTTTCAGCCACTTCCAAAGCTCAACTCGCTAGTAGCACCTCATTTCTCGAAGAGCTTAACTCTCGAGACTCATGGGGAATTGTTTCAGCAGCGGTAACGGCAGCGGCAACGAGCATGCGCCGGCGAAATTGACTACGGGCGGTGAGTTCAAAGCAAGGGCTTAGCTCTAAGTTGACTCGAAAGTCTTTCCGCCAGCCTGAATGTTTGAAGATTGAGTTCCCCGACTCGGCTTTATATGTTTTTTTCCCTCCGTTCTGATAATTCCCTCGTCCCGCGCAATCGACCGGCTTGCTCCACTGTCTTTCCACCCGGTTTCTGAGCCCCCTGATCCCTCTTAAGGCGCCTCGAAAGCTCAGACTCACCGACCTACCCATTCCCCATTCCCCATTTCCCGGTTGCCCCGCGCAGACAATTCCGCCCAACCTCCCCCAACCTTTGGCACGCACCAGTTCCCCGCGGCTACCATTCCGCCCTATACGCCGTCCCCCGTGTCGCCCTACCGCGCATGCCATTCCGCGCCTATTCGCGGAGCAACCCCCCACCATTTTTCCGCCATCGTTCCCGTCAGCCCTTCCCCCCCGCCTGCTCAGTTCCCCAGAAACACATCCACTCCACCCCCCCCCTCCTCCTTTCCCCCCTCCCCTTCCGCCAACCGCAATAATGGCTCCTCCGCTTCCCCTTCCGCCAGCCCCAGTCTCCGCGCAAATGCCTTCTACGACTCCGCATATCATGCTTCCGCTTCCGCCAGTACTTCATCAGCGGAACCCCTTCCCCCCGCCATGATTTCCACCGGGTCTTCCGCCAGCCAGTCCGCGGGCAGCTCCGCGGGGTCTTCCCGCGGGGGAAACTCCTCCGCTTCCCCCTCCGCCGTCCCTGTGCTCCGCGAGTTCAGCTTCGCGGATCTGCACGCGGCGACGGGGGGATTTGCGCGCGCCATAGGGGAGGGGGGGTTCGGAAAGGTGTACCACGGGCGGATGGTGCTGCCTGCGGGTGGCAGCAGCAGCATTGGCGGAAGCAGCAGAGTTGCTATGGGTGCAGCATGCGGGGAGATGATGGAGTGTGACGTGGCAGTGAAAGTGATGAATGGGAAGAATGTTACTCGTGACTTCATGAGCTTCAAGGTGAGCGAAGAGCGAACATACGCGAATGATTCCCAGGAATTCGATCTACAGTAAATGTGGTGACTCGCAATAACAATAATTGAAGGCATGGAACATCTGATAGTCATCTGTGTTATTTTGCAGTGCATTTCACCCATTCATCCTATCCCCTCTGCCTCTTATCCACTCCGTGATTTCAGGCTGAGGTGGCAGCCATGTCAGCAGTGAATCATCCCAACATTCTGAGGCTGGAAGGCGTCGCACTAGACACATCCCAAGGACCGATGCTCGTGTATGAGCTCATCCCGGGAGGCGATGTCAAGAACTTGCTCAAACAAGGTGAGAAGACCTACCTCTCATGTTGATGTGGTACTAGACACATCCCAAGGACCGATGCTCGTGTATGAGCTCATCCCAGGAGGAGATGTCAAGAACTTACTCAAACAAGGTGAGAACAGTTCCCTCTCACGTAGTTCAATGGCTTGGGGGAGGGAGGGAGGGGGCAATGTTCAGTCGATGCTCGTGTATGAGCTCATCCCAGGAGGTGATGTCAAGAACTTGCTCAAACAAGGTGAGCCTATTTACCTTGCACTCCCTTTCCTTCGCCTCCGCACCCCTCTCCACTCTGCTTAGTCTTCTCTCTCAAAATTTCATTCTTCCCTTCCATGTTCAGCCTCAAATCTCCCTCTCCTTCGTTTCCCCTCCCCTCTCCTCATTCCTTCCAATGGAGGCATCGCATGCACGAAGGTGCTTTTTCGAAGCGCCTCAAATTCCCCCTTCTACCTCGCACCCACCTCTCCCCTCTCCCTTGGGGCTCCCCTCTCCTGCCCCCATTGAGTCCAGAAAAACAACAATCACTTCCCATGGAGGCATTGCATGAACAATATTCTGGAAAGTCATTTGAGATGCCTCTAATTCCAGCTCTCTCCCCTTTTGCCTCTCTCCTTCCCCCATTCAGTCCACAATAGTGGTATTCACTTCCCATGGAGGCATCGCATGAAGGTGGCACTGGGGTGTGCCGAGGCCTTAGCAACAATTCACGAGCACCAGTTCGTTCATCGCGATTTCAAGTCTTCAAATGTGCTTCTGAGAGAGGTATGGAGTTGAGACAACATCTTACATGTTCTCCTTCCCATCACAGCTCGGACAATTGTGCTGTTCAATTCCACCAATGATTTTGTTGACTAATCTGCATGCCTCTTTTTCTTCCCCTTCTTTACTTATGTAATTCGCAGGATTTCACTCCAGTGGTGGCCGACTTTGGTCTGGCTCGCACAATTGAAGACTGGAAAACACATGTGTCAACGAAAGTGGTCGGTTCAATGGGATACATCGACCCGATTTATCTCCAGACGGGCCAGCTAAGCCAGAAATCTGACACATTTGCATTTGGCGTGTTTCTATTGGAGCTCATTTCAAGCTGCAATCCCCTCAACGCTAAGTATCAATACCTGAGGCAGTTGGTAATCTCCAAGGATCCACCAGAACCGTCCTCAGTCATTGATCCTTCAGTTGAAGGGGAGTGGTCGAGGAGGCATGCTTTTATTCTCTTCACTCTGGTTCGCTTTGCCATTTGCTGCAATTGGGAACAAAGGCCTCCAATGTCAGTCATTGCCGCCAAGCTTAGGACGATTTGCAGCGAGATAGAGAACTGAGATTTGTTTCCCGAGCCAAAAGGTATTGGGTAATGTGTTATTGTTGTGTTCATATTGTTGTGGTGGCCAGATTGGATGAGGATTTCTATATTGTGCAGTAGATACGAGCAGCTGAATAAGTACCGTAGTACCAGGGGATTCGTGTGCTGTAATTGTTGGATGTAATGCGCTGACTATTGGAAGTTGTTGTCACATCACGTCACATCACATCACATCACATCACATCACATGACATGCAACGCAAGCTTCGAATTCGCTCCTGTGTTCCCACATCGTCCAGTGCCAGACTCGCATGGCTGGTGCGCTGATGCTCGCCCAGCAAGAACAGAAAGTGCAGGGTAGACTTGGGACATGGGTACGGTATACCGTACATGGTAGTCATGAGTAAGCTACCAACTGTAACAGCAAGGCAAGAGTAGGTACACCGCTAACAGGAAAGTAACAATAGCTATACTAATCCACGCACTACATGCAACTATATTGGAATATGATTAACCAGAAGCAACCATGCTCTACTCCGACTTCAACGTCTCTGGTGATTCTTGTATGATGAAACATAATGGCAAAGATTCTAGGAGCAACATCAACAAGAGACCGTACATCAGATTGAGCCCCAATATCCAAAAGCAACTCACCAGATCCTACACTACACATCGAGCTTCAATTGTCGGCCGGAATTGCGGTCCAGATGTTTGTAAGTTCTGTGACAATACGGTCCATATTGATCCGAGCCCTCAAGCTCGTATTAGTGGCAAAGCGAGCCAGAACCAGCATTGTAAGAACATGCCCCGGTTCCCACTCCTCGTCTATAGTTGGGTCAGTAACCGAGGCGGCGTTGCTAAAATTTCTCAGGCTGACCAGCCTCTTCAGCTCTTGATACCGTTGATCGAGGGGTGCATAGCCGAAAATCAGTTCCAAAAGGAACACGCCGAATGCGTATGTGTCAGCCTCCTGGTTTAGTTGGCCTGTCTGCCAGTAGTTTGGGTCAATGTATCCTAACGAGCCGACCACTGCTGTTGACACGTGCGTTCTCCAGTCCTCTATGGTGCGAGCCAAACCAAAGTCAGCCAACACCGGAGTGAAATCCTGCGAGTTACGGGGTACAGTCGAGACAACAAATGAGACGAGAATCGGGGTGACGGGACATCACAGCATGCTGCTGAAAAGAATGCAGTATGTAGCTGGAGTGGACACATTTTAGCCGAATAATGGTTAGCACAACATGATCGGGAAAAGATGAATAATAAAAGCAAGAGGAGAGAGTACACACATACAATTGACATGGGAATCACAAGCTAAACTCTCTAACCCGCCATACCTCTCGCAGAAGCACGTTTGACGACTTGAAATCGCGGTGAATGAGCCTGTTTTCGTGAATGGCAGCTAGCGCCTTGGCACACCCCAGTGCCACCTTCACACGATCCTTCCACGGAAAACGTGCTCCGTTCCTGCGGACTGAAGATGAGGGGCGGAGGGGAACGCGAGGGGAGAGTGGGAGGAGGGGGGAGAGGGGGAGTGGTGGGTAGGAGCAAAGAAATGAGACCTCGCATGTCGAGCCAACATGGGAGAGAAGCAATGCTGGCAGCATGGGAGAGAAGCAATGCTGGCAGCATGGGAGAGAAGCAATGCTGGCAGCATGGGAGAGAAGCAATGCTGGCAGCATGGGAGAGAAGCAATGCTGGCAGCATGGGAGAGAAGCAATGCTGGCAGCATGGGAGAGAAGCAATGCTGGCAGCATGCGAGAGAAGCAATGCTGGCAGCATGGGAGAGAAGCAATGCTGGCAGCATGGGAGAGAAGCAATGCTGGCAGCATGGGAGAGAAGCAATGCTGGCAGCATGGGAGAGAAGCAATGCTGGCAGCATGGGAGAGAAGCAATGCTGGCAGCATGGGAGAGAAGCAATGCTGGCAGCATGGGAGAGAAGCAATGCTGGCAGCATGGGAGAGAAGCAATGCTGGCAGCATGGGAGAGAAGCAATGCTGGCAGCATGGGAGAGAAACAATGCTGGCAGCATGGGAGAGAAGCAATGCTGGCAGCATGGGAGAGAAGCAATGCTGACAGCATGGGAGAGAAGCAATGCTGACAGCATGGGAGAGAAGCAATGCTGGCAGCATGGGAGAGAAGCAATGCTGAAAGCATGGGAGAGAAGCAATGCTGGCAGCATGGGGACTCTTCTCACCTAATAGGAAAAGATAAGCTCATACACGAGAAGAGGAGGGGTAAGGTACATGAAGGGATAAGAAGCGGGGACTCTTCTCACCTCGTGCTAGAAGATTTCTGACATTGCCTCCTGGGATGAGCTCATACACGAGAATTGGCCTCTGCTCCATGTCCATCGCCACGCCTTCCAGCCTCAGAATGTTGGGATGATTCAGTGCTGACATGGCAGCCACCTCAGCCTGAAATCACGGAGTAGATATGAAGCACATTTGATCGGACACAAAAAGCAAAGAGGGGAAGGAAAGGCTAAATGGTTCTTTTTCTTTCCGCCAAAAAAAAGCTCCGTAATTTCGACATTGTTTCTTTTTCTTCAGAAAGTTTTCACCACCACAGCTATTATACCCCGGGCTGCCCGTCTACGCACTGGAGCACTCACCACGAAGCTCAAAAGCAGTTTAGGTTCGGCCACCACAGCTAGTAGCATACCCCGGGCCGCCCGTCTACGCGGCACTAGCGCACTCACCACGAAGCTCAAAAGCAGTTCGAAGCTCAAAAGCAGTTTAGGTTCGGCCACCACAGCTAGTAGCATACCCCGGGCTGCCCGTCTACGCACTAGAGCACTCACCTCAAAGCACCGCATGTCTCTCTCGGTGAATTGTCTGCCATTCGTCACTTTGACTGCCACCTCACGCTCCCTCGTCGCGCCCCCGTCCGCATCCTGCGGGAGCATCATCCGCCCGCGGTACACCCGTCCGAACCCCCCCTCCCCCAATAACTCCGAAAACCCCCCCGTCGCCGCGCGCAGCTCCGCGTAGGCGAACTCGCGGAGCGGAGGGAGGCCGGCGGACGTCCGCGCGGAGGCGGCGGCGTCGCGGGCAGAGCCCATGGCGGAAACCTGCGCGGGGAGAGAGGACTCGGCGGAGGAACTGGCGGAGAGAAGCGGCGGCGGCTGCGGCTGCGGCTGCGGCTGTTGCGCGGGCGCGGCGGCGTCGCGGGCAGAGCCCGTGGCGGAAACCTGCGCGGGGAGAGAGGACTCGGCGGAGGAGCTGGCGGGGAGAAGCGGCGCCGCCGGCGGCGGCGGCTGTTGCGCGGGGGGCGCGGCGGAAAGACTCGACGAGTCCGACGCGGCGCGGTAGGCTTGGGGGTCGAAGCTCGAATTGTAATAGGCTGCGGATTGCGAAGGGTCATAGTAGGCAGCGCCGGCTGCTGCAGCGGAACTCGATGAATCGTCGTAAGGGCCGCGGGATGACTCTTGAGTCGACTCAAAAGTCACCTCGTTGTAAGGGCCTCGGGACTCTTGAGTTGACTCAGGAGTCACCTCGTAAGGTGGCTCTCCTGAGGAGGCGGCTGGGGCGCGCGGTAGTTCTTCCGCCTGAGGCGGCGGCGGCGGGGAGGGGGAAGGGTCGACGGGAACGACTTCGGAAGGGTGGAGGCCCCGCGGGCGGAGGAGCGGCGCGGATTGGTACGGGCGGTGGTCCGCAACGGAGGACAATACGTGCGCGCTGGCGGTTTCAGTCTGTTGAGCGGAAGCGGCGGCGCCTGTACGGGGCGAGGGGGACAGAGGGGCGGACGCTTGAAAACAGCAGCGGAGAAATGACTTGAAGCGGAAATGGGAGAAATATCTCGGCTGCATTTTACTCGGAAATGGAAGAAACCAGAGGCTCTGACTTTCTAACATAAAGTTTAGAGCAGGAGGGAACGGACCGTCAAGTGACATTTTAACGTAATAGTCAAAAGTATCATGACGACAGAAGAAAATCCGGGACGCGACTCACCTCGATAACTATGACCCACCTGTCGATTTTACTGTCCGCGCCTCTGCGTCGCCGCGAAAACAGCTGACGCAGTTGCCCATGGCTGCAGTGATTGACGCGAGTTGAACGTCACGTTCGGAGAAGCCTCAGGCCAAAAATAATTAACCAGGGCCTGTTTACGGCTGAGACTTTGCTTCGTTGGCGACAGCGCTTGTCGTCAACGTGACTCTCGTCAAGATAGTTCTCGCGCCTTGGCGGCTTCTGAAGGAGCAAGAAGCTGCTGCTAGCTGCGACAACTGTCGGTGCGGTGATTTCCTAACTCAAGATGGTCATGATGAATATTTTGGGAGCTGACGATTGGGCTTTTACGACTGACGGGAGCGGGATCGGATTTGGGATTACCGCGTGTGTCCGGAGATAAGGTCAGAATGCGGTTGAATATGGGCTAGTACGATCTAGAGCGTTCTACTTTAGCTTTGAAGTGGTTGGATATGGTACAGTCTCGAGTAGTTTTTTTCGGACCCCCCCACCTCAGGGGGAGAGGGGGAAGGGCTTTCAATTCAACACGGTTGCGTGGGGTCCAGGGCTCTGGCTCAGTCGGACCCGCACGGGGCTTTGCGGAATAGAAGGGGCGGGGTGTGAAGAGCCTTTTGATTGGCTAGGCACGAGCGAGCGAATCAGGGAAGGGAATGGATTTTGATTTTCCGTAATGCATGAAAATTGATGGTGCTGGTGGGAGGGACGAGGATATCTGACCGCTCGAGCCACTACATAGCTACAAATGCTGGGCACAACTTTCGTAAACCACACCAGACCACACCATGTCACACCACCACCGTACCATAACACACCAAACCACAATTGATGCCTGTGCACGGCTGCATCAGGCGGATTTCCCACTTCCCAACCCCCATCACTCACGCCACGCCACAATCGAAGTTGTGGCTAGGGGTCCCTCCCTCGCTCTTTTCCTCCACTCACACCACGCCACACACTCTTCCCTTCCCACCACGGAAACATGTACCGTGCCGTGCACGATGATTCTCATTCCGCACCAGGCCTGTCGAAGTTCCTGGGGCTCGTACTTGCGCTCCCCAGCTCCTCCCCATCTGACCCTTGGTTGGGTGTAGGTGAGCGTTTTGGCGCCCTTAACGGGCACGGGCGCACCCCAAAGTGAAAACTTGAAATCCGGGCATGTGCGAAGTTTGCACTTACACTGTATTTGGTTAAGTGAGAGAGCTGCTACGCTAGAGTGCTTCAGTTCCTTTGACGTGCTAAGGGAAAGTTCGGGTGCTCCAAGACTGACTGGGACACACTACACACACGAGATCGGCTAGAAAACGCCAAGGGAAAAATTCCCTCCGCGCGCTCTCGTGCAGGCTAAGGAGAAGAGGGGGGAGGGGGGCGGGGTGGTTGTCTCTGGCACCCTGGGGGTGGGGGACCAACGATCGGAAACCAAAACTTAGATAAAGGGGAAGGCCTGGTTTCGTCCCTTAACGCATCCGGGGAAGGGTCAAACGAAGCACTTAGTGGCACGGGTGGGGTGCGAATCTAAAACTTGACGCATTGGAGCTGGAGCGAAACTAGCCCTTAATGTCAGGGCATTAAGGGCATATGCCCGTCAATCGACAGGCCTGTTCCACACCCCAATTCGCTCTCGCATGCGAGTTGGTTGAGCATAGCCAATCAAAAAGCTCCCTCTCATCCACCAAATCCGCGTGCGACTCGGAATCGAAGCAACTACAAGGAATACTGCCCATTCGCATCCGTCCTCTTCCCCAACCCCTTCCCTTCCCCCACTCCCCCCCGCCCCAAATTTCCCAATTCCTCCCCCGCTCAACCCTTCCATCTCACGCAAAACAGGTTCTCGCCTCTCGTTGAAGCTCATTTCGTAACGTGCGTTAGAAATGCTCGAGCGCCGACTGCCAGGCCGAAGATCTTAGGCAAAGTAGCTGCAAGCGGCAGCTCCTCGCTGCTTCAGGCGTTGCCCGGGAGCGCGAGAAGTCGTTGACGAGACGCGTCGGCGACAACCATTGTCGCCAGCGAATCAGAGTCTGCTTGCTCGTTCAACTCGCTGCATTAAATTCTCAACACCCACAACTCACATAGCAGCTCGAGTTTTAAGACTAGTAACGCGCCGATACATCGGTAATTAGTAGCACCTGGCGGCAGCTCTTAGGCCCTTCAGAAGCCAAACTGTTTGCTTGCGTTGAACTCGCTACATTCGTTGTAGTCATCTTTTGAGGCGCCAACACCGCTGTCGCCAGAGAATCAGAGTCTCAGCAAGCAGGTTGATTGCGCCTTCAACTCACTACCTGCAGCCATGCGTAATAGCTTCTTTCGCCGCGGTGAGTCATAGGTGGTTAACGTTAACGACCTCGCCGAGTTGAGGCGATTCACGTCACGACCCAGACTTGACTGTTGTGCAGACCGCACTGCCAGTCGCATTGACAAAACGTCAGTCGCTTGGAAGCATGATGACATGGCATCGCGGAAAAGGAAAGGGAGGAAAGTGACGTCAACGTGAATCTTCTGTCACGTGTGAAATGTCACGGAAAAGTGACTCAACCCGTGTCATTTTTCGGAAGCTCTGTGTGGTGTTCCTGAAACATTTCGTATAGAAACCTACGGCGACCAAAATTTCGAGTTTGCCTTTCCCGCGATGAGATCTTAAGCAAGTTCAACGGAACCTGCATCGCGGGTACCTCGCCCCATCGAGGCTCTCTTTAACAAATCCCATTGGGTCGAAAGCCAGTTTTTGAGAAATCCTTTCAGTAAACTGCAGCGGATGTATTTTGCAACTCTCCCCAAAATCTCCCCCCAATTTTTCCAGAAACTTCTATATATTTTCCCCTATTTTTTCCCCTTCCCGCTCCTCCGTTGCCCCCCATCGCCCCGCGCAGGCGCCGCCGTTTTCCCGCTCGCTCCACCCCGCGAGTTTACCTTCGCGGAGCTGCACGCGGCGACGGGGGGATTTTCGGACTTACTGGGGGAAGGGGGATATGCGCAGGTGTACCGCGGGCGGATGAAGCTACCTGCCGGCGGAAGCGGCGCCACTGGCGGCGGGAGCAGCGCGGGTGGCGCTGGTTTTGTCGCAGGCGGTGACGGCGAGACGAGGGAGTGCGACGTGGCGGTCAGAGTGACGAAAGGAGAGCCATTCACGACTCGACAGCTACATGGCTTCATGGCAAGTATATTTCAAGTCATAATGCCTTTAGGGCAACTAGCTCAAAACATTCGCCAAAATGAGGAGAAGAGAAAACATAAGAACTTCTAGCCTCGGGCATTCATCCAAATTAAATCCCAAGGGGTCCTTGCATATTTCTCCAATTTCATCTGCCTCCTTATCTGGTCCATGATTTCAGGCTGAGGTGGCAGCCATGTCAGCAATGGATCACCCCAACATTCTGAGGTTGGAAGGCATGGGGATCGACACAGAACAGAAGCCGGTTCTCGTGTATGAGTTGATCCCTGGAGGCAACGTCAAAGATCTTCTCAGAAGAGGTTGGTTGTTTGTAGTTGGAGCCTTTTCGGTGATGGTGGTGGTGGTGGGGAGGAGGGAGGGAGGAGGGGGGAAGTGGGGGGGATAATATGTGGTTCTTGTGTATAAGCTGATCCCTCCCCGTTTTGCTCCACCCAATCAGCTCTCACATGTTCTTCCTCGCATGTTTGATCTCGCTTTTCTTGACCTAATGTGCTCTAGTGACCCTGCCGCGTGAGCACTCTCACACTTCACCTGCTGTCAGCACTGCTCCATTCCCGTGTGAAGAATGATTCTATTTGTCCGACCCTCTTTCGAACCCCTTTCCTCTTAAGCCACTGTCCCTCGACCCCCCCATCCCTCCCCCTCTACCACTCGACCTTCCCCCCTCTCCCCCTCGCCTTCCCCCATCCAGTTCGCAGGAACGAAGCACGGTTCCCGTGGAAAGATCGCATGAAGGTTGCGCTGGGTTGTGCCGAGGCGCTAGCTGTCATTCACGAAAAGGGGTTCATTCACCGGAATTTTAAGACGAGGAAGGTGTTGCTTCGAGAGGTACTGGTTAGGGTTTAGCCGTGCGTGTCTGCGTTCCATCCCTTTTTTTATGGTTATGTTGTGCTAACCCTGTATCATGTTCACTCCAGCCATATCCTACATTCGTTGTACCACCATGTTGCGATCTCTCACCACATCTCATTATCATTTGTTTGCTGTAAATTTCTCTGCCCCAATTCGTTCCGTTCGGAACGTGTAACTCGCAGGATCTCACTCCTGTGGTTGCCGGCGTTGGTTTGACTCGTTTCGTTGGGGACTGGGAAAGACGTGGCGAGTCGACACAAGCTGTTGTCGGCACGTCGGGCTACATCGACCCAAGCTATGTTTATACAGGCGAAATATGCCAGAAAGTTGACGTATACGCGTTTGGTGTGTTTCTTCAGGAGCTCGTTTTCGGCTACAACCCCATGGACGAACGGTATCAAGAGCTGAAGATTGTGGTTGGCCCCAGAGATTTTGATAACCCTTCTTTGGTTACGGATCCCACAATGGAAGGGGAATGGGAAGCGGAGCATGTTCTTCGTATAATTGCTCTAGCTCGCTCTGCCCTTAACCCTGTCCCAACAGAACGGCCTCCAATCAACAGTATCATTGTAAACCTCCGGGCACTTTGGAGCGAAATGTGAGATGACAAGTATAATTAGAGAATAAGATGGGTTGATTGATAAAGGATGTTCCAAAAAAATACATAGTTAAGGTGTGTGAATGTGTTATTATATTTTATAACTACATAGCGATTGTGTCTGATTGGAGATCTCATTATATCAGGGTCTGGCAATCCGGGATATTTTTTTTTCCCCATGCTCGTTGTCCGGGAGATCTCACACCCACAAAAAATTGCACCACCGCACAATCCATCCGAGGTAAGGCAAGGCGAGGCAAAGAGAAGTAACAAAAACTACACTAATCTATGATTTAACGGAAACAACCATGCTGTACTCGGGCTAAAACAAAATGAGATAATTTTGATGATAAAACATGCCAAATGGTAAAGATTCTAGGAGCAACATCAACAAGGTACATCAGATTGAACCTCAGTATTCATCAGCAACTCACCATATCCTACACAACACGTCTAGCTACAATGGGCAGCCGAAATTTCGTTCCAGATGTTTGTGGTAAGTTTTTCGACTATCTTGTCCATATCGATTCGATTCCTCAAGCTCGGATTAGTGGCGAAGCGAGCCAGAACCACCATTTGAAGAACATGCCCCAACTCCCACTCCCCCTCTATAGTTGGGTCGGTAACCGAGGCGGCGTTGCTAAAATCTCTCGGGCTGACCACGCTCTGTAGCTCTTGAAACCTTTTATCGAGGGGTGGATAGCCAAAAATCAGCTCCAAAAGGAACACACCGAACGCATATGTGTCAGACTGCTGGTTTAGTTGGCCTGTCTGCCAGTAGTTTGGGTCAATGTAGCCGCGAGAGCCAACCACTGCTGTTGACACGTGTGTTCTCCAGTCCTCAATGGTGCGAGCCAAACCGAAATCGGCCAACACTGGAGTGAAATCCTGCGAGTTACAGGTTGGTGAGAATTGGGACACGGGAATAACGTGAAAAGTAAACCAAATGCAACGAGAGTCGAGACGATGAGACATCACAGGATGCTGCTAAAATGAATGCAGTATGTAGCTTGAGTGGACACATTTTAGCTGGAAAATGGTTAGCTCGGGAAGTGAAGAATCACAAAGCAAGAGCAGAGAATACACACATACAAAAAACATGGGAACCATAGGCTAAACTCTTTAACCCGTCATACCTCTCGCAGAAGCACGTTTGCCGACTTGAAATCACGGTGAATGAACCTGTTTTCGTGAATGATAGCTAGCGCTTGGGCACACCCCAGTGCAACCCTCACACGATCTCTCCACGGAAACCGTGCTTCGTTCCTGCGGACTGGATGGGGGAATGAGAGGAGGGAGAGCGGGGAAATGGGACGGGGGATGGTGGGGAGAGTGTAGGAGCAAAAAAATGAGACCTCACACTTGGAGACAACATGGGATGGAAGCAATGCTGACAGCAGCTGACAAGTGAGGGGTGAAAGGCCTGGCATTTCTAATTCCAACCCCCCCCCCCCCCTCCCTCCCCGCAGCCACCAACTGCAAAACAATTAAACAGCATGAAAGGGGACTCTTCTCACCTCGTCGGAGAAGTTTCATGACGTCGCCTCCAGGAATCAGCTCATACACGAGAATTGGCCTCTGCTCCATGTCCATCGCCACGCCCTCCAACCTCAGAATGTTGGGATGATTCAGTGCTGTCATGGCAGCCACCTCAGCCTGAAATCACGCCATAAATACGAAGCAGATGTGATTGGACACGTACGCAAAAAAGGGCAAAGAGCGGCATGGTTTCTGATGCAAGCATGATAGCTACATGATTTCTGTCTTTCCTTGTACGGAATTTTCCAACATCGTTCCTTCTTCAGAACTTATTGAAGTTTCGGCCAACACAGCTAGCATACGGTACCCCGGCCTGCCCATCCACGCACTACCGCACTCACCTCGAAGCACTACCGCACTCACCTCGAAGCACTACCGCACTCACCTCGAAGCACTACCGCACTCACCTCGAAGCACTACCGCACTCACCTCGAAGCACTACCGCACTCACCTCGAAGCACTACCGCACTCACCTCGAAGCACTACCGCACTCACCTCGAAGCACTACCGCACTCACCTCGAAGCACTACCGCACTCACCTCGAAGCACTACCGCACTCACCTCGAAGCACTACCGCACTCACCTCGAAGCACTACCACACTCATCTCGAAGCACTACCGCACTCACCTCGAAGCACTACCGCACTCACCTCGAAGCACTACCGCACTCACCTCAAAGCACTGCAGGTCTCTCTCGGTGAATTGTCTGCCATTCGTCACTTTGACGGCCACCTCGCGCTCCCTCGACGCGCCGTCGCCCGCAGCCTGCGGCAGAACCATCCGCCCGCGGTACACCTTTCCGAACCCCCCCTCCCCTATGGCGTGCGCGGGCGCAAATCCCCCCGTCGCCGCGCGCAGCTCCGCGTAGCTGAACTCGCGGAGCGGAGGGAGGCCGGCGGACGTCCGCGCGGCGGATGAATCGTTGTAAGGGCTGCGGGGCTCAAGATCTTGAGTCAAATCATAAGTCACCTCGTGGTTAGGGCTGCAGGACTCTCCGACGGAGGCGGCTGGGGGGCACGGCGGTCGTTCTTCCGCCTGAGGCGGCGGCGCCGGAGAGGGGGAAGGGTTGACGGGAACCACTTCGGAAGGGTGGGGGTTCTTCGAGCGGAGGAGAGGCGCGGATTTGTATTCGCGGTGGTCCGCAACGGGGGACAGTACGTGCGCGCCGACGGTTTCGGTCTGTTGAGCGGAAGCGGCGGCGCCTGTACGGGGCGACAAGGGGAGGCAGCGGAGCGTGAAAGACAGCAGAGGGAAAACGAGTTGAAGCGGTAATGGGAGAAATATCTCGGCTGCATTTCACTCGGAAATGGAAGAAATCAGAGGCTCTGACTATCTAACGTAAAGTTTAGAGCAGGAGGGAACGGACCGTCAAACATTCTAACCGTAAAAATTGAAACGACTGACAGTGGCAGTCGAAATTCGGGACGCGAATCACCTCGATAACTATGACCCACCTGTCGCTTTTACTGTCCGCGCCTCTGCGTCGCCGCGAAAACAGCTGACGCAGTTACCCATGGCTTCAGTGAAGGACGCGAGCTGAACGCGGAAGCAGCCTCTGGCCAAAATTTTCGAACGCCAAAATTTAAACAGGGCCTACGGCTGAGACTTTGCTTCGCTGGCGACAGCGCTTGTCGCCACTGTGTCTCTCTTCAAAGGACTTCTCGCGCCTCGGCGGCTTGTGAAGCAGCAAGAAGCCGTCAGCTGCTACTTCTGTCGCTGTGTTGATTTTCAAACTCGAATGACAAAATGGGCTTCAGAGGATAGTGAAAATTAGTTTGGGCTGAACTGACGAGATTGCGCTGGGATGGGCTGGGTTGGTGGGAGGGCGAGGAATTGGGCGGGACTTGGGAATAGGGCGTGTCGGAAGTATACTTTCGAATGCGGTTGAGTACGTCACGGAACATTCCAAAGGGTTTTGTTTAAGAAATTAACTGGTTGGTTAGGGTAGTGTTGCGAGTACATACTTTTCGGAGCCGCCCTTAGGGGGAGGGGGGGGGAGGGCTTGCAGTTCAATGCAGCTCGTTGATTGGGTTTAGGATTTCGCACGCGGATTTCCGGAATAAGAGGTAGGGGTGCTGTTCGCCAGCACGTCGTTTTTAAAATTGAAAACGATGCCATCAGCATCGCGACCACAAATGGAAACGGGGGCGGAACCCTCCTCCGAGGTTTGGGCGAAATGCCGCCCGAGAAACTACGCGCGCCCAAAAGGCGAAATTTCGCAACCGCACATGGAAGGTCCATCCCCACCTTCCCCCCAATGGTGCGAAATTTGCTCATCACTGACCCTGTGCGAAATTTGCTGCCCGCCGTGCAAAATTTTCTCAACGTGGGTAAAAAGCGCAAATAAAACACCCCCCGCTCAAACATGACTCCCCCCACCTCGACCAAGTTATGTGCGGGGGGAATCTCGAAGGTGTGTTTGGGATGGACAAATGGGGGGTATACGAACCCCGCTTTGTCAAACTGAGGGCTTGTTCCCGGGTTCCCCTGAACAGCGATGCGTCCGCTGTGCCACCGCTGTGCCACCGCTGTGCTTCTAAAAATGCCGCATGACGATGGCATTGCAAGGGGATGGTGTTTTGCCTGGGGAGGAAGTTTCGTCCCCGCTTCCATATGCCGTCGAAACGTTGAAATTGGTGTACAAAAGTGGGCGTTCGCCAGACGCCCAGTTTGTTAATTGGTTTGGACGGTTGGTGAGGCTCGGCACATTTTTCACGGGCTGACCAAGCTGACGGAGGTTAACGAACTCTAACTGACGGGATCAGGAAGGCGAGACCCACCTTCCTGATCCCGTCGTTATCCCGTCGTTTTTAGATATGATGGTGCTGGCGAAACGCCCCAGGGTGTGACGAGCCTTTTAGTTGGTTATACACAAAGCGAGCGAATCAGGGAAGGGAGAGCCTTCTCTGCGGTGCATGAAATTGATGGTGCTGGTGGGAGGGTGAAGTGAACACTCAACGGCAGTGATTCCAAGGGGGAAGTCGTCCGACGATTTGAGACACTTCATGCTACAACTGTTGGACACTGTAACCTTACACACACTAAGGACGTGGTGCAGAACGGGTCCAGACCCGGTGCACCGAGGCGTCCCGGGGCGTGCCGGGGCGCCCCAGCCCGCCCCGTGGCAAGCGTCTCAATTTCGGGTATCCTTCGAAGAGCTGAGTTTGAACCTTCGACCAGCAATTGGCGAACGCGAAAAACTCCAATAAAAATTTCGGTCAAGAATGCTGACTTGGTAAATTGTCGCCCAACAAATTGTTACACAAATCTCGCAATTGATCCTCCCCAAGTAATATTTCGCAACCATCTAAAACTTTAACGAGATCCTAGCGCGACAATTTAGCTAGTAACAAATATTTCGAGAGTTCGCAAACCTTCCGAACATGGTGGGGGGCCCCAGAGCACGCCCCGGAGCGTGCCGGCACGGGTCGGTGCATCGCCTCGTCCCGGCACGCCCCGGGACGAGGCGATGCACCGGGTTCCTGTGTGCACGGAAGCTTCGAAACCCGGTGCACCGTGGTGCATCGGGGCATGCCAAGGCGTTCTGCACCACGTCCTAAACCACACTAGAACGTACCAAAATACACACTACCCGCACATTTGAAACTTGCGCGCATTTGGCCATCAGGCGAATCCCCCCTCCTCCTCCACCCCCGCCACTCACACCACACCACATTCGAACTTGTGGCCAGGCGCTCAATTCCTCCGCTCACACACACTCTTCCCTTCCCACCACAAAAACATGTACCGGGCCGTGCACGGATGATTCTCATTCCACGCCCCAATTCGCTCTCGCATGCGACTTGGTTTAGCATAGCCAATCAGAAGGCTCCCTTACATCACCAACCAAATCGGCGTGCGGCTCGGAATCGAAGCAACTGCAGGGCAGAGCCCTTCGCCGCCATCCTCCCCCCTTCCCCTTCCCCTCCCCCTCTCCCCCCCGCCCCAATTATTCCGATTCCTCCCCTGTTGGCCCAGCCCAACCAACCGTCTCAGGCAAAAGCCGCAAAACGGATTCCCCTTCGCTGCTCACGCTCACTCAAGCTAACTTCCTGACTCCAGTTTAGAAAATCTCGAGCGCCGATTCATCGCCGTTAGAAGAAGTGACAGCTAGCGGCAGCTCCTCGCTGCTTCAGGCGTTGCCTGGTCGCGCGAGAAGTCATTTGACGAGACGCGTCGGCGACAACCATTGTCGCCAGCGAATCAGAGTCTTCTTGCTTGTTCAACTCGCTGCATTCACTGCATTTAGCGTTCGATTCGAGGCGCCAATATACCTGCGCTGCCGCCAGAAAATTAGAATCTCAGCAAGCAGGCTGCTTGCTCGTTCAGCTCGCTTCCTTCACTGCATTCATCTGTTTAGTCGCCTTAAAGACCGCTATCGCCAGCGAATTAAAGCCTCGGTCGCAATCAGCCTGCCCGCGCCGCGTTCAAATCTCCTACGTACGCCGCCATGGGCAATCTCTTCAGCTGCTTTCGCGGCAAAGGAAAGGCGCTGCCTGTGAAAGGTGAGCCAGAGGCTCATCTGACAGAAAGTTCTGTCGAGGTAATGTGCGGCGACGGAAAGGCGCGGCCTGTGAAAAGTGAGCCAGATTTAATCTGACGAAATAAATTACTACGAGAGGCGACGGAGGTGATGAGGTGATTCGCGGCGACGCCGAAATGTTGCTTGAATACAAATGTCGAATCATCTCTCCGTACAGGAGAGGCGCGGCCTGCGAAAATTACGGATGAGGTAGCGAGTCATCGTGGAAGGTAACGAGTTCCGAACTGGTTGCCAGGGATCATTCAACTGGTTGACTCGCACTCATCGCGGACATGGACTTCGACTGTCGGCCGACTGCCAGTCATTTAGTTGAACGTCCGAAGCTCATATTTGCATCGTGCTCAGAGATCTTCATCCGAGCCGCGGCGGCTCGTACTTCTTCCGTTTCCGCCTCGCACTGAAGTTCTTCCTTTTCCTTGTCGACTCAAAACTGACACCGAATTCAGTCGGATTTTCTAGTTCGGTGTTTCTTTTATTCCCGGCGCATCTCACAATCACCCTTGAATGTCTCCGCCACTGTAACTCATTTCCCCTCTGCTGCTTTTTCCACCTCCGTTCCCCTCTTTGCTCCGTACAGGCGCCGCTTCCGCTCAACAGGTCGAAACCGCCGGCGAGCCGCTCCTCCGCCCGCCGCGGGCCATCATGCAGCCTTCCGAAGTCGTTCCCCTCAATCCTCCCCCCCCGCCTGCTCAATCCCCGGCGGAAAACCCAACGGCGCGCGCCCCACCCGCTCCCTCCGGAGAGCCTTCCAGCTCTCGCTCCCCTGCCAGCCGAGACAATGCTCCCCCTGCTGCCGCCGGCGCAACTTCATGCGCCCCTCGCGACTCCGCCGCTCGCGACTCCGCCGCTCCCAGCAGCACGCCCGGCGGGCCCAGCCAGACGCCCGCCGCCACCTCCCCTCCGTTCCGCGAGTTCAGCTACGCGGAGCTGCACGCGGCGACGGGGGGATTTGCGCCTGCGCGCCTCATAGGGGAGGGGGGGCTCGGAACGGTGTACCGCGGGCGGATGATGCTGCCTGCGGACGGCGACGCGATGAGGGAGTGTGACGTGGCAGTGAAAATGGTGAAAGAGAATGATTTTATTGATCAAGAGCCCAAGACCTTCAAGGTGAGTGCTGTAGCGCGTACCGAGTGTTAATTGTAGTGGTGACCAGAGAAGGAGAAGTATTTTTTTACCTTGAATTATACTCACAGAACGAACAAAACAGAAGACATGTATCGACTTTTGTTCCTACGTTCTTCGCCTGTCCAGCTCACTCATGCCTCCGATATTTTTCCATGTTTTCAGGCTGAGGTGGCAGCCATGTCAGCACTGAAACATTACAACATTCTGAAGCTGAAAGGCGTGGCGTTTGACGCGCAACAGAGGCCACTTCTCGTGTATGAGTACATCCCCGGAGGCGACGTTACGAATCTTCTCAAACGAGGTGAGCAACTTTTGAATCGACTCTAAAGTCAGAGGCCACTTCCTGTGTATGAGTACATCCCCGGACGCGACGTTACGCATATTTTCTCACGTAGTCAAAACAGGTTTTCAGTTGGTGGTGGTGGGAAGGAGAACTCGTTTTGTTTGCCCCTTTTTCTGCTCCTCCCACCCTCGTTCTTCCCTCTTCCTCCCACTTTCCTGTTTGCTCTCGCATGCCCTTCCTCACATATGTCACTCTCTCCTCTCGCTCATGCAAATGCCCTTCTTGAAGGCCATCAACGTAATGACGTCATTACGTAATGACGTCCCATGAGCTTTCTCACGTTGGCTGTTGTCTGCATTTTTTTCTCTCCTATGTTGTCTTGATGTGTTAGGTCCCACATTTTTGCTCCCATCCTCTTTAACATCCACCTTCCTTACCACATTTCTGGTTCCTTCCTTCCTTCCCGCCCCCCTATCCCGCGCCTGCACTGCTCTCCCTGCCCCTAATCCAGTCCGCAGGAACTAATTACGATTCATGCATCCACTTTTCCCCTATCCCCACTCTCCCCCCTTTCCCCACTCTCCTCCTCGCCTTCCCCACTCCAGTCCGCAGGAAGGAAGATCAGTTTCCGTGGAAGGAGCGTGTGATGGTTGCGCTGGGGTGTGCCGAGGCGCTGGCTTATAGTCATAAAAAGGGGATCATTCACCGCGATTTCAAGTCGTCAAATGTTCTTCTGCGAGAGGTACTGTGGGATTGGTCCAACGTGTGTGTATATCTTCTCTTTGCTTTGCGTGTGTGTCTATGATACTTCTATCTCCGAGCATAACCTGTAATCCGCCTTTCAGCAAGATTGTATTCGCTCCAGCACATGCTAAAAGTGTATCAGCAGCATCATGTGATATTTCAGACCGTCCCATTTGGGTTTCATTGGCATATGATTCCCATTTCCCCCTTTTTCTTACCGTATGTTACTGTAACCTGTAACTCGCAGGATCGCACTCCAATCGTGGCCGACTTTGATTTGGCTCGTTCAATGGAGGACTCGAGAACACACGTGTCAACAAGGGTGGCAGGCACGTGGGTCTACATCGACCCAGCCTTTTCTCAGACGGGGAAATTATACTCGAAATCTGACACCTACTCGTTTGGTGTGTTTCTTCTGGAGCTAGTTTTTGGCTTCCCTCCCCACGGAAAAGAGTACAGAGATCTGAAGAATGACGTCGCCAAAAAGGATTTCAAGAATCCTTTGTTGGTTGCCGACCATACTATGGAGGGGCAGTGGGAAAGGGAGCATGTTCTTCAAATCATTAATATGGCCCGCTCGGCCACATCCTACGCGTTGGATGCACGCCCTGAAATGAGGGAAGTAGTAGGGGAACTTCGAAGAATTTGGAGCGAAATTAGAAGGTGACTAGGTACTATGGCTGGCTTTTGTTAGGATGGGTGAACAAAATTTGTTGGGCTTTATATGCTTTCTTGATGTTGATTGTATCTAGCACCATTGTAAACATTTGATAACATTTTATGCCACAATTCCTCAGAAAGCCCTCCCCTGAGGAAGACTGTCCCGTTGGTCTTGGTACCGTGGTGTAAATATGTCTGGATGACACCATCCCTTAACGTACCATCTTAGGGCGTATTCCTATCCTCTTATCAAGAGAACCTCTTATCAAGCCCACACAGGAAAATTGCCTAAACCCAAAATCTCTCGCTACTTTCACCAGGCAAAATGTGCATTCTTGATAGGAGGTTTCTTGATAGGAGGCCGTAGGAATACGCCCTTAGAGTTCCTAGCCTCGCCACGCCACCTTCGAATTCGGTACAACACTCAGAGTAGACTTTTATTAAAAAAAAAAAAAAAACGAAGAAATGTTTTGTACTAACAAAGGTACTGTTGTACAAGCAACGTCAACAAGGCACATAAGCTTGAACCATTCAGTTTTGTTGACTGTAGCAACCCATCCTATCCATAGTTCAGACTTCGCTCCAAATCCCACGAAGTTCTTCTACTAAGGGTACATTCCTGTGTGGACACAAATGTCTCAATCCCCCTTTTTCCGAGTCGCGTCGTAACATTTTGTCAACCTCGCGTCACAAAAAAGGAATGTATTGCGACACTAGGCGACCAGGCGAAATGTACAGTTGTGCGCTTTTGATTGGGTTTCGGAATTGACTGTACACCCGTTTCTTCAAACGCCTGGCTGGGGTGTGGTTTCGACGCGCGGGTTCTTTTCCCGCACGAAATTGGCAGTGGGGGTTGTTTAGGTGCATTGACATTTCGAACCGCGTGCGACATTTTTCCATTGACGGGTCGATTTGCAACTCGTGCGCGATGTTAGCGCGTTTCACGCTAACCAATGAAAAATACAGTAATGGTCGCTAAAAGGCGATTCCGTTTGTGACATAATACGTTTTATGCTGTTTTTACGCGTCACAATAGGATTGAGACACAAATGTCCACACAGGAATGTACCCTAAATCCCCCATTGCTGGTCGTGCGCTCAAATCATGAGATGTGGCCGAGCGAGCCATACTAATGATTTGAAGAACATGCTCCTCCTTCCACTGCCCCTCGATTGCATGGTCCGCGACCAACGAAGGGTTTTTGAAATCCTTTTGGCTGATCTCGTTGCTCAACTCTTTAAACTTAATTTCGCGGCCAGGGTCAGGTAACCCGGAGACCAGCTCCAAAAGAAACACACCAAACGCGTGAGTGTCATATTCCGGACGTTTCTTGCCCGTCTCAAAGTAGTTTCGGTCGATGTAGCCCCATTCGTTTCCCATTTCTTTGGTCATGCAATACCTCCACTCCTCAATGAAGGGAGCCAATTCAAAGTCGGCCACAATTGGAGTGCGATCCTGTGAGTTACAGGTCACAGTCGGAAAAAAAGGGGGGAAACATTATTCATATCATATGCCAAAGAAATCTAAATGGTAGAGGCTGAAACAACACTTGATGCTTCTGGTAAAGCATGTAGCTGAAAAAAAATGCAATCTTGATGGAAGACGTGATACATGTCATATGTAATTAAGTGTTACAAGGCAAACAGAAGAAATACACACACATATACTCGAAAATAATTCTGCCGTACCTCTCGCAGAAGCACGTTTGACGACCTGAAATCGCGGTGCATGAGCCCCTTTTCGTGAATGAAAGCTAGCGCCTCGGCACACCCCAGCGCAACCTTCACACGCTCCTTCCAGGGAAACTGGTCTTCGTTCCTGCGGACTGGAGGGGGAAAGTAGAGGGGAAGAGCGGGAAGTGGGGGGGGAGGGGAGAGGGACGGACAGTGGAGGCAGGACTCATATTTAGTTCCTGCGAACTGGATGGGGGAAGGCATTCATATGAGGAGTACAATTGAGCAAGGAAGAACACGGGAGAGCAAACAGGAGAGCGGGGAGGGAGAGGAGGAAGGGAGGGTGGGAGGGGCGGAAAAAGGGGTAAGATTAAGGTGACCTCGTTAGGGGGGATTCGTAACATCCTCCAGCGATCAGCTCATACACGACACGCCGACCGACTGAACGTTCCCCCCTCCCCCACCCCCCCACCCCCCCACCCCGCCCCACCCCCCCCCCCCCACACCACCAACTGTCAAAGCAAAAGATTTTAGAACCACCGACTGAACGTTCCCCCCTCCCCTATCTCCCCCCACCCCCCCCACACCACCAACTGTCAAAGCAATAGAACCATGCGAAGGAGGAAGTTTCTCACCTTGTTGGAGAAGATTCACAACGTCGCCTTCCGGGACGAGCTCATACACGAGGAGAGGAGGGGCAGGTTTCATGAAGGGGTAAGAAAAGAAGACTCTCCTCACCTCGTTGGAGAAGTGACTTGAACTCGCCTCCCAAGATATACTCATACACGAAAAGCGGGCCGAGGGGTGTGCATAGTAGCGCCACACTTAACAACGTGCGAGGGAATTCTCCTCACCTCGTTGGAGGAGAGTCTTGACATTGCCTCCCGGAATGTACTCATACACGAGGGGAGGAGGGGTAGGTTTCATGAAGGGGTAAGAAGAGGGGACTCTTCTCACCTTGTTGGAGAAGTGACTTGACGTCACCTCCCGGGATGTACTCATAGACGAAAAGCGGTCGCTGCTCTTTGCTTATTGCTATGCCTTCCAGACTCAGAATGTTGGCATGTTTTACTTGTGGAATGGCTGCCACCTCAGCCTGAAAACACGGAACGGGCAGAATGAATCGTACAGGTAAGGAAGGGGTGGAATAAAAGATGACTCGGAGTGAAAAGTTTGCTGCATGGTTTCAGTTTTATTCGTTTGGTTGATATTCTTGAATATACTCTTTGCCTTCGTAGGCCACCACAACAATTAACACTCCGTACGCGCTACAGCACTCACCTCGAAGGCCTTGAGCTTTTCATCCGTAAATGGCTCTACTCGCATCACTTTCACTGCCACCTCAATCTCCCTCGTCGCGCCGTCGCCTGCAGGCAGCATCACCCGCCCGCGGCACACCTTTGCGAACCCCCCCTCTCCGATGATATTCTTAAAGCCCTTGGTCGCATTATGAAGCTCCTTGTAGCTGAACTCGCGGATCCAAGGGAAGCCAACCATGAGCTTCGGAACGGGCGGGGCATTGCCTTGGTCTTCGGAAGACTCTTCGACGGAGGCGGCAGCTGGGGCGCGCGATACAATCAAGCGAGAAAAAACCAGCAGAGGAAAATGAGCCAGTGGTGGACAATTGGAGGTAAAATGCAACGAGAGGGTGGAAATTCCATTCCGGAAAAAAAGTATTGGATCTCCGACAGCGTCGCACGATCAAAACGACTGACATTTGCACGGTCGAAACGACTGGCATTTTCACGATCAAAACGACTGACATTCGCACGATCAAAACGATTGACATTCGCACGATCGGAACGATTGACATTCGCACGATCGAAACGACTGACATTCGCACGATCAAAACGATTGACATTCGGCCGGACAGTTGGAGTTTGGAGCGCGAATCACCTCAATATAATAATCACCTACTACCGCTCACCTCCCGTGACTTTCACAGGCTCCGCTCCGTCGCCGCCGCGGCGAAAGCAGTTTATGTATCTGTCCATGGCTGTCGCGAAGGAAAAGCAGGCAGGTAACGGTAGATTGCACTCAGAGGGACTCTGAGAGGCGCCTTGCAGAATAGTACAACTCCTACTAATTAGAAATATTGACTGCAGTGAGCGTTGCGAAGTGAACGACTTGCGTCATCGAAAATGAGCGCATGTGTGCTTGGTTGGGCTGGGGTGAGATGAGAGAAGGGGAAATCCCTTAGGGCGTGGAAAATCGCCCGAAACTGGGTTTGGCCGTTTTCTGTCGTTCATTTGGTCGACATTTTTTTTCGCGAACGTCGACAAGATGGTCGTAGGAAGGTCGTCACTTTTTCGGCCATTTGGGGGTGCGCTTCAAATTTGACATGTTTTGCTGGCTGTTCTGACAGAGTGGAAAATCTCGTTTTGGATTTTCCAGCGACTTGTAGCGACAGTGTCGCACACACACAAGCGACGTCGTCAGCTCGATGTAACCATCTATGCGACGTCGTTTTTCCACTGTAGCCAATCTGGTCGACATGGTGGCCGTTTTAATGTTGTTCATTCGTCGGAAAAGTGTCGACAATCTTTTCGGCCACCAAAACACAAATTTAGATGGCCAAATTTTGCGAGTGTCGCAAATATCTCGACGAGTCTCGTTAGCTGGTTATTGTCGCAACGGCCACTGGCCGAATTGAGATGTCGGGCGATTTTCCACGCCCTTATGTCGCACTGTTACTGGTTCGCCTGGGCTGGAGAATTGCGTGTCTGGTGGCTTAGGGGGAGAGGGGGAAGGGGCTTCGAGTTGAGTCGTTCCAGGCAATTCAATCCAGTGCGCACAGATGCGCTGAGTTGAGTCGGACTGGCACGCGGATTTGCGGAAAACTGTAGGTGGGGCGGGATGTGACGAGCCTTTTGATTGGCTACGCACGAGCTAACGAATCAGGGATAGGAAGGAGATTCGTTTCTCCACGATACATGAAATTGATGGTGCTGTGTGGGAGGGACGGGTGTGGGAGCGAAAGGGTAACTGCGCGCAACTCGCACACCAGAATTGATGACCCCGCCAGGGGACTCCCTCGCCACACTCTTCGGTTGGGTTGAGTTGGGGGTTGGCGGGGCCCATTCCACTCGCTCGTTCGCTCTCATTCCATTCCCCAATCTTTTCACCCCCCACACCAAATCCGCGTGCGACTCGAAATCGAAGCGACGGCAGGGAAGAGCCCCCATTCGCCGCCGACCTCTTCCCCTCCCCCTTTTCCCCCAGCCCCAAAAATCCCGATTCCTCCCCTCAGCCCACCCCACCCCACCCCAACCCAACCATCCCAGCCAAAACAAGTTCCCTTTAGGGCGTGTAAAATCGGGAGACACAAATATTCGGCCACAAGCCGAATGGCCGAATTGGCGAATGTAACACTGTTACGAAATACACGACAACCCTTGCGACAGTCGCAAATTTCGTCCAGATTCAGCGAATTTGATGGCCGTCTAATTGGTCGACTCGCCTTCCAACGTCGACTCGACTCGAAACCAGCCACGTTACCGCCCCGTCGTTGCGACATTGGCATCAGGTGTCGCACGTTTCCGCATGCGACGCCAATCAGAAACCCTAAACCGCTTTTGGCTAATTGTGCAATGCCGAACCGTATGTGAACGGAGCCGCGGTAGCAATGTTCAGGCTGTGGTTGAGATTGGGGTGCAAGGGCGTTCCAATATCGGGTGCACATGTGCGACTCCGTCGCACAATTCGGCCATTTGAAAGTTTACAACTTTCTGGAGTCGGCCAGCAATTCGCCCCTGGAAGTTGTAAAATTTGCAGGCCTGCAAAAAAAGGCCGGTTATTGGCCGACACTGAGTCGGCCATGTGGTCGACATGTGCGAAAGAAGTGTCGACCATTTCGGTCGACAAAATCCCGGCCAAACCTCATTTTTCAAAATGCTCCCCGATTTTACACGCCCTTAGCCTCTCGTCGAAGCTCATTTCCTAACTTAAAACGAGGGTCTAGATTTGACAAGCGGAGGTTCAGAAGTTTTTGTTCTGAACCAGGCTTGCCAGCGCGAAGGTGTTGGCTGGCGAAAATCTGGAATTCGTGCGGGGAATTTTCCTCCGCAGTAACTGGTCGCCAGGGTTTCGGGGTTCGGGTGGCAAATGTGCACCGTCGCTTTAAGTGTGAAACTCTCAAGCGCAAGCTCATCGCTGTAGAAAGAAGTAGCTGCTGGTGGCAGCTCCTCGCTGCTTCAGACATGTACAGGTCGCGCGAGAAGTCGATGTGACGAGACACGTCGGCGACAACCACCGTCGTTAGCGAATCAGAGTCTGCTTGCACTTTCAGCTCGCTACATTCACTGCATTAGCTTTCGATTCGAGGCGCCCGCGCTGCCGCCAGCAGATCGGGATCCCAGCAAGCAGGCCGCTTGCGCGTTCAGCTCGCTTCCTTCACTGTATCCATCTGCGAAATCGTTGTATTCGCCTCAAAAGCCGCTGTCGCCAGCGAACAAAGCCTCGGCCGCAAGCAGGCTTCCTGCGGCGCATTCAACTTTCCTACGTTCACTACGCCATGGGCAGTTGCTTCAGCTGCTTTCGAGGCAGCAGAGAAGCGCGGCCTATGAAAGGTGATTCGACATAAGCTTCAACGAGGTGATTCGCGACGACGGATAGGTGCAGCCAGCGAAAGTGACGGAAGATGAGTCGTCGCGTCGCGTTCTGGACTCCCGGGAAATACGAGGAAGAGTGACGGAAGATGAGTCGGGCCGATATCTAGCCGTTTGACTGAAACATAATCACGCTCATACTATTTTTGGGCCGAGCCGCGGCTCATATTTCTTCCATTTCCGCCTCTCAAAATCTCCCATGAAAGAGATTATTACTTCCATTTTCGCCCTGCTTCCGTTCCCTATCACAGTCTCCCCCGAATGTGACCGTCATTGTAACTCGTTTTCCCTCTGCAGATTTTCCCGTTTCCCGCTTCCGCTCAACAGGACGAAACCGCAGCGCGCTCCAACTCTCGTATTTCTTCCACTTCCGCCTCGCACAATCTTCCCTGAATGTATCCGCCACTGCCAGTGCAACTCGTTTCCCCTCTGCTACTTTTCCCGTTTCCCGCACTTCTGTTCCCCCATATCATTGCTCCGCACAGGCGCCATTCCGCTGAACAGGACGAAGCCGACGCGCCCCGAACTGCCGTATTCGCCGTACTCTCGTATTGCGGACCACCGAGGAGTACCAATTCGCGCCTCCCGTTTCCTGTTCCTCCGTCCCCCTATTCGCCCCGCACATGCCCATCCCGCTCAACAGACGGACTGCGCGCCCCAACTGTCGTATACGCCATCCCCGTGGGAGGGTGACTCACCCTAAATCGGATTTGTGCGAGCGTGTGTTTTTTTAGAATTCTAAAAAAACTGTCGTATACGCCATCCTCCGCTGCGGACCACCGGGAATACCAATCCGCGTCTCTTTCCTCCTCTTTCTCCCCCCCCCCCCCCCCCCCTCCCCCTCCCGCCCGTATCGCTCCGCACAGCTGCTGCTTCCGCGCAACAGAGCGACGGCGCGCCCTTGTTGTCATACACGCCGTCCTCCGTTGCGGACCACCGCGCATACCAATCCGCGCCTCTCCTCCGCCCGCGGAGCCTCCACCCTTCCGAAGTCGTCCCCATCCACTTGAACCCGCCCCCGCCGCCTGCTCGATCCCCGCCAGCGGCGGAAGAACTATCGCGCGGAGAGTCATCGAGTCCCCACGACCCTTCGAGTTCCGCCGCAGCAGCCGCTGCCTACGACAATTCGGGCTACAACCCCCAAGCCTACCGCGACTCGGACTCGTCGAGTCTTTCCGCCGCCGCCGCGGCCGCGCAACAGCCGCCGCCGCCGCCGCCGCCAGCGCTTCTCCCCGCCAGTTCCTCCGCCGAGTCCTCCCTCCCCGCGCAAATTTCCGCCATGAGTTCCGCGCGCGACTCCGCCTCCGCGCGGCCGTCCGCCGGACTCCCTCCGCTCCGCGAGTTCAGCTACGCGGACCTGCACGCGGCGACGGGGGGATTTGCGCCTGAGAACGTCTTAGGGAAGGGGGGGTTCGGAAAGGTATACCGCGGGCGGATGGTGCTGCCTGCTGCGGACGGCGGCACGATGCGAGAACGTGACGTGGCAGTCAAAGTGATGACTGGACAACGAATCACCGAGCAAGACATGAGGTGCTTCATGGTGCGTGCTGTGATGCGTGGATAGCAGCCTTGTAGTGCGTGTCGTGGCAGTCAAAGTGACGATCGGACAACAAATCACCGAGAGGGCTCTTAGGTGCTTGAAGGTGCGTGCTGTAGTGCGTGGATGGGCAGCGCGGGGTATGTTCTCTCTGGTGGATTACAGCCGTGTATACACCCCTAGTGGAGCCAAAAAGAGACGCATAACATCATGAAGAAGATTAAGCAGATGAATAAGAGAAAAAATAAGGAAGAAAATGTGAGCAAAGAAACCAGAAACCATGTAATGATTGCTCTCGCCTCTGTTTGGGTATGCCTTCCCTTGCTGTCCCCCTCTAACTGTAAGCTAGGTGAGTTTTGAGTCTACTCAGAAGTCGCTCTTACCTCTGTTTGGGCATTCCTTCCTCTCCTGGCTTACCTGTCCAATTTCATTTCCCTCTAACAACAGGTCTCCCTCCAATTCCATATGTTTTCCGTGTTTCCAGGCTGAGGTGAAAGCCATGTCAGTTGTGAATCATCCCAACATTCTACGGCTGGAAGGCGTGGGGCTTGACGCAGAAGAGAGGCCGATTCTCGTGTATGAGCTGATCCCTAAAGGCGACGTCAAGAATTTTCTCACAAGAGGTGAGAAGAATCCCCTTCCTCGTATGCCTATTTTTTTGCAACTATTACTTCTGGTGGTGGTGGGGGGAAAAGGGGGGGAGAGGAGGGGAAGGGTGGGGTAGGGGAATGTCGGGGGGGAGAAGCTGATCTGTGGTGGCGACGTTTTAAGTAACTTCTCCAACGAGGTGAGAAGAATTTGAACTCTTTTCCCCTGCACTTCCCCCTCTCCCTTCCTCCCTACCCGCCCCCCATCCACCCACTTTGTCCTCTCATGTTTTCCTCATATGCTTTCTTTCCTCTCGCTTTACAGTTGGTCTGGTTTGTAGGCCAATAATGACGATCACTGCAAATGATAAGGCCAATCAGCTCTCACTACATATGAGCTGCTGTCACTATTGCTCCCATGTTGCCTCTACGTATAGGATCTCATGTTTTTCCTCCTACTCTCTTTCAAACCCATTTCCTTCAATCACTGATCCATTTCCCCCCATCCCCTCCCCTTACAATGCTCCCCCTCCCTCCCCCCTCGTCTTCCCCTATCCAGTCCGCAGGGACAATGATCAGTTTCCGTAAAAGTACCGTGTGAAGGTTGCGCAGGGTTGTGCCGAGGCGCTAGCTGTCCTTTCAATGCTCCCCCTCTCTCCCCCCTCGCCCTTCCCCATCCATTCCGCAATTACGAAGCACGGTTTCCATGGAGGTATCGTGTGAAGGTGGCGCTGGGGTGTGCTGAGGCGCTAGCAGCCATTCACGAAAAGAGGCTCATTCACCGTGATTTCAAGTCGTCAAACGTGCTTCTGCGAGAGGTACGGCGGTGGCATGAGCTTCCCATGTCTGTTGTGATTGAGTGTATTCTCCCTTGCCTTTGTGATTGCTCCTTCCCTGGCTATGTTGTGCTGTCCATCTTTCGGCCAAAAAGTGTCCACATTCATTTCAGCGGAATCCTGTGACATCTCGTCCTCCCTTGATTTCATGTCATTCTGATTTCCAACTGTAACCTGTAACTTGCAGGATTTCACTGCGGTGGTGGCTGACTTTGGTTTGGCGCTCACCATCGAGGACTGGAGAACACACGTGTCAACAGCAGTGGTTGGCTCGGTAGGCTACATCGACCCAAACTATTGGCAGACTGGCCAAATATGCCAGTTAGCTGACACATACGCGTTTGGTGTGTTCCTTTTGGAGTTGATTTTTGGTTGTACACCCCTCGAAAAAAGGTTTCAACGGCAGAGGAAGGAGATGAACCACACCAAGTTTGACCCTTCTTGGGTAGACCCTGCTATAGAGGGGGAGTGGGACCCGGTGCATGGCGAGCAATTCATTATCATGGCTCGCTACGCCACAAATCCAGTCGTGAATCGCCGGCGCACAGTGGGCCGTTTGGCAGAAACTCTTCAAGGAATTTGGGACACAGTTTCGGCCAACAATTGTAGCTAGACATGGAGAATAGGATGCCTCGGCAAATCGCTCATACCTGTAAAACCCTTTCCATATTATTTATTCATAAAAGTCCTCAAGTATTTTTCATGCTTGAAGAAGCATGCTACTGTGAACAATGTACATGGTTCCGCAACCAAGATTCGGAACCTTTGCAGCTATCACTAAATTCTAAAAGCATTTGTGATCACAATGTAGGTGCATGAGACAGATAGTATGGTAGGTCTGTGCATACAAAAATATGTACACCTTAGACTCTGTGCTTGTAAAGGGCATAACCTGGCTTTCCAGGAACCATTCTGTCACACCCAAGTTTCGTGTTTCCTTCCGTGGTTCCACGTCCTTCTTTACGATACTTGCGTGGCCAGCGCGTTGATGCTCGCCCTTGGTTGGAGCATGTGCAAAGAGGACGTGTCAGTGCAGTTCGTGGTCACTGTGTCCCCCAAATCTATGGGTGACACGCAGGCTTGACATTATCAGTAGAACCCTAGAGAGGCGATCACTTGCGGCTCCATTTCCTTTTGTTCCAGCGTGATTCCTCGTCAGCATGACATGTTCTTGTCGGAAGGTCCAATCGATTCGCTGGGAATTTGATGCTTGTGGGCCCAAGTTCAATCCATCCGTCCATTCAGCTTTGCAGTTCGCACCAGCCCTTGCCCTCCACTCGATTCACAGTCAATGACCCGTACTCCTTCCGTCAGTGTCGACTCACTACAGCTCAGCAACGGAAAATCTCTCATTTGCGGCTGGCGTTCACACACTGGCCCACACCAAGCATTCGCCGCCCCGAGGGGGTTCAATTTTACAGTGCCAGGTCACCGCACCGCCTGCATTGAGCTGCTTCTCCTTTCAGCCCCATTTGGCTGTGCCCTACAAAACCTAGCCGTAACATTTATTTATCGTAATCAACCGCCTCACATCTCTTATCGTCATCTCTTCTCGTCATACCCATCACTTCACGATTCGCCTTTTGCACAAGCCTCGCCCTCTGCCTCTGCCTCCCGTTCCCATCACTCAACCCTGCATACCCTTGACATACCTCGTATGTGCTAGCGTCCCGGGTGGATTCCTCCTGGGTGGATCCTCCTTGATGGATTCCTCCCTTCGGCTTCGCATCGCATGTCCCGAGCAAGCCAACTGCGGCGCCTTCGCTTTCCTCTCGTCGGTACATTTCGCCATTTTCCTTTACCCATTTTCCTACTCGCGCTAGTCATCGCCCATCCTCCAGTCGTCATTGCTGTGCTCGCTACTAGTAGTCGTCATTGCTGTACTCCGCTTTCCTCCGTGTTCCCAACACTACATAGTAGAACCTCGTTACGGTGAAACAAAGAATTTTTTTTTTTTCCCAGAGCTGAAGCAAGAGGTATGCACAGCAGCTTGTTTTCCGGCCAACAGGGCATCGCACACCCTGCGGCTGAATTCCAAAAAGTATCGAACGAAACTCCTCGAGCGCGAAACTGTTTTCAGATTGCTTCAGAGCGCGACGAGCTCGAATGCGACGCTTCGCCACGTGAGCCTGCTTCTGTTTCCTGTGCTCCTCTTTCAGAGCACGGTTTCGGGCCTCGCAGACGCGTCGCTCACGCCGCCTCCGGTTCCCGTGTAACTAGCGAGGCTGAGAAGGATAGCGCGGATGCGGGCGATTGTGTTTCCTCGAAGTGCGCTATCGAAGACGATAATAGGGGGGATGGAAACGATGACGATGAGGTCGACGACTACGCAGCATCCGAGAATCTTCCGATATCGCTCGTCATAGCGGCTTTATTTCTAGACACTAAAGGACAGTCGAGAGCGTTGATCAAGAGGCTGTGTTCATTTGACTCCGATTTTCTCCACAGAAAGCTTCGAACTTTGCCCGGCGTCACTCACACCGCGGCGTTCGTCAAAAAAGGGATCTCCTGGCTACAGACGCATCTTTACGTACCTGTAATGAGTCACGCGGATGCTTATAACGGGCATTCTTTTAGCGCGGATACTATCGCCAAGGGCGATTGCTGCCGAAAGGCGCCGTGCGGGTCGTGCTGCGTAACGATGCCGAAGGATTTGCATGAGCACGGAAACGCCGACTACTATGTGCCGAACCGCACCCGATCCAGCAAGCAGGTATTTTTGCTCGTCCATATCGATCCAGCAAAACTACTAGTTTTGCAACTCAAAACGTCGCCCTTTCTTTGCTGGCATGCCGTCTCCCCACCCTTCCACGCCCCTTCCCTGCCCTCCCTGCCCTCCCTCCCCTTCCCCTATTCCCCACCTTTCCCGGCCATTATACTTTCGAGCTCCCAGCTTTTTTTTAGGCGCTTCAAAATCTCGTCGCACGCCCTTCCCCAGCCGTTCTACCAAACTCGCAGGAGCTTTCTGTGGGGCGCCTCAAGAAGTCGTCTCACACCCATTCCCGACCGTTCTACCACTTTCGAACTCGCAGATGCTACCGCTCGTCGGCTTTGGAGCCGTCGCGATCCTCGTGCTGCTCGTCCGCGGCGGGTTACCGGCTCGAATTCCATTCCACCGAGGCATTTTCCCTTCCCCAAAGCTACCCACGGGTGCTACGGCATCCGTCTATCAATCAACGACTGCCGCGTGGCTGGACCTCACCGCCCTGTTCTTCCTGTTTTTCGGGACCGCCGCTTTGACGCGATTCGCCATTATCCACCTGATTCGGCGGCATCCGCATTTGAGCCTTCCCCTCGCGGCGCTGCTTTCCGCCGCCGGCGGCGGGCGGGGATCCGCGGGAAGGAGCGGGTGCGCATCGGGGGGATCCGCGTTTATGCGCGACCTTTGCGGAAACGCCGCCAAGATGGGGCTCGGCGGAGGGCTTTGGCGCGCGGCGTGGTGGCAGGCGCAGCTTTCGCCTTCCCCGCGCGGGAGGCGCAGCTCCGCGCAGCTGGCGGAGAGATTTTCCGCCACCAGCGGCACCAGCAAAGGCCTGTCAAAGTCTGGAGATGCTGTAGACGACGCGTTATGTCTTACTGTGAGGCGGTACACTAACGGGGATAGATACGAAGGCGAGACGCGTGACGGGGTAGCCTCCGGAAGCGGCGTGTACTATTTCGACGAAGCTGCGGGAAAATACGAAGGCGAATGGGCGGACGGAAAATACAGCGGGTTAGGTGTAGAATCGTGGGAGAGCGGGAGCGTGTACCGAGGCGAGTACAAACGCGGATACCGCGAGGGGCGGGGGCTGTACCAGTTCCACACGGGGGACGCGTACGCGGGCGCGTGGGCGCGCGGGCAGAGCCACGGCGCGGGGCTGCAGATGTGCGCGGATGGGAGCACGTACGCGGGGCAGTTCTCGTACGGGCTGAAGCACGGCTTTGGGATCTACACCTTCAGGTACCGCTTTGAATCTGTTTATACGTGCTTACACCGTGAGATACCCCTCTCTTCCTCTGTGGTGCCTGGAAACACGTATGCGGGGCAATTTTCGAACAGGCTGAAGCAAAAGCTTTGAAAGATACTTCAAGTATATTGGTAGCGCCTTTGGGTATCGCCGTTTTCTTCTTAGATATTGGTGTTTGCATAGCGCTTTGAGGATACTTTCTCATAGTGGGTTTGGGACTGTTACTAGGAGTCTAGGGATTGCACATGCAGGTAAGCAAAGCCATTGGACAGAGTTGAGAGGCATGTGGCTCCACTAGTTCTTGCAAAGCCTGTCCATAGGGCTCCAACGTATTCCTGTCTGAAAGAAATGATTGTGCTCATCAGAAATGGTGACACCTATGGGGCGTACGGCGTGTACACGTTCAGCAACGAGACCCTTGATTAATCACACTCCCCTGATTCCGTTGTCTTTTTTTGTTACCAGAAACGGCGATGTGTACGCAGGGGAGTATTTCCGTGACGCCATGCATGAGTACGGATTGTAAACATTTGGCAACGATTGCTCATTGTCTGATCTTCCTCCCTTTCCTCTCTATTCTTCCCACCCTCCAGAAACGGGGATGTGTACGCAGGGGAGTATTTTCGAGACGCCATGCACGGGTACGGTGTGTACATGTTCAGCAACGTTCTCTCGTTGTCTGTTTTTCCCCCCACTCCGTCCCACCCTCCAGAAATGGCGACACCTACGCAGGGGAGTATTTTCAAGACGCCATGCACGGGTACGGGGTGTACACATTCAGCAACGGGCAGAGCTACGAGGGCGCGTGGCACGACGGGTGCAAGCAGGGGCTGGGCCGATACACCTTCCGCAGCGGGGACTCACTCATGGGCCACTGGCACCTGGGAGCGCTGCTCACACGCTGTTGCGATACTAGTACTACATCTGCTACCCCCTCTACCACCACTACTGCTGTTGCCCGTTCGGTTCCATTAGTTCCTTCTGCCGCCTCTGCTGGCTCTGCTGGCTCTTCTGAGTCTGAATTTGATGCGGTTTCTGACTCCGTTTTCGACTGCGGCAGCTGGGATGCGTCCTCAAGCCCATCTTCACCCTCAGCCTTTTCGTCAGCGGTATCATCACCATCAGCAGCAGCAGCAATGTCACCACCAGCAGCAGCAATGGCATCACCATCAGCGCTGGCATCCCCGTGTGGAACCACAGCGGGCCAGTCTCCAGTCAATGGGCGCCCTTTGGTGGACCCTGCTAAAGTTCTAGTAGCTGTTGAGGTGAGCATGGCAGCTTGTGAATCTGGCTGTTCATTTTTCACTAGCCTCTTATTTTCCCCGGATACTGTGATGCGTTGTGTTGTTTTCTGCCTTGCACATTGTTCCGTGGCTTGTTTTTTTCTCACCGCACATCTCTTACCCTGTCTTTGACTCCTCCTGGCTTGGCTTGCAGGCTGCGAGGAGGGCGAAAAAGAGAGCAGAAGCACTGTCAGGTTCAGATGAGAGTTTGTCCAAAGTGGTGGCTGCAGCCAATCAGGCGGCTGCTACTGCTAGGGAAGTAGCGGCGGAAGCAAGGGCCTTGGGGCCTCAGCCTGAAACCAAGAGTGACCTGCAAAGCAGGCCCAAATTCATTTTGTAATTCAGTAGATTTGCCAATTTGTTGGCCAATTTTTTTTTTTTTTTTTTGTACATAATTTGGTTGAAAGTATGTTGAAGCTAAGGACCGTTCGGTCAGTACAAGCGCATATCAATAGGAAATGAGACGAGATGTATAACGTCTCATTTCCTATTGATATGCGCAACACACCCTAAAGGTAAGCTGATGATGAACGAAACTGTAAATTCTTGTATATATTTTCCAAGGTAAACTGAATAAGAGCCACACTGTTAGGCCCGACGGCCTAAGTCCGCTAAAGAATAGCGGGGTCGACTAAGTCGAGGACGAAAATGCGGCGGAAGACTTTGGCGAAAAGACTATTGGCGAAATAGGCGAAGAAGTTACTGAGTAATTGAAGAAGAGTTGAATGAGAATTGGTTGATAATGGCAAGTACAAGCAAGGTTTATATAGCGAACAAGAGAGAATGTTGGAAAGTAGTTTGTGGGACAAGGAATTGGAATGCTAGAAAGGTAGAGTGCCACGTGGCACAAGGAAATCTAGGAAATCCCAAAGGGATTGGATGAAGATAGGGTTGGGATAAGGTTGGGGGTCTGTTTAGGGTAAACTACCCTTGAACAGGAAAGTACCCCGTAACACTACCCCCCTCCCAAGGAGGCGACGTCCGCGGCGCCTGCAGACTGAAGGTACGCTTTGAGGCAAGCGTTGTCGGGAGACAGCGAGGACGAAGGAACCCAGCTGTCGTCGGCTGCATCGTAACCACGCCAACGAACCAAGAAGTCGATGAAAGAGACACCCCCCTGGAGACGGCGACGGTGCCTGAGGATGCGCTGGATCTGGTAGTCGGGCTCGTCGGTGTCAACAGCTACCGGCAGTGGAGTGCGATCACGGCCCGAGAAGGTGGCGTTGGGATCGGTATAAGGTCGAAGGAGCAACACGTGGAATGACGGGGGCATGCGGAAATGAGCGGGAAGACGAAGGCGGTATGCGACTGGACCAAGTGCGCGCTCAATGACAAATGGACCAATGAAACGTGGGCGAAGCTTGCCGTCCTGTGGCAGTCGGAGGTTGCGGCTGTCCAAAAGAACACGGTCGCCAACTGCGAACGACACCTCACGACGACTGCGGTTGGTGGTGCGTGCCATGCGTGCATTTGCAAGCTCAAGGTGCTTCCTCACGTGGTCGTGAATGAAAGTGAGGTGCTGGTGGAAGTTATCAGCACGTGGGACTGTGGGTGTGAGATCGACACGAGTGGGGACATTGGGGTGCTGACCGTACAGTGCGAAGAACGGTGACATGCCTGTGGCGGAGTGATGCGTGTTGTTGTAGGCGAACTCAGCCATGCTCAGCTTCTTGTCCCATGCTGCTGCGTCGTGCATCGTGATGCTACGAAGAATCTGCTCCAAGGTCTGGTTCACGCGCTCAGTCTGTCCGTCTGTCTCTGGATGGTACGCAGACGACATGGCTAAGCGAGTCCCAAACAGTGCGAAAAGCTGCTTCCAGAACTTCGAAGTGAAACGAGGGTCGCGGTCTGAGATGATGGAATCGGGAACCCCGTGCAGTCGGACTACGTTATCTACGAACAGCGTCGTGGCTTCCTCTGCTGTGACCTAGCCGTGCGTAGGGATGAAGTGCGCTGCTCTAGAAAACTTATCCACTACAACGAAGATGGCGTCGTGACCCCTAACTGTGCGCGGTAATGCCATGATGAAGTCCATCGTAACTACCTGCCAAGGGCGGTCGGGTGGTGGAATCGGCTGCAAAAGTCCTGCTTTGCGCTGGCGAGAGGACTTCGTACGCTGACACGTGTCGCACGAGCGAATGTAATCCTCTACGTCTGCTGCAAGCCCTGGCCAGAAGTACGTGCGACTAAGCGTCTTAGCCGTCTTATCTGCTCCGAAGTGACCTGCACTAACTACGTCGTGCGCCTCTGAGAGAAGGAGCTGTCGAAGAGGGCGGTAGGCTGGAACCCAAATCCGTGTTGTACCTACCCTTCCGTATGTAGACACTACCCTGCACCTCTGCTCCTGCGGGCGGCTGCGGTGTGAAGTCGGGATCGACTGTGTAACCGTGCTCGAAGAGTGCTGTGAGAAGTGGATGGCCGGCAGTGACTGTGAGACTAGTGAGCTGGCAACCATGGCGAGTGAGCGGATCTGCTGGGTTGCGAACGCCTGGCTTGTACTCTATCCTGTAGTGGAAACTCCCCTCCATGAACTCCATCCATCTAGCCTGGCGACGACTCAGCTGCGGCTGCGACTTGAGGAAACGAAGCGAACAGTGGTCCGTGCGTATAACACTATCTGCCCCCTCTAGGTAGCACCTCCACACCTTATACGCATGGATAATCGCTAGCGCCTCCTTGTCATGAATGGGATAATTCAACTCCGCTCCCCTAAGCTTACGCGACTCGTACGCGATCGGCTGCAACCCGCGTCCCTGGTCCTGAAGAAGCACTGCTCCTATGGCCTGATCTGAAGCGTCGGTCACTACAACGTACGGGCGAGTGGGATCAGGGTACGACAGTGTCGGTGAAGACGTGAGCGACTGCTTCATCTGCTCGAACGCCTGCTGCTGCGCTGGACCCCAAACGTACTCTACGCCTTTCCGAAGTAGGTCGGTGAGTGGACTAGCGATGGAAGCGTATTCCTGAACGAAACGGCGGTAATAGTTCGCAAATCCGAGAAAGCTCTGCAGCTCCTTGACTGAGGTCGGTGCTAACCAATCCTGCACTGCTGCGATCTTCTTTGGGTCAGTCCTAATGCCACTAGCGGAAACGACGTGACCTAAAAACTCGACATCTGGAAGGAAGAACTCGCACTTAGACTGCTTCGCGTACAGCTGCTCCCTCCTCAAGACCTCGAAGACCTTCTGCAAGTGCTGCACGTGCTCCTCCTTCGTCTTAGAGAACACTAGGATGTCGTCTAGGTAAACGACAACGAACGAACCTAGGAACTCGGAGAGGACGGTGTTCATAAGCGTCTGAAACGGCGTTGGTCAAGCCGAATGGTAAAACTCTAAACTCGTACAACCCCTGCTTCGTACGAAACGCCGTCTTGTGCTGATCCTCTGGAACTACGCGAATCTGGTGGTAACCCGAACGAAGGTCAATCTTTGAGAAGACTCTAGCGCCCTATACTGCATCTAGGAGATCCTCTACTCTCGGTACTGGGAATCTGTTCTTGACGGTGGCGGCGTTCAGTGCGCGGTAATCTATGCACATCCGTAACCCTCCGTCTTTCTTAGGCGCGAACAGGATCGGTGCGGCCCAAGGCGATCTAGATGGCTGTATGAACCCCTGCGCGAGAAAGTGCCTGCGTCATCTCCTCTGTCTCTGCTGGACTCAACCTCCACTGCGGCTTCGCTACTGGCCTGCTCCCCGGCTCCAACTCTATTCGATGGTCTACTGCTCGGCTGGGAGGTAACCCTGGGGGCAACTCGTCGGGGAAGACGTCTGCGAACTCCGCTAACAGTGCACTCACCTCAGCAGGAAGAGTCGCCTTCTCACTAACTGCTGCACTCCCTCCTTTCCCCTCCTCAGCTTCCACCTACTCAAGGAAAACCGCGAAGATCCATGCCGCACGCTTCACTAACTGTCGCACACGAACAGCATTAATGATAGCTGTGGAGGATGTGGCCCCATCGCTCCACTGTGGCAGCTCCCGGAACTCCCCGTCTACCTTGACACTGCAGCGTCCCTGAGCCCAATCGAACTGAGTACTAACCGTCCGTAGCCAATCTCTCCCGAAGATGAAATCGTAACCGTCCAGCGTCGCAGAGTCGAAATCACGCCTAACTGTGATCGGTCCTAGCACTACGCGCAACTTGCGAATGACTGGTCCTATGTGAAGCGGTGTCCTATCTACCATGCGAGCGTCCTTGAAGTTGACTGCCGTATCTACTTCGAGATGGAGACGAATAACCAATGATGAAGAAAATGAACGAGTGGCTAGCTCCGCTATCGACGAGAATCTTAACAGGAACTCCGCGAAGCTTCCCTAGAAGCACGACTGGACGATCAACAGTGTCTACCGAGTTCTCCGTAGATGACTGCTGCAAGGCCGTCTCCTCTACGTTGGTAGACGTGGCGGGTACGGGAACCTCCACACCAGCTAGCGACCCGCTATCTACTGGCGGTTTCCGTTTCCCTGCTGCCGCTCCTTGAATTCAAGGCAGTCCCGCTTCATGTGTCCCGGCTTTTTGCAGTAGTGACAGTTCCCCCTAAATCTGCTGCGCTGTGAACCGTCACTGTTAACTGCACCAATCTCCATGGGCGATGGTCCGTCCCTCGATCGAGTGTCGTTGATCGGTCTGTTGTATCCCCTATCGCGATCGTCACGACCCCGTCGGCTTCGTACTGCGTCGACGCGTTCTGCTGCTGCGACAACTGACTCGAAGGTGGACAACCCGTGAATCGCTATGACCTCCGCTATGTCCGGCTTCAACCCTTCGAGGTAGCGATCGCGCATCTCTGCTTCCGTGATGTCGTCTATCTCGTTGCAGATGCTCAAGAACCGTCGTGTGTACTCCTGGACGTTCCCTATCTGGCGGAAATGACGCAGACGCTTCCTAGCAGCTTCGGAGGCGTTCACCAAGTCGAACCTACTTTTCAGCGCCGCTTCAAATCCTTCCCATGTCGTCGGAACCGTGGTAACACCCAAAGCTAAACTCCCTAAGCTCGAAGTTGCAGCTGCATGCCCCACGCCCTGTTGATGTCCGTCCGTTTGAGCCCTTCTAACAGCCGTCTACGTAAGTTGGCGCCACCACTCCAAGGCCGGGCCCCTCAGCAGCGTCACCGCGTACTCGATCCGCTGCTGCGCGTCCGCCTCTTGCACCCCGCTCGCGGCGAAGTAGTTGTTGAGCATGAAGAGCCACGTCCGCACGTTCGCGTCGCGTTGACTTGGGTCGAACGACTCGGGTTTCTGCGGCTTGAGTGCGCTTCGACGTTCCGGCAGCGCTTCCGCGCCAGTCGACGTGGTGGGTGCAGAAGGCGGTGCGGCATGACCATGGGGGTTAGAAGCCAAATTGCGAAGCTGTTGCATTTCGGCTCGTACCTGACGATTTTCCAACGTCAGCTGTTCGAGTTGGCGCATGAGCTCGGCAAGCGTGACGGTGTTGCCCATGTCGTGGGGGAAAGCGTTCATGGATTCGTCCATGTTCGCTCGACGACTCCAAGTCTGCAAGTCGGCACCGCGGGACGATGACGTCGTAGTCTCGTCGTCGACGGCCGCTCGTTGGAAGTCGCTCCCCGCGAAGGCTCTGATACCAAGTGTTAGGCCCGACGGCCTAAGTCCGCTAAAGAATAGCGGGGTCGACTAAGTCGAGGACGAAAACGCGGCGGAAGACTTTGGCGAAAAGACTATTGGCGAAATAGGCGAAGAAGTTACTGAGTAATTGAAGAAGAGTTGAATGAGAATTGGTTGATAATGGCAAGTACAAGCAAGGTTTATATAGCGAACAAGAGAGAATGTTGGAAAGTAGTTTGTGGGACAAGGAATTGGAATGCTAGAAAGGTAGAGTGCCATGTGGCACAAGGAGTTTTAGGAAATCCTAAAGTGATTGGATGAAGATAGGGTTGGGATAAGGTTGGGGGTCTGTTTAGGGTAAACTACCCTTGAACAGGAAAGTACCGCCACGCCACGCCACTCCCGTGAATCCGTCTTCTCGTCTGCTTCGAGCCACATGCTTCTGGCGAGGAACTTGGCTTGCATGGACAAGTGCACCAGTTTTCCAGTTTTTTTTCCAGGGACAAGCAATCACAGCCATGGCTGCTTGCTGGTGACCGAGGCGCATTGACGGACTTGTCGACTAGAGAGAATTGATCTTCTCCTATCACATCGTCACGTACTGTTGCGCGCTGACTCTGCGCCTGAAAGTTCGTCGAGTGCATAGTTTCCGAGGCGCCCTAGAAGTCCGTTGCGTTCCGAGTCTTCGCTTGCCTTTCTCGAAGCGTGCAATTCTTTCGCGCTTCGCCGTGCCGGACGCTATATTCCGTCGAATTTTGACGAACCCGATCGCGGTGCATTTGTTCCGTCAGGCAGTCATCAAATTCGGAGTATTCCGATTCAATCACCGGTCATGAAGCTCACTGACGGCATGGCAGCGCTGGTCACGGGAGCTGGCTCGGGAATCGGTACGTGCGCATACGTTTGCTCGGTGCGATTCTGACTTGTTGAATTGAAAATGCTATTTTGTGCAGATTCGTCCCAATTACACTGTTCATGATTGAAGAGGTGTATCATATCATAGGAGGCAGTCAGGCCGTGCAATCAGTGTGCCAAGCTAGTCTGTGCGACATGATTCACTCGCAACTTATGAGGCGCCTCAAGAGTCTTTTGAGGCGCCTCAGAAGCTGAGTAGCCAGGCTAGTCTGCGCGAAATGGCTCACTCGCAATGCAAGTTGAACCGCGTTTGGTCTTCTCTCTCTTCTCTTCTCCTCTCTCTCTTCTTGTCACTATCTTCGACAAAGCTCAGCTTATGATGCGATTCATTGAATGAAGGACAGGCGTCATGAAGCCTGCAAACGTGATTTTAGAGTCGACTGATAATGAAGAACAGGCATCATGAACCTTGCAGATCCGAATGAATCCTTCCAATTACTTACTCGTTTTGCGCAAATGTTGATTCTATGCTCTCTTATTTTCTATTATTTTCTTCATCATTCGCTTCTCAGGCCGAGCAGCTTCTCAGTACCTGGCGTCTGAAGGCTTGCAGGTGACTTTTGTAGATTTCTCAAGAGACAGGCGGGCTGGAAACGGTGCAGCTGATTGGGCAGATCTTCTATTGTCTAAAGAATCCTTTGTTCCTCTTCATCCTCTCGTTCTTCAGGACGAGCGGCTTCCCAATTCCTGGCAGCCAAGGGGCTTCGGGTGACCGTTGTAGATTTCTCAGAGGCAGGCGGGTTGGAAACGGTGCAGCTGATTGGAGAGAAGACGGGGAGGCGAGATGCCGCGAGATTCGTCCAGTGTGACGTCAGCAAACCTTGTAAGAAACATCTGGCACACGAATGGGCTCTTATTTACACCTATTGCATGTACCAAATTCCGTAAATAAGGTTCAAGTGACCAGAATGTGTTATTTCTGTTTCCTCCTTGGTTCCTCCATGCCGGCCTCTCTCTCCAGTTGACCTGGCCCGTGCATTCACCTCGCTCATCCTATGATGTGCTCCTTTTGCATGTACCAAAATGTGTCCTTTCTGTTTTCTCCTTGGGTTCCTTGCTGACCTCTCTCTCCGGTTCACCTGGCCCATGCATTCACCTCACTCATCCTATGATGTGACCACGTTCACGTCTGTCTCAACAGCACAAGCATAGGGGAGGGAGATTGGTCCCTTCTGTACCTTCTTCACTCCATCCCACTTCATCTTTGCTCCTCCTGTTGCTAACTCTCCCGTTCTCTTTTCCTCCTGTCCACTTTCCGCCCACCAACTCCTCAGCTGATCTGGCCCGTGCATTCGCCGCGCACATGCAATGGTGCGGCCGTCTCGACGTCTGCCTCAACAACACAGGCGTAGGAGAGGGAGTGGTTTTACGCATTCTATCGTTGACCATTGCTTAGACCTCCAATGCATATCATTCCCCCACCCCCACCCCCTCCCCCCCATTCTCCCTCCCCACCCCCCCAGCTGATCCGGCCCGTGCATTCGCCTCGCAAATGCAACGGGGTGGCCGCCTTGACGTCTGCCTGAACAACACAGGCATAGGCAAGAGGGACTGGTTCATTCTGCTCCTCCTTATGTCATGAACAGCATTTCCCATGTCTACACCTTCTGTCCACCACCCTCCTGTCCCGTTTTCCAGCTGACCTGGCCCGTGCATTCGCCGCACACATGCAATGGTGTGGCTGTCTTGACGTGTGCCTCAACAACGCGGGCATAGGCGAGAGGGACTGGCTTGTCCGACTCTCTTGAGCATTGTTTCTGCCTCCATCTTCTATCATTCCCCGTCTCCCTTCCTCCCCAGCTGACCTGGCCCGTGCATTCGCCACGCACATGCAATGGTGTGGCCGTCTCGACGTCTGCCTCAACAATGCGGGGATAGGCGAGAGAGATTGGTTTCTCAAGGACACGTCGACTGATGGGAAAGGCTCCTGGCGTCACGTGTTGGATGTCAACTTGAGAGCTGTTGTGGACGGCACTCGCCTTGCTGTAGGTTCTCTTTCCCTTCCCGCTCAACAAGACGGGCACTGGGGAGAGGGGCTTGTAACTTGTTCCTCTCAATGGATGGAAAGGCCATAAGGCACGTCAACCTATGGCAAAGGCTCCTGGCGCCACGTGTTGTGGACAGGACGCGGCTTGCTGTAGGTTTGCTTGTTGCAAACAGCTTGCTGGATATTTTCTTTGTATCACGCTCCTGCATGTTCTCGCATCAATGCAAATGGTTCCTGGTACCATGTGCGGGATGTTCTTCTCGCGCTTTTCCCCTTCATCGTTCCCTGCCGCTCCTTGCTCCCCGCCTGCCATTTGACCCCAGGTACACGCAATGCAGCAGGTTGGGAAATGCTCGAAGGTCGGCAGCACCAGTGGCGTGATTGTGAACGTGGCATCGGCAGCAGGACTGTACCCTTCTCCCAACGGCCCCGTCTATGCCGCATCCAAGGGTAACAATTCCTTACCTGATGCTCCTTGCTTGGTCGCTGTGTCCCTCCCTCCCCTCCTCCTATTCTCTCCTTTTTTGCTTCCAATTTGAACTCTCTGCGACGGCGTTGCGGCCGGTGGACTTGTGTTATGTGTTCTTTCCTGCATGTTTGACATCGTGTTCCTGCATTTTTGAATGCTGTGTGCCACAACGAAGCTCTGTGTTTGGTGCCACCTCGTGCAGCAGTGTTCTGTTTCGTTCTTTTCTGCGTCAAATGTGACTATTGTCAATGATGTTCTAATGTTATGTCATGATTTAGCTCTATGTTTGGTCCCTTCTCGTGCCTGCTCTGCGACTGTTCAAATGTGACTGTTTGCACGATGTGACTGCATGCACGATGTGACTGTATGGAGTGCAGCTGGAGTGGTCATGTTCACACGTTCATTGGCTCACCTCTCTGCCAGTGGCATTCGCATCAACGCCCTCTGCCCTGAGGTATAGTATAGCCCACAAGCCCCACACGCCCCACATGGCCTACACGCCTCATATGCTCCACCTGCCTCACATGCTTAACATGTTCGCATCGCTCAAACTTGTCCTGCTCCCTTGTCTTCTGCTCTGTCCCCTCCCTTGCCTCCTCCCTCCCCCCATTCTTTGCCTTCCAGTTCATTGAAACTCCACTGGTGACGCAGGTCACAGGGCAGGCGGCCAAGCATCTCCCCAAGGTGGTGGCCTCGCTGGGGGGCTTCATTCCCATGGAGACCATCGTCGACGGTGGGTGGGTGTGTGGAGGGGAGAACCGTTAGTGGGAAGTTTGTGCAATTATGGTGTGAGAAAACAGCAGTGCTGGCAGGTGCACCTTCCCTAAGGTGGTCGCCTCGCTAGGCGGATTCATTCCCATGGAGACCATCGTTGACGGTGCGTGGGTGTGTGGAGGGGGCAACCATTAGTGGGCAGTTTGTGCAGTTATGGTGTGAGAGAACTGCAGCGCTCGCAGGTGCACCTTCCCCAAGGTGGTCGCCTCGCTAGGCGGATTCATTCCCATGGAGACCATCGTTGACGGTGCGTGGGTGTGTGGAGGGGGCAACCATTAGTGGGCAGTTTGTGCAGTTATGGTGTGAGAGAACTGCAGCGCTCGCAGGTGCACCTTCCCCAAGGTGGTCGCCTCGCTGGGTGGATTGATTCCCATGGAGACCATCGTTGACGGTGCGTGGGTGTGTGGAGGGGGCAACCATTAGTGGGCAGTTTGTGCAGTTATGGTGTGAGAGAACTGCAGCGCTCGCAGGTGCACCTTCCCCAAGGTGGTCGCCTCGCTGGGTGGATTGATTCCCATGGAGACCATCGTTGACGGTGCGTGGGTGTGTGGAGGGGGCAACCATTAGTGGGCAGTTTGTGCAGTTATGGTGTGAGAGAACTGCAGCGCTCGCAGGTGCACCTTCCCCAAGGTGGTCGCCTCGCTGGGTGGATTGATTCTCATGGAGACCATCGTTGACGGTGCGTGGGTGTGTGGGTGGGTGGGAGGGTGGTTGCTGGAGGGGTGGGTGGATGGGGAATTGCGCAGTTAAGGTGGGAGCAAGCAGGAGAGATTGCGGGTGCACCTTCCCTAGGTGGTGGCCTCTCTAGGCGGCTTCATTCCCATGGAGACCATCGTTGACGGTGCATGGGTGTGTGGCACGGCAGGTGGGTGACTGGGCGGGTGGGCCAAATAGGTATTCGCATGGGAACATGGGATTTTGCACACCTGTGTATCACAATCTCGTGTTATCTCCCTTTTCCATACACACCATCCGTCTTTCTTCCCCACATTCTCTTGGGTCCCTCCACAGGCCTAGCTGAGTTGATAGAGGATGAGCAGCAGGCGGGCGAGTGCATTTGGATTGCAAGCCCCCTCCTTACGTCCCTCCCCTCTCGCACCCTCTCCCTCCCCTCTCCTCCTCCCCCAGGCCTGGCCGAGTTGATAGAGGACGAGCAGAGGGCGGGCGAGTGCATGTGGATCACCAACCGGCTGGGCAAGCAGTGGTGGCCGACCGAGGAGGAGAAGAGGCGCTACTTGGTGGCAGGCACACCTGGGGGAGGTGGTACCAGGAGTGACAGTAAAGGTGGTGACAGCAGGGGAAGTGGCAGCAAAAGTGATGCAAGCGGGGGTGGAGGGACACTGGCATTGGGTGCCATGCCACGCGCAAGGAGGGGTGCTGGTTTGGAGGCAGCTGGAGGTGAAGCTTCTGGGAAGCAGCGTGTGGGTGTGGCGAGTGGGCTGCCTTTGAGTTTCCGGAAGCTGTGAGTTGTGAGGGTGATGGGTGGTGATGGGTGGTGATGGGTGGTGATGGGTGGTGATGGGTGGTGATGGGTGGTGATGGGTGGTGATGGGTGGTGATGGGTGGTGATGGGTGGTGATGGGTGGTGATGGGTGGTGATGGGTGGTGATGAGTGGTTGGTGGGTGGTGATGTCTGCTGGTCAACCAAGTCAAACAGGTCAACCAGGGTCAACCAATCCTCTTATCCCATACTCTCGCCCGTCGCTCCCCTCCTCCCGCCAGTGTGGTGCAGCGCCTCTCATCGGACTTCAGGCAAGCCACCAGCATCTTCGCGGCACCACTGCCACTGCCCTTACCAGTCAACCAAGTCAAGGTCTCTCCTCTTTTCTATCTCGTCCTCCCCCCAGTGTGGTGCAGCGCCTCTCATCGGACTTTAGGCGAGCCACCAGCATCATCGAGGCACCACTGCCGCTGCCTGTGCCGGCAGGGAAGGTGCTGCTGCGAGTGCGATACGCGGGGGTGAACGCCAGCGATGTGAGTGCTGCTTGCTCCCTTTGCTTCCTGCGTTTCTCTTGCAAATAAAATGTTCTATCAGCAACAAGGGTGCTGCTGCGAGTGCGATACGCGGGGGTGAACGCCAGCGATGTGAGTGACTCTTCTGTTTCTGCTGCTGAAGGTGCTGGGAAAGCGTTTCGAAGGCATTGCGAAGGCGTTGCGAAGGCGTTGGGAAGGCGTTGGGTAGGTGCTGCTGCCGTTTATCACCTACTGTCCTGTCATCGCACCCTCCTTCCCTAATCACCCCCACCAATCCTCAGGTCAACTACTCAGCCGGCCGCTACGCAGGCAGCCCAGCAGAAGCATCCCAGCAGCTTCCCTTTGACGCAGGCTTCGAGGCAGTGGGGGAGATCGTCGCACTACCAGGCAGCATTACATCACCCAGCGCACAGCCCAAAGACGGTCTGGGATCCTTGGCACAGGGCAGCAGAGGGGGGCTGGCAGGGGGGCTGGCAGGGGGGCTGGCAGTGGGGCAGGCAGCAGCAGCGCTGGCGTATGGTGCATTTGCAGAGTATATGCTGGTGGATGCCCGATGGGTGATCCCTGTTCCTGACTGTTCCCCGCAAATGGTGGCTCTGCTGACCAGCGGCCTCACTGCCTCCATCGCTCTATCTGAGGTATGCGCCTCCGTTTTCCTGAGTTCTCTGAAGGGTCTTCCCTTGCCTGATGCACACGTGAGGTGGATTTGCTGAGTGCATGCTGGTGGATGCCTGATAGGTGATCCCTGTGCCTCGTCAAATGGTGAGACCAGCGGCCTCACTGCCTCCATCGCTCTAGCCGAGGTACGCACCTCCTTTCCCCTTTGGGGCAGGTATTGATTGTCATGGCCTTGCATATGCGTACGGCGCATTTGCTGCATTCGCTGAGTATATGTTGGTGGATGCCCAATGGGCCATTCCTGTGCCTGACTGCTCGCCGACAAGGGGACAAGAGAGCAGGCAGAGAAGCGGAAAAAAAGTGCAAACGGGGTGGAAGAGATCAGGCAAAGCCGAAGAAAGGAAGTGGAAACATGGGGATGACAAAAGAGCGGAAAAAGGAAGCAGAAATAAAGTGGAAACGGAGGATGACAAGAGAATAGGTGGAGAAGCGGAAAAGAAAAGTGACTACGCCGCCTTCCCTTCACCTCCTGTCTCAGCTGGGCATTTGTCATCTAGCTCTCCTCCGATTGCTGCACGGCGGTCACCAGCCTGGCTGCCAGCTCGTCCCGTTTTTCAGACGAGCGCGGATTCAACGTCGTGATCTGGCAGAGATAACGCGTGGGGTGGGGAGTAAAGGAGAAGGGAGATGCACGGGGACATGAGACGCGAAGGGAGGTGGGAGAAGTAGCCAGAGAGGATGGGGTTGAAATGGTTTCAGATACTAGTGTGCAACTGTTATTACGCAAAAAATTGTTGTTTTGTTATAACATTTGCACACAAGTGTCTCAACTGTTTCAACCCTATCCTCTCTTGTTATTTCTCCCTCCTCCCACTCACGTGCTCACGTCCACGTGCATCTCTCTTCTCCCCTACTCCCCGCCTCACGCTTTTGCTCTGTCTGCCATATCAAGGCGTTGAATCTACGCTCGTCAGAAGAGCGGGACGGGCTGGCAGCCAGGCTGGCAACCGTCGTGCAGCTATTGGAAGAGAGTTAGGTGGCAAATGCCCAGTTGAGAGAGGAAGTAAAGGGGAAAGCGGCGGAATCACTTCTTTTTTTGCTTTTCTGCCTGATCCCTTGTCATCCCCCTATTACCACTCCTTTTCCTCCGCTCTGCCTGCTCTCTTGTCCCCCTTTTTCCCTTTCTTTTCCTCTTCTCGGCGTGCTCTCTTGTCCCCCCTTTTCCACATTTTTTCCTCTTCTTTGCTTGCTCTCTTATCCCCCATTTTCCACTTCTTTTCTTCCTTTTTGCCGGCTCTCTTCTCCCCTTGTTTCCACTACTTTTCCAAAAAAAAATTCTGAAACATCTAAAAATCAACCACCCCCCCTCCCACTCTCGGATTAGGTGCATGGCGGCCAGCCACAAGACTATGCCAAATGAGTATGAGCACCATATTTTGATGCCTCTGCCTTTGCCACGTCTGATTGAGAATTTTGGAAGCTACCCTGCTATTCCCGACTCTTTTCCCCCCAAACCTCCCTTATTACAGTCCGGGCGCATGGGTAGCGGAGAGACGGTGCTGGTGACAGCAGCAGCAGGAGGGACGGGCCAGTTTGCAGTGCAGGTGAGGGATCAGTGAGCAGCAGCCACTAGGGGTATGAGCAGCACTGAGGGGTATGAGCAGCCACTAGGGGTATGAGCAGCACTTGTTCACTAAGCATTGAGCATGCAGCTTTCTCCCACAGGTTTTTCTCAGTTCCTATTTCAGTTCTTTCGCTTTTTTTTCTTTTCGAATCACACATCAAATCCTGCTGTTTTGAAGTATACATGCTGTGTGCGTGCGGGCGTGCGGGTGTGTGTGTGTGCGTGCGTGCGTGCGTGCGTGCGTGCGTGTATGCGTGCGTGCGTGTGTGTGATCATCATACTCTCTTCTGCATCTTATTCTTCTCAATATTCTCTTCCTCCCCCGTCCCCCCATACGCCAGTTGGCGAAGCTGGCAGGCAACAGGGTGGTGGCGACATGTGGCAGTGAGAGCAAGGCAGCAGTGTTGAGGGACCTTGGGGCGGATGTGGTGGTTAACCACCGCACAGAGAAGGATATGGCCAAGGTGAGAGAGAGTGATATGCAATCAAGTTAGCAGCTGCAGTATTGGGGGATATTGGAGCGGATGTGGTGGTCAACCACCGCACGGAAAAGGATATGGCCAAGGTGTGTGGACTTTTTGTTTGGCTGAATATAAGATTTGACGGCATTTTGTTAGTTTTAGAACCAGTAAGGAGGCTCGACTTTTCCCACTCTCGCTGGGTTCTTGTTTTTCGCTTCCACTCACTTTTCCTTCCCTTTCCGTTTGCCTTTCTAACCCTCCCTCCCTCTCCCCCTTCCCTCACCAGCCACTGAAGCAGGCTGTGGGCGACAGGGAGCAGCAGTGGTGTTAGTCAGTGAGGGACCAATTGTTTTGCTGCACTAGTTACAATACAAGTCTGGTCAACTCATCCTTCATTTCCCATTCTCCTCTCTCCCCCTCTTCATTCTCACCCCTTCCTCACCAGGCACTAAGCAGGCCTGTGGGCCGCAGGGAGCAGCAGTGGTGTTTGAATCCGTGGGGGGTGATATGTTCGCTGCTGCACTCAAGGCAATACATCAACCCCATACTTCCTCCTCCTTTCCCATTCCCCCCCCATCCTCCCTTCACAGGCACTGAAGCAAGCATGTGGGCCGCAAGGAGCAGCAGTGGTGTTTGAATCCGTGGGGGGTGATATGTTCTCAGCTGCTCTGAAGGCGCTTGGTCGATTTAGGAGGCTCATTGTAATCGGCATGATGTCACAGGTACGTGTCAGATGGCTGGAGAGAGGACTGGAAAGATGGGTACCTGAGATGGCTAAACAATTGTGTGGAGAGATGGGTGGAGAGATGGGTGGAGAGATGGGTGGAGAGATGGGGTAACGACATCCAGAAAGTCATTTGCTGACATGCCTCGCCTTGGTGACTTCTGACTTCTGTCTTCTGAGTCAGCTCAAAGCACACCTATCCTGCCGACGTGCCCCCACCCGCTTTCCAACCTGCCCCACACACCTTTTCACAAGCCTCATCCACCCACGCTTCTCCACCCACACACTCTCCGCATGCAGTAAACAGCAGCGCAGGAGGGGCAGTAAGTTGACTGTGCATACTCAAACTCCCCCCTGCACCCATTGCGCCCCACTCACTCACACCTCCCTTGCACCCATTGCGCCTCAGTTGCTCACACTTCCCTTGCAGTGCACAGCAGGGGAGGAGGGGTGAGCAGGGCCTCTCCTAAATTGACTCTTCAGCCGGCCCAAAGGCATACCTTTTCACTTGCCCCACACACCTTCCCTTCCCCTCCCACATGCCGCACCCACCCACACTCCACGTCCAGTACACAGCAGGGCAGGAGGGGCAGTGGGTGAGCAAGGCATATCCTGGTTTGTGTGAACGCCTGCTCTCCAATTCTCAGACGCTGGTACGTGGTGGGAGGTTCTTTATTCAGAAGTGTGTTATTGAGTTTTCCACATGAAAAACTCATTTGCCGGGCTTCAATCATGGTGAGCTAAGTTTGCGCTTTGGGCTATTGAATTGACTCAAAAGTTCGAGTTGAAGCGCACTGGGGGTTGAGTCACATCATGGAAGCTCAATCAGTCTGAGACCAAGGTTCACCGGCCCGCCTTTTCTGGCTCGCTACAATCATCAGGTTGTGTATTATCGTTCCAGGGCCCCCTTCTTGCCCTGCTTCCAGTTCCGGTTCTTTCTGCTGCACTAGTTGCTCTCTGGCGCTCCCACTTACCCCTCCCATCCGCCTCCTTACCCCACCTTTCTTTCTTCTTCTTTCTCCCTTCTCACCCGTCGCCACCATCCCTTCCACCGTCACCTCCCCAAGTTGGGTCCTTCCTGCTGCACTACCCGCAGCTCTGGCGCACGCACTTACACCTCCCATCCGGCACCCAACCCCACCTGTCATGTACCCCTTCTCCCGTCTCACCCGTCGCCACCATGCCCTCCCACCGTCACCTCCCCAGGTGGGGTTCTTCCTGCTGCACTACCCGCAGCTGTGGCGCACGCACTTCACCAAGCTGGTCACCCTGTACCAAGCAGGGCTGCTCAAGGTGCGAATGAGAGGGCAGTAGCGGGGTTGATGGGGGCTGCTTCTCTTCCTCTCTCTCGTGTTATGCTTGTTGCGGACGTAAAGACGTGCTATACCTCCCACCTCATACGCTGTGCCCTCGTCTCTCTCACACGTCTCCCACGCTCGGAATCCTAAGACATCTCAACAAAACCTTCCTTCCCACCTCGTCACATGCGGATCTAAATCCTGCAATTTTTATAGGCACCTCGTTATTCGTATTGAATTCTTCCGTCCTACCTAATCGCAGGTGGCTCTGGATCCGACGCCGTTCAAGGGCCTGCCTGCAGTGACGTCAGCAGTGGAGCACCTGCAAGCTGGGAGCAGCGTGGGCAAGGTGGGTGTGGGAATCGGGTGTGACTTGGAAGTTTCAATTCTGATAGGAGCTAATGAAATATACCCTCTGTGATGTGCGGATTGCTTCTCCAATCCTCTGTTATTGTGTCATGTCCTTCCCTTGGTTGCCTTGTTCGTTTCAGGTTGTGGTAGAGATAAGCCCAAGTGGGAATGTGTCACCTTCACCTCGCCTTTGATTCTGGCTGGTGACGTTCGAGCACAAAATTTCGCATCGATGTAGTTGTGTCTTATACAGCAATGTAGTTTTCTGCGAGGCTGCTTGCAGCATATGGCATGGCTGAGCTACAATGGTTGGGAAACTTGGCTGGGTGTGATTAGCTTAGGTCATTGACTAACGTGTACAGAAAACAGTAATGAACCTCTGTTATCGGACTCATCTGAAAGCAAATTGCTGTCAGACATTCCCGCCAATCTCAGTGCATTCCCCAGCCCCGTCAGCTCGTGTCCTTGACGTCATCCAACTCCCTAGATGCTTCCTACCAGCCTTCGATGGTTCGCACTCCCAGGGTCGCATTCATTTGTTTTTTGAATGAGGAATCTCGAAAACACTTGTAACAAATTTTTGAGTGGTGACAGACGCTTGCACCCTTCATTGTCAGCGTGGAAACATGTTTCACTACTCGGCTTTTCGTCGATTTTCGTGATAGCCTGATTTGGACTCAAGACCTGATGTCTTTCACCTTGACTTTCGATGAGCGACATGACGAGGAATAGTTTCGGTTACCCGAGGATGGAACGGCTTATCCGCGAACATCAGAATGGCCGCTAATACCGAAGACTCGATGAATCTCTTCCCTGTGCACCACCTACCTTCCCCCAATGTGGCTCCTTGCATATGAGCCACCAGGCAGGTGACGCAAGGCGTTACAGGAAGTAGCTCTCCTCACACAAAGCAGCAATGCAGCAGCAAAAATAATCTAGCGAGCTTCGGAATTCTAGAGACGACAATCGAGCGTAGCAGAGAGAGAAGTGGGGATGCTGTTGTGAATCCGAATCTTCTGGATCTCTGTTCTGAATCCGAGAGCGTTAGACGCTGTGGTAGCAGAGACGACTGGCAAGTTCTCTTGACTCGCAAAGAGGTATCCGAGTCTCTAAGGCGAGTCGCGTTCTGCCGTCGCAACCTTCCTTTTTATTCAGACAGCAGTCATTGCTGAGTGGCTCACAACCTAATTGGCGGGACATGCGAAACCCTTTCCTTGTTTCTTCCCTGACGTTTTATTTAGGTATGTGAGCTCGCTGCCTTGACAGATTAACTTGCTCAGTTATTGTCGGAGAATCAGCATTTTGGATCTCCGATTCAACCGGTTTCTGCATTCCTGTCGAAGCTTCTCGCTTCCCACACTGACCCTAGTTCGGGCCTTTCCACCTCATAATTCCCCATTTCTTTTTCCTCAAGGTCGTACGTCGAGATCATATAAGATTAGGTATTTATATAGCACACACCGTGTTCGGATCATTCGGCAGCATTCATGTAAATAGCAGCAGGGTCGCATTTTGGGCTACATTCTGAATTACATCCTGGTTTACACTCTGGACTGGACAGCTCCTGAGGGTTATTTATCGGACGCGACACTCTCTGAACGCTTCGAGCAGCAGATGTTGTGCGCAGTTCAAAGGAGTTGAGAGCAGTCGGCAGGAGTTTGACAGCCCAAACCGACCAGTGAAAGTGGGATATGAAATTTAGATGGTAGCAGCTGCTGCAAGCAGGAAAATTGCTCAAGCTGGCGAAGGCAGCAGGCGGTAGCAGCTGGTGAACGCTGGAAACTTGCTGAATTCGGTGGGAACATCAGTCAAACCAGCAGCGGGCAGGCAGGCAAGCAGACAGGCAGACAGAAAGGCAAGCAGAGAGGCAGGCAGAACGGCAGAGGCAAAGAGGCAAGCAAGGCGAAGCAGAGATGATATTCGGGAAGCGCAAGGACGATAAGGGGTTTGACATCGAGTTCAGCAGCGATGACATCTCGTCCATCCACACACAGCACTCCAGCTCGGGGAAATTCCTCGATAAGTACAGGTGGGAACAGAAAGTGCGAGTGTCCGTGATTGGGTGCATGTGCGTGCTCGCACGTACAAATGTGCGTGCTGCTGCTGTGTGTTCAGCAGCGATGACATCTCGTCCATCCACACGGCTCACTCCAGCTCGGGGAAATTCCTCGATAAGTACAGGTGGGGACGCAAGGTTGTTGAGGCGCATGTGGTGTGTGTTTGTCTGTGCGTGTATGGTATGGCTCACGTGCTGGCAACAGTGAGTTCAGCAGCCATGACATCTCGTCCATCCACACGGCTCACTCCAGCTCGGGGAAATTCCTCGACAAGTACAGGTGAGGCGCGCGGCGCAGGTGGGGAAACAGCACAGAGAAACACAGGTATGCGCCCGCGGGCATGCATGCTGCTGCTGTGTGCTCCGTCTCGTCCCGTCCATCCACACGGCGCACTCCAGCTCGGGGAAATTCCTCGACAGATACAGGTGGGGATGGGTTGAGTGTGCATGTGCGGGACGGGACATGGTGCAAGAACTGGGGATGATGGAGTCTGAGAGATAAGTGATTGACCTGACTCTTCCTGCTCATGCGTGTCTCACCCTCCCCTCTCTCTCCCTCCCTTGTCCTGCAGTCTCCCTGGCATGCAGGCAATGCTGCAGGAGCTGGGGATGATGGCGAATCGACCTCCTCCTCCTTTCTAATTCCCGTGCGTGTTTCTTCGCTTTCCCCTCCCCCACTCCCCTCTCCTGCCCAGCCTCCCAGACATGCAGGCAAGGCTGCACGAGCCGGGGGTGATGGTGAAGCTGAGGAAGAGAGGCCACCACGCCGTGAACATAGACCTGACCTGTCTCTTTCCTACCCCTTCCTCCACCTCCCTTCTTCCCCCCAATTTCCTGCAGCCTCTCAGACATGCAGGCGATGCTGCAGGATCTGGGGGTGATGGCGAAGCTGAGAGGCACGTGGTTAACCCGTCTGTTCCTCCTCATGCGTGTCTCACTCCCCTTTTCCCCCCCTCCCATGCAGTCTCTCTGACATGGAGGCGATGCTGCAGGAGCTGGGGTTGATGGCGAAGCTGAAAGGCAGGCGGTTGATCTAACATCTCATTGCTCCTGCTTTCTCCATGTTATTTCCGCTTCCCTTCCCCCCCCCCTCCCATGCAGTCTCCCTGACATGGAGGCGATGCTGCAAGAGCTAGGGGTGATGTCGAAGCTGAGGAAACGGGGCCACCATGCTGTGAACATAGAGCTCGACCTCACAGACCCCTTCGTGCATAAGGTGGGTTGCGCTTCAGACTCTCCCCAGTCATTTCCTCTGGACCACCCCACCAGCCAGGGACCTCTGTGTGAATTTCCACAGCAAATTCTCGCTTTTCCACAACCCTTCACTGCCTTCCCCCGCCCCACTTGATGTCCCTTAAACCTCTTCCCCCCATCAGATGCTCTGGACCAACCAAGCAGCCCCGGGGCATCTATGCGAGTGAATATATGCACATCCACTCGTGCTGTTAACCCCCCCCGCTTCTCTTCATGCCCTTCGAAACCCTTCACCAATCAGATGCTCTGGACCACCCCAGCAGCTCCTGAGCCTCTTTGCGAGTGCGCCCTGCGCATTCTCACCTCCACTTCACTGCTTCATGTGAGTGCTCTTGCTTCCATAAACCTCGCATGCAGCATTTGAGCATGTGACAGCCAGTTTGATGCATCCTAACACATCACTTTGTCTACTCGAATACGAATCTGCCTGCTCAAGTTCCTGCTTTCTTTTCTCATTCCAACCCATCCCAACACCAACAGGCAGTGCGGCCCAGCGAGGTGATAGGCGAGGGGGCAGCAGTGCTCAAGGCGTGGGAGAGTGGGTTAGGCGAGTACCATCCGCTCAAGCTGCTGCTGGTGCTTCTCTCTGCGCTCTTGACTCTCATGCACTCTCATTGCCCTTCCTCTCATCGCCTTCCCCAACAGGCAGTGCGGCCCAGCGAGGTGATAGGCAAAGGGGCAGCCGTGCTCAAGGCGTGGGAGAGTGGGTTAGGCGAGTACCATCCGCTCAAGCTGCTGCTGGTTGACTGGCTGCTGCTTCAAGACCCTCTGGCTCCCTGTGATGGTGAGATTTGAATGCACGGATCTATTCCTTCTACTCAAGCTGTATTCTGTGCTGACAGGCCTTGCATTGGGCGAGTACCATCCGCTCAAGCTGCTCTTAGTTGACTGGCTGCTGCTGCAGGGCCCTCTTGCGTGCTGTGATGGTGAGAACAGAGAGCACTGACAGTGGCATCAAGGAATAGCTGTCACTCAAGCTGCCCTGGCTTCTCCACCTGGCCAAGCGCATGCCATGCGTCGTACGAGATGACCGAACCTCCCATACTTCTCCTCTTTTCCTGTTCTGCCGTCTCCTATTCCCCACAGAGACCTTGCTGCCAGGCCAACACATGCCAGGTCTCGGGGCTGCGATCGAGTCCCTCTTGCTCCAATCTCTCCGTTTCTCCCCCCTCCACCGCCCCTCTCCCTCCCTCCCTCCCTGTCCCCCTCTCCCTATTTCTCCTTCCCCACAGAGACCTTGCTGCCAGGCCAACACATGCCAGGTCTCGGGGTTGCGATCGAATTTGGCAACTTGCTCTATCGCATGGTGAGTCATTTCATATCGCATCGTGAGTCATATTATATCGCATCGTGAGTCATATTATATTGCATCATGGATTTATGGTGAATATGCTTTATGGGATATTTCAGTCTCTGAATTGCGTGTGGCATTGTTTTGCGTGTTATGCACTGTGTACTGTGTCGAGCTTGTGGCTGGTACACTCGTGTGCCTGCTATAGGATGTTGTCTTACTGCATCCCACGTCACATGCCACGTGGCACGTCCCATGCGTATCTTTCCCCTTGCCTCACGCCGCGTCTCCCCCTTCCCATACCTCACCCCACGCCAGGCACAGGAGGGCGAGTTTGATGCGGTGGTGAATCGTCCCCTGCACTTCCACAACGCAGTCATGTACGCACCCACGGGCAACCGCTTCCTTAACCCACAGGTGAGTGATGTCCAACCAACCTGCAGGTGAGTGGTGGCTGGTGAGAAGTTGTAGTGAGTGGTGGTTGGTGAGAAGAAGTTGCATGGTGGGGCCAGCCTCTGGGGAGGGGAGTGACTCAAGGCCACATACCATCTGGTGCGAGTCACCTACCAGTCACTTGCACAACGCAGTTATGTACGTGCCCATGGGCAACCGCTTCCTTAACCCACAGGTGAGTTGGCATAGCCGCTAGGTGGAGCTCAACGTTGTGACTTTTGAGTCGACTCAAAAGTCACCTCGCAGGTGAGTTGGCATTGCCGCTAGGTGGAGCTCAACGTTGTGACTTTTGAGTCGACTCAAAAGTCACCTCGCAGGTGAGTTGGCATTGCCGCTAGGTGGAGCTCAACGTTGTGACTTTTGAGTCGACTCAAAAGTCACCTCGCAGGTGAGTTGGCATTGCCGCTAGGTGGAGCTCAACGTTGTGACTTTTGAGTCGACTCAAAAGTCACCTCGCAGGTGAGTTGGCATTGCCGCTATTTGGAGCTCAACGTTGTGACTTTTGAGTCGACTCAAAAGTCAACTCGCAGGTGAGTTGGCATAGCCGCTAGGTGGAGCTCAACATTGTGACTTTTGAGTCGACCCAAAAGTCACCTCGCAGGTGAGTTGGCATAGCCGCTAGGTGGAGCTCAATGTTGTGACTTTTGAGTCGACTCAAAAGTCACCTCGCAGGTGAGTTGGCATTGCCGCTAGGTGGAGCTCAACGTTGTGACTTTTGAGTCGACTCAAAAGTCACCTCCCAGGTGAGTTGGCATTGCCGCTAGGTGGAGCTCAACGTTGTGACTTTTGAGTCGACTCAAAAGTCACCTCGCAGGTGAGTTGGCATTGCCGCTAGGTGGAGCTCAACGTTGTGACTTTTGAGTCGACTCAAAAGTCACCTCGCAGGTGAGTTGGCATTGCTGCTAGGTGGAGCTCAACGTTGTGACTTTTGAGTCGACTCAAAAGTCACCTCGCAGGTGAGTTGGCATTGCCGCTAGGTGGAGCTCAACGTTGTGACTTTTGAGTCGACTCAAAAGTCACCTCGCAGGTGAGTTGGCATTGCCGCTAGGTGGAGCTCAACGTTGTGACTTTTGAGTCGACTCAAAAGTCAACTCGCAGGTGAGTTGGCATAGCCGCTAGGTGGAGCTCAACGTTGTGACTTTTGAGTCGACTCAAAAGTCACCTCGCAGGTGAGTTGGCATTGCCGCTAGGTGGAGCTCAACGTTGTGACTTTTGAGTCGACTCAAAAGTCACCTCGCAGGTGAGTTGGCATTGCCGCTAGGTGGAGCTCAACGTTGTGACTTTTGAGTCGACTCAAAAGTCACCTCGCAGGTGAGTTGGCATTGCCGCTAGGTGGAGCTCAACGTTGTGACTTTTGAGTCACTCAAAAGTCACCTCGCAGGTGAGTTGGCATAGCCGCTAGGTGGAGCTCAACGTTGTGACTTTTGAGTCGACTCAAAAGTCACCTCGCAGGTGAGTTGGCATTGCCGCTAGGTGGAGCTCAACGTTGTGACTTTTGAGTCGACTCAAAAGTCACCTCGCAGGTGAGTTGGCATTGCCGCTAGGTGGAGCTCAACGTTGTGACTTTTGAGTCGACTCAAAAGTCACCTCGCAGGTGAGTTGGCATTGCCGCTAGGTGGAGCTCAACTTTGTGACTTTTGAGTCGACTCAAAAGTCAACTCGCAGGTGAGTTGGCATAGCCGCTAGGTGGAGCTCAACGTTGTGACTTTTGAGTCGACTCAAAAGTCACCTCGCAGGTGAGTTGGCATTGCCGCTAGGTGGAGCTCAACGTTGTGACTTTTGAGTCGACTCAAAAGTCACCTCGCAGGTGAGTTGGCATTGCCGCTAGGTGGAGCTCAACGTTGTGACTTTTGAGTCGACTCAAAAGTCACCTCGCAGGTGAGTTGGCATTGCCGCTAGGTGGAGCTCAACGTTGTGACTTTTGAGTCGACTCAAAAGTCACCTCGCAGGTGAGTTGGCATTGCCGCTAGGTGGAGCTCAACGTTGTGACTTTTGAGTCGACTCAAAAGTCACCTCGCAGGTGAGTTGGCATTGCCGCTAGGTGGAGCTCAACGTTGTGACTTTTGAGTCGACTCAAAAGTCACCTCGCAGGTGAGTTGGCATTGCCGCTAGGTGGAGCTCAACGTTGTGACTTTTGAGTCGACTCAAAAGTCAACTCGCAGGTGAGTTGGCATAGCCGCTAGGTGGAGCTCAACGTTGTGACTTTTGAGTCGACTCAAAAGTCACCTCGCAGGTGAGTTGGCATTGCCGCTAGGTGGAGCTGTTTTGAGACGTCACAAAACAACTCTTTTATCACGTGAGTTTCCATTGCCAGTAGGTGGAGCTCCAATGTTGGTGTGTGTGCACGTGGCAGTTCCACAACGCAGTCATGTACGCCCCCAGTCTTGCCCATGCCCTTTCCCATGCTTATGCCCATCGTCATCTCCACCCCCACGCCCATGCCCATGCCCATCCCCATGCCCACCCCCATCCCCATCCCCATCCCCATCCCCATCCCCATCCCCATCCCCATCCCCATCCCATGCCCTTCCCCATTCCCATCCCATGCCCTTCCCCATCCCCATCCCCATCCCCATCCCCATCCCCATCCCCATCCCCATCCCCATCCCCATCCGCATCCCCATCTCCATCCCCATCCCCATACCTTTGCCCATCCCATCCGCATTCCCATCCCCATCCCCACGGCGATCCCAAGGTGGAGGCGCGGTCTGGAGTGCTGTTGTGGGACATGGAGGCCACGTGCAGCTGGCAAAGCCACTTGACCCATCAATCTCCATGCACATCCCCATACCCATCCCCATGCGCATGCATACGCCCATGCCCATCCACGTCCCCATACCAAGGTGGAGGCGCGTATTCGAGTGCTGGTGCGGGACATGGAGGCCACGTGCTGGGAAATCTTTGAGCCGTTCCGAAGCCTGCCTATGCCCATCCGCATTCCCATCCCCATGCCGACCCTTATTCTTATGCTCATGACCATCCCAAGGTGGAGGCGCGGTTTCGAGTGCTGGTGCAGGACATGGAGGCTAATGTGCTGGCGAAGTCCCTTGCTGACGTGTCACACACCATTCAGTGTGCTGTGAGTGCTGAGAACCCTCGAAACCTTTCCCCTCCCCCTTCTCCCCTTTCTCCTCACTCGCGCTCTCCCCATCTCTTCTTTCTCCCCTTCATTCTTCTCCATGAACCTGCCTCCCTCCCCCTTCCTCCCTCCTTCCTCCTACACCCTCTGCCTGGCTTTAGGTTTTGATTCAAAAGGTTTTGGACTCTTCCCGAATCCTTCTTTCAGCTGGTTTCTATGCTCACAACAACCCATACTGACACACCCTGTGTGTGCTGATTGTCATTGTCAATTCACGCGCTGCTATTTCCCTTGCTGTCACCTTCTCGACTGTTTTTGAGACTCCTCAAGACTAATGCTCGCAACAAACCCGATACTGACAGTATCTGCGATGCTTGTCTCTGTGCGTGCTGCCATTGCCGTTGCTGTCACTCAGGGATTGAGACTCGCTCATTCCACCACAGATACTTCAACCACAGACGGTTCAACCAGCACTACCAGCGGTACCACCAGCAGCACACCAAATACCACCTCCCCCAGCAGCACCTCAGAGGACACCAGCGCCGGCACCACCCCAGATAAGACCTCCCCCCGCACAACTCCAGATACCACCTCCCCCAGCAGCCACGCCGTGAGAGTCATCACCTGGACGGCAGAGGAGCAGGCCAATCCGGTGTCAGAGAGGTGAGAGGAGGGATCGCTTTCAGGTTTTTACGTTGATTGCACCGCGTTACACCTGTTTGCGCCTCTTTACCCCGCTTTAGGCTGATCATTGCCGTGCTAGAGAGGTGATAGTGAAAGTGGCTTGGGGTATGGCCGGCACTTCTCCTTGGCCAGGATTTCCCTTTCTTGGCCGTTGCTGGGTCATTGTTTCAGGCGTTTTATGTTTTCTGGTAAAAAAACAAAGAATGGGCGAGCAACTGACACTTTGTACTGATGCGCCTAAAAAAACGTCGCATATACCAAGGTGCTACCCACAGGCTTTCAGGTGACTCTTGAGTCGACTCAGAAGTCACTCTGACACGTCTTTATGGTAGTACCATTTCATCCGCAATCTCTCCTCGTGGTGATGGCAGGATGAAGGCCTTCTTGGCGTCAGAGCCCTACCTCTCATTGGTGCAGAGGGACTCACGTGGCATCACAGCCAATGAGCATCTGACACGTGCGCGCTCCATGCTGGTCAATGGCCGGCGCGTCTCGCTCAGCAGCAGCGGCAGGGAGCTGGGGAGTGGGAGAGAGATGGGTAATGGGGGCAGTGGCAGGGAGGTGGGGAATGGGGGCAGTGGCAGGGAGGTGGGGAATGGGGGCAGCGGCAGGGAGGTGGGTCATGGGAATGGGAACAGTGGGAGTGGGAGGGAAGTGAAAGGTAGCATTGGGAGGGGTGCAAACGGAAGCTTTGGCAGGGAGGACAGTTGCAATGGTAGGGACATGGATAACAACCGCAGCTGCCCCAGCTTGCAGAATCAGGAGGGTGTTGCGGCTAATGCAGGTACAGCTGGGGATGTTACAGCTGGTGATGCTGGTGACCAGGTTGGATCGTTAAAGCCAGTGTTTGGGTTGGACTCATTGGATGGGGTGGAGAGTCAGGAGGCGATAAAGAAGCGGATAGATGGGGGGGTGCCCGTGTGGGAAGTGGTGATCTGAAGTGAACAGCTTTCGAGACGCCTGCTTTGATTTGCTTTTTCTTCGATATATTTTGGCTATACGAAAACCATTTTCCTAGGTGCATGCGTGAAAGTGGTTAAAGAAATCAGAACACTTGCCCATCTGCTTTTTGCTTTTCATCACTACTCTCTCCAACCAAAGCATGTCTAGAAGATGTTTGTTTTCGCGCCAACCCCTATCGAAACTTCCATCTGTAGATTGTTAATACCGTAAGCCACCTTACAGCGAAACGAATCCCACAAAACTGGATTGTCGACTTGCTCGCCACCCATCCCAGGTCCTAGACCGTACCAACTGGATCTCAACTCGACCTAGTTCATCCTAGATCCTGATCCTTGCTTCCGCTCGGTGTTCGTCGACGCGTAACTTGTACTAGTATTTTCCACTATCGTATTAAGTTCAATAGTATCTTATCTTGTTCCAACGTCTGTAATATGAAGCCGAAGAAGCATAAGACGGAGGGAATCGCGCTGCTGTCGATGTACGCAGGAGACGACGACGATGATGAAATGGAAGAGGAGGAGGAGGAAGAGGAAGAAGAAGAGGCGCAGCGAGGGGGTGCATCTGCGGAAAGGCGGAGCGGAAGCGGAAGCGGAGCGGAAGGAGGCCGTGCGGGGGATGACGGCGCGGCGGAAGGGGGAGACCGATCGATGCGATCGGGGGAAGCGGTGGAACGATCGCGGGAGGCTGTGGGAGGCGCGTTGGGGATATTCGGCTACGGGCATGACGCGGGGGACGATGAGGTAAGTCACGGGTAGGGTCTTTATGGTTAGGGTTGGTAAGGCGCTTAAGACATTGGACGCTGCAGGCGCATTTGTAAGAATGTGAAGATTTCTTTCTTGTGTAGTGTAGTTTTAGGGTACGTAATTTCTGCATTAGGGTTTCGTTCGTGGTCCCATGATCTCATAGTCTCGCTCCCTTACTTCCCTCCGCATGCCCGTGCTCGCTTTCCCCTCCCATGCCACTGCCCTTCCGCCGCGCCGTTCCATCTTCCCCCGGTTCCGCGCCCGCATCGCATCTCTTCTTTCCGCCATCTGCTCCGCTGCCCGCTTAGATGCGCGCAGGAGGCGGAGGGGGAGGCAGATGAGCGGCAGGCAGGCGCGGAGGCACAGCAAGAAGGTACAGGACTCTACTCTTTGCTGCCGGGCCTCTAAGAGCACTTACCGTTTGTTTTTATCATTATTATTTTTGCAGATGTGCTCCATTGTCATTTCATGCATATACATATGTATGATTGTATACATACATGCATGCATACATACACATACATACATACATACATACATACATACATACATACATACATACATACATACATACATACATACATACATACATACATACATACATACATACATACATACATACATACATACATACATACATACATACATGCATGCATGCATGCATGCATACATACATACACACGTACACATGCATACATACAAATATATATATATATATATATATATATATATATATTTTTTTTTTCATTGTTTTTTGTTGGGTGTGAGTAGAGTGCATCCAGGCATGACCTGTACTCCTAATCTTCCCCCCACCTCTTCTTCCCATTCCAGCCCCCAACCGTGCCACTCCAGGTTCGGTGCATATCCTCTCTCCCCCCGTTGGCCGAACCACACCCACCGGAACAGGCATGGTTGGCCGGATCACTCCCCCCCCACCGGGCTCTTTGGACGGTGACGTGGCGGTTCTAGCAGCAGCCAATGGCATTGCGTCACGTGGGCAGCTGACGCCCCCTGTGAATGGGGCTATACAGGGGGAAGTGGGGGCTGAAGGGGAGATGGAGGGGGAGAGGAGAAGAGGGGAGGATGGGGGAAGAAGCGGAGCGGGAGGTGTGGAAGGTCAGGGAGGGGGGGAAGAGGAGGAGGAGGTAGAGGTCGCATTGAGAGGGTTTTTGCCTCCCCCACCACGAGAAAAATGTTCAGAGCAACTGCAGGTGTGCAAGGGGGCAATTAAGGGGGGGCGAAGGAAAAGAAGGAGAGGGGGGTGGGGGTTGGGAGGGGGGCAGAGGGGTGAGTTATTTTGGAAGAATGGGGGAGAAGAAGTGTGATTTGCAGAAGTATTCTTCTGGGTCTCTAGATTCACTCGCTTGCAAGCTTGCTTCGCATGTTGAGCTCTCCCGCTGCACATTTTATAAAACGCATGGAATGTGCCACATGGCGTGCTGTGACTGGTGGTGATGGGTGGCAGACCAAGTTCATCCGGTATCTAGAGCTGAAGCGGGCTGGCAGGAGCGGGTGGGCGAGTTGTGACTGCTAACGGCAGGCAAACTTCATTTGATGTCTGCCACGTGGCGTGTTGTTATTGGTGGTGGTTGGCAGGCCAAGTTCATCCGGTATCTGGAGCTGAAGCGGGCCGGCAGGAGCATCAACGATGCTCTGAGGAACTCCAAGGGCTACCGCAATCCCGACTTCATGCAGCAGGTGTGTGTGGGATGGTGAAGGGAAGAGGGTTTGCTGAGGTGAATTTTGAGCCTACTCAAAGTCAACTCCAAGGGCTGCCGCAATCCCGACTTCATGCAGCAGGTAGGGTGATGAGTCCAGATCCAGAGGAAAGAGGGGTGGAGAGGGGTGTGCATGAGTTGCGAACGTTGTGAGGAGCTTCAATCATGCTCTGTGCAACTCCAAGGGCTACCGCAGCCCTGACTTCATGCAGCAGGTGGGGTGATATGAAGGGCGAGAACCACGTGCATCAGGTGGGGCGGGAGGGATAAGGTGGGGGCTTCAAGTGATATTTGCAGCATCAACCTCAAGGGCTTAAACGCTGACCTCTGCAATCCCAAGGGCTACCTTAACCCTGACTTCATGCAATAGGTGGGGAAGGGATGGGTTGAATTGGGGTGGGTGGGGGAGAGGGGCGTGACTGTGTTGGGAGGATTAGGAGGGTTGTCAGCGATGCTCTACTCGACTCCAAGAGCAACTGCAACTGTCGGTTCGTCCTCTGTCCACTTCCCTTTTGAGAATCCTCAAAGTGATGTTCATGTAACTCCAAGAGCAATTGCAACTGTCTGTTCGTCCTCTGTCCACTTCCCTTTTGAGAATCCGCAAAGTGATGTTCATGTAACTTCAAGGGCAACTGCAACAGTCTGTTTGTCTCTCTGTCCTCTTCCCCATTGGCCTTCGACTGGTTTTCCCGTTTTCTCTCCTTTTCTCGCTACAGGTAGTGAAGCACGAGGGAATAGACGAGCACGGCTCTTGCTTTCCTAAGGACGTCTTTAATCCCCACGGCTTTGACCGATCTGACTACTACGACGCTCTTGGTACGCTGGCCTGTTCTCCTCACTCAGTCTACTATCATTGAGGCGCATCAAGAAAAGGCTCCCCACGGCTTTTGAGACGTCTTTAATCCCCACGGCTTTGACCGATCTGACTACTACGACGCTCTTGGTACGCTTCCTCATGCTTAACTGATTTGTGCCTGTTTGGGACTTACTTAGCTAAAAGCCGCTATTGGAGAGTTTCATGTCTTGCAACTTTCATGGCTTGCTTGGGCTGGCTGTATTTATTTGTATCGAGTACAGCATTTTTTCCCACATGGTTTCCCATACTTGCATCATCCATACGACCTTAATGTTGCTATTTGGCATGCTCTGTGTGGCGTGTGGCATGTGGCATCTCCCATATGTGCCATGTGGCATGTGCTTTATGTGGCATGTGCTTTATGTGGCATGTGCTTTATGTGGCATGTGCTTTATGTGGCATGTGCTTTATGTGGCATGTGCTTTATGTGGCATGTGCTTTATGTGGCATGGCATGTGGCATGTGCTTTATGTGGCATGGCATGTGGCATGTGCTTTATGTGGCATGTGCTTTATGTGGCATGTGCTTTATGTGGCATGGCATGTGGCATGTGCTTTATGTGGCATGTGCTTTATGTGGCATGTGCTTTATGTGGCATGTGCTTTATGTGGCATGTGCTTTATGTGGCATGTGCTTTATGTGGCATGTGCTTTATGTGGCATGGCATGTGGCATGTGCTTTATGTGGCATGTGCTTTATGTGGCATGTGCTTTATGTGGCATGTGCTTTATGTGGCATGTGCTTTATGTGGCATGTGCTTTATGTGGCATGTGCTTTATGTGGCATGGCATGTGGCATGTGCTTTATGTGGCATGGCATGTGGCATGTGCTTTATGTGGCATGTGCTTTATGTGGCATGTGCTTTATGTGGCATGTGCTTTATGTGGCATGTGAAATGGCGTGTGGCGTGGCATATGGCATGTGCTTTATGTGCCATGTATGACATGTGCATTTTAAATATGGCATGCGGTCATGGCTCATGATGCATGTGGGTGTGGGCATGGGGGCATGTGGTGATAATCAATGGTCCATGGGGCAGTGGCGGAGCAGAGGAGAGAGATGGAGCGGAAGGAGCAGGAGAGGAGGCAGAAGGGCGGGCAGATCGAGTTTCAACGAGGGGGAACCGTTGTGCAACTCATTGCTGCTCCTCCTAAAGGTAATGCACCACTCTGCACCGCTCTCTATCACATCCCAGCGAGGCGGCACTGTCAGGCAACTCATTGCTGCTGCTCCTAAGGGTAATGCTTGTTTAGATTGCCCTGTGCAATGCAGGGTAGGGCAACACGCTGCATCTCTCTGCACCGCTCTCTATCACATCCCAGCGAGGCGGCACTGTCAGGCAACTCATTGCTGCTGCTCCTAAGGGTAATGCTTGTTTAGATTGCCCTGTGCAATGCAGGGTAGGGCAACACGCTGCATCTCTCTGCACCGCTCTCTATCACATCCCAGCGAGGCGGCACTGTCAGGCAACTCATTGCTGCTGCTCCTAAGGGTAATGCTTGTTTAGATTGCCCTGTGCAATGCAGGGTAGGGCAACACGCTGCATCTCTCTGCACCGCTCTGTGCCACACGGGCAGAAAGGCGTGCAGATAGAGCTCAAACGAGGGGGCACGATTGTGTAACTCATCGCTGCTCTGCCCAAAGACACTGCTTGTAGAACAGTGCACCACTCTGCATACCTCTGCACTGCTCTATGCCGAATTATTCAACGTATTGCTGCAACCGACGCAGCCTTTAGTGGAATTTGGTCTTCTTGTTCATATCATTCCCCAGCACCACCAGCAGCACCATCAGCAGAACCATCAGCAGCACCCCTTCTTCCACTTCCCTCTCTCTCCAACTCCCATGTCTTTTGCCTTACCCATTGCCTTCTTCATCTGCCCCTCTTTCCCCTTCTCCCCTTTTTTCCCCTGTCTTCCCCGTCTCTCCCTCTTTCCCCCTGTCTTCCCCGTCTCTCCCGCTTTTCCCCTGTCTTCCCCATCGTCCAAACCAGGAGCCCAACCCATTCCCGATGCTGCAGCTGCAGCAGCAGGGGGGATGGCACCTGGGCAACCAATGGCAGCAGGGGCTGCGGCAGCAGCGGGAGCGGCAACAGCAGGAATGGCAGCAGCAATGGGGGCAGCGGCAGCAGGAGGTGCAGCAGCTGCTGCTGTGGGAGCGGGCATAATGGGCTCTGCTCCTGGTGTTGTGCGGGGAAGCACCGGTACTGCTGGTGGTGGGGATGGGTTGACACGAGGCGGGAAGAGGAGCAAATGGGATAAGGTAAGTATTCAGTGAGATGCGATTGCGAAAGAACCAGAAGAAAATGTGAGATTGAAAAGAAGAGAGGAAGGGGAGGACGATTTGCATTGGCCTCTCACGTAAAAAATCCCACTGTCACCGCATCCCAACGATTTGCATTGGCCTGTACCCACTTCCACCAGGTTGTTGCGGACGCCCCACCAGCAGCAGCTGTAGGAGCAGCAGCATCAACAGCAGGAGCCGCTGCTATTGGTGCTACCGGTACTGCTGTTGCAGCTGGCACTGCTGTTGGTGGTGGTGCTGGTGGCGTTGCTGGTGCTACTGCTGCAGGTGCCGGTGCTGGTGGTGCTGGTGCGGGCATGGGCATAGGGCGAGGGGCGCACATGGCAATGGCAGCAGCGAGAGCACATGCTGCTGCCATCACTGCCGCTGCTGCTGCTGCTGCCATGGGGGGTGCAGCACCCACAGGCGCACACATGTGAGTGAGTATCCTCTACTGCTCGTTATCTCCATCGCTTCTCCCGCCAGTTTGTGTGCCTGATTACTTGCTTTTGTCTGGTGCAGGTTGTTTGGTTAAGAGCGGGAGCAGGTGTTGACTTTTGAAAAGACACTCAAATTGTGCTTGATTGCTTGCTTTTTTGTGGTGCAGGTCATATGATAAGAGCGGGCACAGGCGCTGACATATGAAGCGTTGGCTTTTGGGGCGTTGACTTTTGAGGCACTTTTGTATTGACATGGACGGTCATATTGGGCACCGCCGCAGTTGTTGTTCATGCGTGGATGGGTACTGGCTGGTTGTTTTACGGTCTTTCGAGTTGATGCACGAGTCACCTCACCTTGCTTGGGTGAAGATAAAACTACATTATGATGATGCAACTGTGAAGATGAAGCCACTTGGTGGAGCTGAATTGTTGCTGTGTGGCCCTCCTATTCTGCTGTGCTGCCTGCAAGCATTAAAACCGAAATATAAAATAGTGAAGGCCGACCCAACTTGAAATGGTTGCGATAACTTCGGTTGATACAACACTGTTCCAAACAAAACGGTTAGGCAGGTTGAACTCATCTGATTGGCTCACACCAATCTGAAAAATTTGGCTCCCGCCAAAACGATTACGCATGATCGTTTCAGCCGTCGCATTTTGGCTCGCTACACCCGCACGAACGGAGCCAGGCGATGGTTTCCATCGCCTGGCCCAACTTCCATTCAAGATGGAACTGGGTGAATGACTAGCTGATCTCTGGTCCCGAAGTCACCAGCGTTTTACGTAGCATAGTAGCAAAGCTTAGAGAGCCTAAATGCTTCTCGCCTAGGCACGTAAGTATCGAACTAGCTCGCGCGCGAATTGTATTAGACATTGTTTACAGGGCTTCAGATTCGTTTTGGGCCACCCTTAGTAATCAGGGTTCTAGGTATAGTCAACCCTGATGCGTAGGGTAAAAGTTTTGTTTCCCTGACAAAAGAAGGGTAAATAAAAAGTTAGTCTGTTTGGCCAGAGTTTTTTTAAAAACCTATGTAACAGGTAACAGGTAATGTGGGTGAGATCGTAGGTTCAAGTCTCACTGTCGGAAGTATTTTGCATGGGCCTATATACGATTTCGTCTCGCTACAGAGCATTCGGTAGCAGTATAACTAAGATTGTACAGTATACAGTCAGGGAAAAAAGTTCCATACTTACGCTGTTTTTCAAAGGGTACAAAAAAACTTACACTTTCTGGCCTAGGGTAAAAAATCCACTACCCTGCCTGTGAAAGGGTAACTGAAAAAAAGCGGCCGCCAGTCAGTGCAAAAAGGGTATTTTACCCTGATAACGAGAGGCCTGATTGTTTAGTATAGTAATTATTTTTCTCTTATCGCGCAAGTGGTACCCTAACCCATCACCTGCGCTGCCGTCGCGTTTCGCCCTCCTGTCGCGCTTCATCTCCTCCCGCCTAGACACGTAAGTATCTCTTCTCCTCCCGTCACCCTTCCCGTCGCCCTCGCTCTCTCCACTCCCACCCAATCTCCACTCCCACCCAATCTCCCCTCCCTTCCCGTCGCCCTTCCTCTCTCCTTTCCCACGCAATCTCCCCTCCCTTCCCGTCGCCCTCGCTCTCTCCTCTCCCACCCAATTTCCCCTCCCTTCCCGTCGCCCTCGCTCTCTCCTCTCCCACTCAATCTCCCCTCACTTCCCGTCGCCCTCGCTCTCTCCTCTCCCACTCAATCTCCCCTCCCTTCCCGTCGCCCTCGCTCTCTCCTCTCCCACCCAATCTCCCCTCCCTTCCCGTCGCCCTCGTCGTCCTCGCGCTCGCCCCGAAATACCCTCCGGCCGCATTTCGTATTTTATCTCACATTAGGCACCTCAACCCCCTCGCGCTCTCCTCGAAACGCCCTCCCGTCACCCTTGTTCTCTCCCCTTCTGTCATCCTTCTCGTCACCATCGCGCTCTACCATTTCGCGTTTTTGGTCACACATTTTTTTCCACGCGTCCTCCTTTGTGTCGCCCTATCTCTCTCGTACCTCGTCACCATAAAATTCTCTGTTGTTTTCCTCCTCTTGGGTTTCATATGTTGTTTCTGCAGATCGCAAGCCCATGTCCAAGGTGGTCCTTGTGCGTAAATTGCACATGCTGCTGTTCTAGTCGAAATTTGCATGCCATGTGTGTGGGATTCGCACGTCGCAAACTTGCGACACATTTGCCCATACTAGCGACAATTGTTTCGTAAATTTTAGTGAAGGCCTCGACCTGCGTCGGCAAAAACATTACGAAAAAACACTTCAACTTTCCAAAGTCAGCTAGATTTTTCAAGTGGACCCAACTAGAAGGGGGGGGTCACTATTTTAGCTGTTGGCTAAAAAGTAAGCTGGGGTATTCGGGCCTTGACGCGTCACAAAAGTAAGCGTCACAATCGAGTGCCATCACAGTGAATCAACTGTTTCTGGCCGAAATTCCATCACAGTGAATCAGAAACGCACCCTCATAATTTTGAGTGTTTTGTGGAAGGCGCATGAAATTATCCCCAGTCTTGATATCTAAATGCAAAATGCAGAAGGCTGGAAGTAGCCAACACAAGAAGTTTGGCACAATAGATAGTGATATGTAAAATTTACGGACAAGCCGTTGTCCATGCTTATTCTGTACAAAGTTCCTGCGATCGTTGCAACTCCGATTGCTTGTAGTGGATCTTGTATTTTGTACACGTGTGCGCCAGGCATGCAACCGTGTGGGGAGTGCACGGTTCCCCTGCCATACCCAAGCCATCCGCTCGGCTACAATACAGTACAAGGCCTGTAATCCACAGCCGCAGGCCGAGAGGGAGAGAGAATGACTCCAGTGGCCAATAAGGTGATTCACCATCCCTCGCGTGGCCACGAATGACTCGAGTGGCCACCAAATTTGGTGATAATGACTCGAGTGGCCACGCCAGGGGATTCTTGCTGGCTTTTTTTTCTTTAGCGCATTACCCTACGGGGCTTTGTAGCCACGAAATTCCCCATTCGTGCGAGTGGTATCCTTAGGTAGTGTTCCGTTCTGTTCCGCACCCGAAAATTTCGCCCACACACTGTACACAAAACCGTAAAAAATGCACGACCAACAGTAGTTGCACGGTCATTTTCGGCCCAATGCCCGACCAATGAGCGCGCGGTAAAAATATCAGCGATCATAAACTGCTCTGCGGGGGCATAAATGCGCGAACACATTAGTGACCGCGGGCAAGAAAAAAACTAAAACCCACTCGGAAGGCATGCCATCCGAGGGAGCCTCAACCCTAAAATTTTAGGGTTGAGGCTCCCGAATGGCATGCCGTAAGCCACGGGGTTTATTTTTTTATCACCTTAGGGTAATGCGCCGTGAAAAAAAAAGCCAGCAAGAATCCCCTGGCGTGGCCACTCGAGTCATTATCACCAAATTTGGTGGCCACTCGAGTCATTCGTGGCCACGCGAGGGATGGTGAATCACCGTTTTGGCCACTGGAGTCATTCTCTCCCGAGAGGGAGGAGGGACAGGAAATGTAATGTGGCACGTCAGCCCCAACGTCCAATGGGTCTGTCTGTCATTGGTTGACTGTCGCGATGTGCTTACAATCGAAGTTGTATATTTTGACTTGTAAAATTTGAACAGCACAATGCCACTGGGAGCCGCTTTCGTGATCGTGTCGCCTTCAGTGTTGCGGGTGGCATTACGGCTCCGGGGGTCGGGCCGATTCGGGGCGGCTCCAGCTGGCTGACTTCGCTGTTTGATCAATTCTTGACCTAGCGGAAACGCACGCGTTTGGGACCACCTTGTCCCGTTGGCAAAGCGTAAAAAATTCATAAAGAAATCGTGACTTTGACCAGCACCAAGAGATTTCAAGTTCTGGTGTTTATTCGTGGGTTCTACCCGATGGAACTAATCATCCCACGACTATAAAACATGAAAAAAAGGGTATGAAATACAGGGTATCGATCGGGTTTTCAATTTACAGAAGGCGTTTGTTGAGTCTAACCCACCTAAAACCCGCAGCTTGTTTCGGCCACATACACCCCACACGGAAGGCCGCGCAGCGAGCAGGAAGGTAGCTTCACAGCCGCTCTACCCGCCCCCCTCAATCGCACTTGTGTTCAACCTTTCCCAGCTCACCCGATGTTCGGGCCTCACGCGCTTTGTTATCTCGCTGGCTCGTGCCACCCCTTCCGGTTGCTTAGATTCTAAGGGCGGTCTACAAAGCCTGGGGTACCCGTTATTTCCCAGCCCATAAGAAAATAGCGTGAATAGGTGTCCCGTGTGTCTATGTTGTGTTTTACGGCATCGGCATACACCATAACAGCCACCTGGTTACTGTCGTGCTTGTTAGGACTATATCAGTACCAGAACTCCTGGCAGCACGGAGAACAATTTTTATCGTGTGGGATTCTGAAGGTTTGTTTGAAAAGGTACCCAAATTGTTCGCGAACCATTTTTCATCTGGACCAGCCATTTTACAAATGCTCGCGTCGTCTAGGCTTGGGGAATGGGGAGCGATGACGAGACTCTACACCGAAGGGCGCGCAGCCGTTTAGGGGGAGAAGAGGAAGTCAAAGCGGGGATGGAAAGGAGGGGTTTGTCGAACCGTGTGCTTGGGCAGGCGCAATTGCTGGCGGAAGTACGGTGTAGCTTGCTGCCCAATGCTTCAGACCCGCGAGCGTTGGAGGAACCCTCCTGCCGAACCAGTAGCGTATCCCGCCCGTCTGACTCCACCGAAGCTCTGCTCCTTACCTAGACAGAGCAAGAGTGTAGGTTCGTTCGGTGAGCGGCGAAACCAGGTTCAACTTCCAAACCAGCTCGATCTGAGTCAATAAAGAGCCCCTCTTGGTTCATTCCCCTCGTCAGATATTCCATCACTCAGGATTGGAACTTGGATTTCCCAACAACTGCAGCAGTTCCATTTGCTCTTGCATGCACTCTCCCTTCAGCCGCCATAACTTGGTACAGCGTTTACCGCGCGCGATCTCATTTTATCGGCCTTGACAACACCTTCCGCGTTGTGCTACCCAACTGAACCATGTCGAGGGCGTGGCTCTTCGTGGCGCTGCTTTTCAGCGCGGCGCTGCTTGCTTCTGCCGCCGTAACTCCCGCCGCCACCTCCGCCGGGCCGCGGTGTCAAAACCGCTTCCCGCGCAAGCCGCTTTGCAAGTTCGTGGACGGCGAGTAACCCGCTTGCCGTGATCGATGGAACGACGGGAAAGCTGGTGAAGATCGGCATTTATCAGATTTACCAGGTGAGTGTCAGCTAATGAATATACTGGTCATTGTACGACTGAACAAAACTAAACCTTCTACCAGACAATACGTTTTTTCATCATGCGTCATCGTGGCTTCTCGCTGCGCGACATTGCTAACGCAGCCTACGGCTGCGGAGCGCCGTGGCTTCTCCCGCTCCGTTCCATACCCCACTGGACCGTTCGCTCACATTTGCTTGTTTGATTTGTTTCTTCTCTGTCAGAAATTCCATCGCGATTTGCCCGCGACGAAGCAGTACGTGTACGGAAAGGACGAGAAAACCGCCGCCTACCCCGGCCCGGTCATCGTCGCCCAGCGTGGCGTGGAAACCAAGGTAGGTCGCGATTGGTGCTGGTTACATTAGCAAGCATTTCGCTGAAACTCGAGGGTTTCACTGACAACGTTGTTACGTGCTTCCTCGTGTCGCGTCGCAGGTGTATTTCGAGAATCACCTGCTGGACAAGCAGCACATGTTCACTGTTGACTACACTCTCATGCCCGGCATTCCCAAGCCGAAGCTCGGCGGCATTCCCGTTGGTATGTCCCCGTTTTACGTCCGCCTACACGACTTAACAGCACAAAAGCAAAGCTCTGCCTCACATGCCACCACTTCGTTTTCCCCTGGAACGCCTCGCATCGGCGCCTCTCCCTCATCCCTCACCTATTCTGATCGGTGATGTGTATCTGTTTTCCTCCTTCATGTTCCCAGTGATTCACCGTCACGGCGGTGAGCAGCAAAGTGACAGCGACGGCCACCCTCAAGCGTGGTTCACGCAGTTCGGCGAAACGGGTCCCACGTTCAAGTCCCGTCTCTACACATACGCCAACAAGCAAAACCCCGCTGCGATTTGGTACCACGACCATACTCTCGGCTGGACGCGCCTTAACACCGTCGCCGGAATCGGCGGGCTCTATGTGATTAAGGACCCCAAGGGGTACGAGCGCAAGATGGGGTGGTTGCCGAGCGGCGCGCGCGAGGTGGCTCTGGCGATTGCGGATCGCATGTTCTTCGCGAACGGGTCGATCAACTATCCGAATGTAGGGAACGTGCCGCGCGTGCACCCGAACTGGAACCCCGAGTATCTCGGCGACACGATCGTCGTAAACGGCAAGGTACGCGTGGCTTTCAAGTCGTCTAAGCGTTGTCCCTTTTCGTTCGAGCCGTCATCTCGTTGCATTTTCAGATTTTCCACCGAAAGCCTGTTCTTCATTCTTGCCCCCTCTTCCTAAATTTCCCCTTATTTCCACTTTCCCGTGGCTTTCCCCGCTCATCAGGTGTGGCCGTACATGCGAGTGCGCCCCGCAATGTACCGCATGCGCCTGCTCAACGCCGCCAATGCGCGCGTGTTCAACCTCAAGTGGGTGTGCGCCGCGCGCGTCGATTATCCCAACTTCGTTCCGCCCATCCATGGCCCCGCGATGTCCGTCATCCAGGTGAGCGCAAAACTCTCCGCCACTATTATCACCCGCGGATGGCAAGCCCCTTTCCGCGACACGCCCTTCATGTCATTCTAATGATACAACTTCTATTACTGCCTTCCGCTGCACTCGCGGTTCCCTTATGCAATCCACATCCGCCCGCCGGCCGGAGTCGCTTGTTCGTTCGGATCAAGCGCTTCGCCGCGCCAACCTGACTAATTCATCACACCTCTTTTGCGCGTCTCTCCTCTTTCCCCTTCCAATGCCCCTTCCCCTCTCCCGTCCCGTCACCCTTAAAGATCGGCACTGACGGCGGGTATCTCGTTCGCCCTGTGCGCCGCACCGAGGTGCTTCTGGCCCCCGGCGAGCGCGTCGATCTCCTCGTCGACTTCTCCCTTGTCCCGTCGGACTGCAAGGACGTGATTATAACGAACGACGCGCGCGCGCCCTACCCCGCGGGCCAGCCCGTGACGGCGGAAACGGGCGTGGTGATGCGCATCAACATTTTGAATAAGAAGCGCATCCCGTCCCCCACAATTCCCAAGAAGATCAGCGTAAGTTCGCGCGTGTTCTACTAGTTTTACTCGGTCGGTAGGGGGAACCGGATCTGGTAATTCGTGAGGGGTTGAATTCTTGCCCCCCCTCGCCGTTCGGAATAGAGCGGACACGATCTTCCGCGCTTGCGTCAACCCCCCCGTGTCCAGCAGAAGTCTTCGTTTGTCGTTACCCTTCTTCGTAACTTATCTAAATCGTGAGGTTTCTGATTTCGTCAACCTCCGGGTTCAACCTGTTACCTCTCTTCGTTTCGACTTATTTTTTTCGTGAAACGCAGTGGATGCCCAAGGTGCCTCCGATCAACAAGGAGCGGTACGCCACGCTCGTCGAAATCATGCAGCGCGGGACGAACCTGCCCATCCGCGTTACAATCGACGGCAAGTCGTACATGGACCCCGTTACCGAGACTCCCAAGCAGGTACACTACTTGTGGGATTCTGACTCCCTTTAATTGCTTTCATATGAAGGAAGTTGCGATGCAACGTGGTTTGCTCCTTTGAGCTTCTTTTTCCAACTTCATTTGACTGACATTTAAACGAAATATTGTTTGCAGGGTGACACCGAGGCATGGTATCTTATTAATCTGTCAGCCGATGCCCATCCGATGCACCTTCATCTCGTCCAGCACCGCCCTGCCTGGCGCCGCCCATTTGATGTAGCTGGTTACCAGTCCGGCCGTTGCTCGTTCACGGACAAAACCAAGCCGAGCTGTTACACTGGTAACCGGCAGCTGGTTGGCTACCACGAGAGGGGTTGGAAGGATACCACCCTCGCATTACCCGGGCACGTTCTCAAGATTATTATGACATTCAAGCGCCAGGTATGCTATGAAATGCCAATCATTCTGATGTGTGAGTCTTCAATGCTTTGTCAATAGCACTCCAAACACCTAAGAGCACATGCAAACTGGTCGATCCGTGGTCTTGTTATTCATTATTATTGATAATTGTTTTTTGTGCCTCTGTTTTTGTGTACAGGACATGATGCCGTATGAGTTCGATGCCAGCACTGGCCCCGGCTATGTGTGGCATTGCCACATTCTTGACCATGAAGACAACGATATGATGCGACCCCTGGTCATCACGAAGTAGACCCCTTCAATCCAGTGACCATGGCTCTACTAGTGGCTCGTGTGTGGCACTGCTGCATTCTTGACCACTTGCTTTTGGGGAATGTGTAGCAGCAATACCGTAGAATGATTTGTGGATGGGAAACCAGCAAGGGCATGGGTTGGTGTAGTCTTGGCATAGGTAGGTGAATTTGTTACCATATGGTAACATGGATGGGTTGTTAGGATGATGGGGCTGTAGGATGGTTCCCGGATAGCAGTTCTCTAGTTGGGCAGGGCCTAACTGGCATCATGTCGCTAGCTGGTGTATATTGTAACCTTAGTGGGAATAAACATTTTTTGAAGTGCTTAAACAGTAAGTATGAATACGAACAATCACACCTTCGTATCGTGTGAAATGGCGTTGTAGGGCAGTTGGAGATGAGATGAGGACGATGAATGGGAGCAGGAGAAGTGCATATGGCGTATGAGCAGATATTCTAGCAGCACACACGAAACAGGAGCACAAACGGCGAGTAGCCTTGCTATGTATCGCGTGGAAACGGCTGTGGAACGGGGGCTGAGGAGAACGCGAGGGCGAGGGGATGCTAGTTTTGAGTCGACTCAAAGCTTTGCCTTGTATCGTGTGGAAATGGCTGTGGGAGGGGGGCTGAGGATGACGCGAGGTCGAGGGGAGGGTAGGCGTAGTGTTGTTGAGGTGGATAAGGAAGCAGATATCTCAGAAGCGACTTTCGAGGTGCCTCAAAAGGCTGAGACCTAGGCGAGGTGTGGAGGTGTAGATTTGAGAAATTACTCTAGAAGCGCACTCCAAACATGAGGACAGCCGCAAGCAGCACGGCGACAATCACAGCAATGTAGCGTGTTGGGATGGCTGTGGCGGGTAGTTGAGGCGGAGGGAGGAGTGGGAAGTGGTCCGGCATGGAGCAGGGATAGCCGTCGAAGGAGAGGAGGGACGGGAAGAAGTGCTTCCCATCAGCTTCAGTAAGGTTGAGCCCTGGGAGCAGACCAAACTGCAAGGAAGGACAGGGGAGGGGGGTGGCGGGATTGGGGAGGGGATGAGAGGATTGGGAAGAGGACGTTGATAGTTTGCAGCAGAGAGGAGTGGGAAGTGGTCCGGCATGGAGCAGGGATAGCCGTCGAAGGAGAGGAGTGAGGGGAAGAGGTGCTTCCCGTCAGCTGCTGTGAGGTTGAGCCCTGGGACTTGGCCAAACTGCACAGAAAGTAAAGGGGATGCGGGGATCGGGAAGGGGATGAGGAATGCTTGCAGCTTGGAGGAGTTGGAAATGATCGGGCATGGAGCAGGAATAGCCGTCGAAGGAGAGGAGAGACGGGAAGAGGTGCTTCCCGTCAGCTGCTGTGAGGTTGAGCCCTGGGAGCAGACCGAACTGAAGAGTGCGAAGAGAGAGAAGGGAGAAAGGAGAGAAGCAAGGGGGAAGGGAGAGAGAGAGAGGAATGTAAGAGGTAATAGAGAGAAGGGAGGGGGCAGTGGTCTGGCATGGTGCAGGGATAGCCGTCGAAGGAGCGGAGTGAGGGGTAGAGGTGCTTTCCATCACCCGCTGTGAGGTTCAGCCTTGGGAGCAGACCGAACTGGCAAGTGGGCAGAGAGGGAAGAGAGTGGGGAAGGCAGGAGAGAGAGGGGTGGGAGGTGATCTGGGAGCCGTCGAAGGAGCGGAGTGAAGGATAGGAGGGACGGGAAGAGGTGCTTTCCGTCCGCTGCTGTGAGGTTGAGACCTGGGAGCAGACCGAACTGCAAGGGGGGGGAGAGGGAAGAGAGCAAGGCGAAGGGAGAGAGGGAGTAAAGTAAGACGGAAGGGGGAGTGGGAGGAGTGTGAAGTGGTCCAGCATGGTCCAGGGGTAGTCATCGCAGGAGAAAAGCGAGGGGAAGAGGTGCGTTCCCCTCGAAAATGCTCTGCACGTTGCCAAAGCTCTTCCCCTTGAGGGGAGACACGTATGCTACAGCCCCCTTTACTGTTCTCTTACAACCCTCCACGCCACCAACCGCCACAGCCCACCTTGAAAACGCTCTGCACGTTGCCGAAGCTCTTTCCTTTGAGGGGAGACGGTGTTCCCTCTAGCCAGCTGTTGCTGCCTGTGAAGCCGTATAGCACGCGGGACGTGGCTGGAAGGGGGGAGGGGGAATGGGGAGGGGCCAAGCAGGGGGAATGGGGGAAGGGGAGATATGTGCCTTGAGGTGAGACGGTGTTCCCTCCAGCCAGCTGTTGCGGCCTGCGAAGCCGTAGAGCATGCGGGAGGTCGCTGGAAGGTGGAGAGACAAAGCAAGGGGGACAGAACAGATGTGTTGTGAGGGGATAAGCCAGCTGTTGCTGCCTGCGAAGCCGTAGAGCATGCGGGAGGTCGCTGGAAGGTGGAGAGACAAAGCAAGGGGGACAGAAAAGATGTGTCGTGAGGGGATAAGCCAGCTGTTGCTGCCTGCGAAGCCGTAGAGCATGCGGGAGGTCGCTGGAAGGTGGAGAGACAAAGCAAGGGGGACAGAAAAGATGTGTCGTGAGGGGATAAGCCAGCTGTTGCTGCCTGCGAAGCCGTAGAGCATGCGGGAGGTCGCTGGAAGGTGGAGAGACAAAGCAAGGGGGACAGAAAAGATGTGTCGTGAGGGGATAAGCCAGCTGTTGCTGCCTGCGAAGCCGTAGAGCATGCGGGAGGTCGCTGGAAGGTGGAGAGACAAAGCAAGGGGGACAGAAAAGATGTGTCGTGAGGGGATAAGCCAGCTGTTGCTGCCTGCGAAGCCGTAGAGCATGCGGGAGGTCGCTGGAAGGTGGAGAGACAAAGCAAGGGGGACAGAAAAGATGTGTCGTGAGGGGATAAGCCAGCTGTTGCTGCCTGCGAAGCCGTAGAGCATGCGGGAGGTCGCTGGAAGGTGGAGAGACAAAGCAAGGGGGACAGAAAAGATGTGTCGTGAGGGGATAAGCCAGCTGTTGCTGCCTGCGAAGCCGTAGAGCATGCGGGAGGTCGCTGGAAGGTGGAGAGACAAAGCAAGGGGGACAGAACAGATGTGTCGTGAGGGGATAAGCCAGCTGTTGCTGCCTGCGAAGCCGTAGAGCATGCGGGAGGTCGCTGGAAGGTGGAGAGACAAAGCAAGGGGGACAGAACAGATGTGTCGTGAGGGGATAAGCCAGCTGTTGCTGCCTGCGAAGCCGTAGAGCATGCGGGAGGTCGCTGGAAGGTGGAGAGACAAAGCAAGGGGGACAGAACAGATGTGTCGTGAGGGGATAAGCCAGCTGTTGCTGCCTGCGAAGCCGTAGAGCATGCGGGAGGTCGCTGGAAGGTGGAGAGACAAAGCAAGGGGGACAGAACAGATGTGTCGTGAGGGGATAAGCCAGCTGTTGCTGCCTGCGAAGCCGTAGAGCATGCGGGAGGTCGCTGGAAGGTGGTGATATGCCATGGTTCCCAAACAGAGGATTTCAAAGAGAGGCATCCAAAAGAGACAGTCTCAAGAAAGGGTCGTACCAGACACGTTGGCATATCCGAACGAGTAGATGGCAGAGGTGTTGGCGATGGAAGGGAGGGTGATGAGCGCTACTCAGGGAGGGTGATATGCCATGGTTCCCAAACAGAGGATTTCAAAGAGAGGCATCCAAAAGAGACAGTCTCAAGAAAGGGTCGTACCAGACACGTTGGCATATCCGAACGAGTAGATGGCAGAGGTGTTGGCGATGGAAGGGAGGGTGATGAGCGCTACTCAGGGAGGGTGATATGCCATGGTTCCCAAACAGAGGATTTCAAAGAGAGGCATCCAAAAGAGACAGTCTCAAGAAAGGGTCGTACCAGACACGTTGGCATATCCGAACGAGTAGATGGCAGAGGTGTTGGCGATGGAAGGGAGGGTGATGAGCGCTACTCAGGGAGGGTGATATGCCATGGTTCCCAAACAGAGGATTTCAAAGAGAGGCATCCAAAAGAGACAGTCTCAAGAAAGGGTCGTACCAGACACGTTGGCATATCCGAACGAGTAGATGGCAGAGGTGTTGGCGATGGAAGGGAGGGTGATGAGCGCTACTCAGGGAGGGTGATATGCCATGGTTCCCAAACAGAGGATTTCAAAGAGAGGCATCCAAAAGAGACAGTCTCAAGAAAGGGTCGTACCAGACACGTTGGCATATCCGAACGAGTAGATGGCAGAGGTGTTGGCGATGGAAGGGAGGGTGATGAGCGCTACTCAGGGAGGGTGATATGCCATGGTTCCCAAACAGAGGATTTCAAAGAGAGGCATCCAAAAGAGACAGTCTCAAGAAAGGGTCGTACCAGACACGTTGGCATATCCGAACGAGTAGATGGCAGAGGTGTTGGCGATGGAAGGGAGGGTGATGAGCGCTACTCAGGGAGGGTGATATGCCATGGTTCCCAAACAGAGGATTTCAAAGAGAGGCATCCAAAAGAGACAGTCTCAAGAAAGGGTCGTACCAGACACGTTGGCATATCCGAACGAGTAGATGGCAGAGGTGTTGGCGATGGAAGGGAGGGTGATGAGCGCTACTCAGGGAGGGTGATATGCCATGGTTCCCAAACAGAGGATTTCAAAGAGAGGCATCCAAAAGAGACAGTCTCAAGAAAGGGTCGTACCAGACACGTTGGCATATCCGAACGAGTAGATGGCAGAGGTGTTGGCGATGGAAGGGAGGGTGATGAGCGCTACTCAGGGAGGGTGATATGCCATGGTTCCCAAACAGAGGATTTCAAAGAGAGGCATCCAAAAGAGACAGTCTCAAGAAAGGGTCGTACCAGACACGTTGGCATATCCGAACGAGTAGATGGCAGAGGTGTTGGCGATGGAAGGGAGGGTGATGAGCGCTACTCAGGGAGGGTGATATGCCATGGTTCCCAAACAGAGGATTTCAAAGAGAGGCATCCAAAAGAGACAGTCTCAAGAAAGGGTCGTACCAGACACGTTGGCATATCCGAACGAGTAGATGGCAGAGGTGTTGGCGATGGAAGGGAGGGTGATGAGCGCTACTCAGGGAGGGTGATATGCCATGGTTCCCAAACAGAGGATTTCAAAGAGAGGCATCCAAAAGAGACAGTCTCAAGAAAGGGTCGTACCAGACACGTTGGCATATCCGAACGAGTAGATGGCAGAGGTGTTGGCGATGGAAGGGAGGGTGATGAGCGCTACTCAGGGAGGGTGATATGCCATGGTTCCCAAACAGAGGATTTCAAAGAGAGGCATCCAAAAGAGACAGTCTCAAGAAAGGGTCGTACCAGACACGTTGGCATATCCGAACGAGTAGATGGCAGAGGTGTTGGCGATGGAAGGGAGGGTGATGAGCGCTACTCAGGGAGGGTGATATGCCATGGTTCCCAAACAGAGGATTTCAAAGAGAGGCATCCAAAAGAGACAGTCTCAAGAAAGGGTCGTACCAGACACGTTGGCATATCCGAACGAGTAGATGGCAGAGGTGTTGGCGATGGAAGGGAGGGTGATGAGCGCTACTCAGGGAGGGTGATATGCCATGGTTCCCAAACAGAGGATTTCAAAGAGAGGCATCCAAAAGAGACAGTCTCAAGAAAGGGTCGTACCAGACACGTTGGCATATCCGAACGAGTAGATGGCAGAGGTGTTGGCGATGGAAGGGAGGGTGATGAGCGCTACTCAGGGAGGGTGATATGCCATGGTTCCCAAACAGAGGATTTCAAAGAGAGGCATCCAAAAGAGACAGTCTCAAGAAAGGGTCGTACCAGACACGTTGGCATATCCGAACGAGTAGATGGCAGAGGTGTTGGCGATGGAAGGGAGGGTGATGAGCGCTACTCAGGGAGGGTGATATGCCATGGTTCCCAAACAGAGGATTTCAAAGAGAGGCATCCAAAAGAGACAGTCTCAAGAAAGGGTCGTACCAGACACGTTGGCATATCCGAACGAGTAGATGGCAGAGGTGTTGGCGATGGAAGGGAGGGTGATGAGCGCTACTCAGGGAGGGTGATATGCCATGGTTCCCAAACAGAGGATTTCAAAGAGAGGCATCCAAAAGAGACAGTCTCAAGAAAGGGTCGTACCAGACACGTTGGCATATCCGAACGAGTAGATGGCAGAGGTGTTGGCGATGGAAGGGAGGGTGATGAGCGCTACTCAGGGAGGGTGATATGCCATGGTTCCCAAACAGAGGATTTCAAAGAGAGGCATCCAAAAGAGACAGTCTCAAGAAAGGGTCGTACCAGACACGTTGGCATATCCGAACGAGTAGATGGCAGAGGTGTTGGCGATGGAAGGGAGGGTGATGAGCGCTACTCAGGGAGGGTGATATGCCATGGTTCCCAAACAGAGGATTTCAAAGAGAGGCATCCAAAAGAGACAGTCTCAAGAAAGGGTCGTACCAGACACGTTGGCATATCCGAACGAGTAGATGGCAGAGGTGTTGGCGATGGAAGGGAGGGTGATGAGCGCTACTCAGGGAGGGTGATATGCCATGGTTCCCAAACAGAGGATTTCAAAGAGAGGCATCCAAAAGAGACAGTCTCAAGAAAGGGTCGTACCAGACACGTTGGCATATCCGAACGAGTAGATGGCAGAGGTGTTGGCGATGGAAGGGAGGGTGATGAGCGCTACTCAGGGAGGGTGATATGCCATGGTTCCCAAACAGAGGATTTCAAAGAGAGGCATCCAAAAGAGACAGTCTCAAGAAAGGGTCGTACCAGACACGTTGGCATATCCGAACGAGTAGATGGCAGAGGTGTTGGCGATGGAAGGGAGGGTGATGAGCGCTACTCAGGGAGGGTGATATGCCATGGTTCCCAAACAGAGGATTTCAAAGAGAGGCATCCAAAAGAGACAGTCTCAAGAAAGGGTCGTACCAGACACGTTGGCATATCCGAACGAGTAGATGGCAGAGGTGTTGGCGATGGAAGGGAGGGTGATGAGCGCTACTCAGGGAGGGTGATATGCCATGGTTCCCAAACAGAGGATTTCAAAGAGAGGCATCCAAAAGAGACAGTCTCAAGAAAGGGTCGTACCAGACACGTTGGCATATCCGAACGAGTAGATGGCAGAGGTGTTGGCGATGGAAGGGAGGGTGATGAGCGCTACTCAGGGAGGGTGATATGCCATGGTTCCCAAACAGAGGATTTCAAAGAGAGGCATCCAAAAGAGACAGTCTCAAGAAAGGGTCGTACCAGACACGTTGGCATATCCGAACGAGTAGATGGCAGAGGTGTTGGCGATGGAAGGGAGGGTGATGAGCGCTACTCAGGGAGGGTGATATGCCATGGTTCCCAAACAGAGGATTTCAAAGAGAGGCATCCAAAAGAGACAGTCTCAAGAAAGGGTCGTACCAGACACGTTGGCATATCCGAACGAGTAGATGGCAGAGGTGTTGGCGATGGAAGGGAGGGTGATGAGCGCTACTCAGGGAGGGTGATATGCCATGGTTCCCAAACAGAGGATTTCAAAGAGAGGCATCCAAAAGAGACAGTCTCAAGAAAGGGTCGTACCAGACACGTTGGCATATCCGAACGAGTAGATGGCAGAGGTGTTGGCGATGGAAGGGAGGGTGATGAGAGCAACCCAGTCAGACACGCTGTTGTTGCCCCGGTTGATGATGCTCAGCTGATAATAAGGGTGGTGTGGGATGGGGTGTGGGAGAGATGAAATGTGTGCGGTGCGATGGAAGGGAGCGTGATGAGAGCAACCCAGTCAGACACGCTGTTGTTGCCCCGGTTGATGATGCTCAGCTGATGACACGGGGTGGTGTGGGGTGGGATGGGGTGGGGAGGGGTGGTGGGAAAGCAGGGAAACATTGGTGGTGCAGTGGATGTGGGATGACTGCTACCCAGTCAGAGACGCTGTTGTTGCCCAGGTTGATGATGCTCAGCTGATGACAGGGGTGGTGTGGGGTGGGGTGGGGAGGTGGTGGGGGAAGCAGGTGGACACTTGTGTGGGGAGAGGTGGAGTGTAAGGAGCGCTACCCAGTCAGACACGCTGCTGTTGCTGTGGTTGACGATTCTCAGCTGAAGAAAGGGTGGTGTACGGGAGACAGGTTGTGTGGAGGAGATAGGTGGTGGGGGAAAGAGGGGGACATTTGGGTGGGGAGAGGTGAAGCATGATGAGCGCAACCCAGTGAGAGGCACTGCTGTTGCCACGGTTGATGACGCTCAGCTGATGACAGGGGTGGTGTGGGGGGAGATATAGGTGGTGGGAGGGCGTTTGGGTGGAGAGAGGTGGAGCGACTTTTGAGACGTCTCAAAAGTGTGGTGGGCGATGGGTGGTGGGGAAAAGAGGAGGAGATTTGGGTGGAGAGAGGTGGAGTGTGATGAGTGCAATCCAGCCAGCGGAAGCATCAAGTGACTTTTGAGTCGACTCAAAAGCGATGACGTGCCAGTGGACGCATGCATATAAAACGATGGAGCAAACAGGAGAAGTGATCCCACCCTGGCAAAAAACCTGTCTTTATACACGGCTATCACATGCCAGTGCACGCAGGGATGCATAATGGAGAAAACAGGACGGGAGTGGTGATCCTGCCTTGGCAACAAATCCATCTTTGTATACAGCCATGACATGCCAGTGGAGGTGCAGGTGAAGCGTGTGTGTGCATGCTATGCTCTTCAATCGTGTGTGAGTACGCGCCATTGCCATTCAACCCACCTTGGCAACAAATCCGTCTTCATACACGGCCATCACATGCCAGTGCAGGTGGATCGGGCAGCTGTCGCGGCACCGGGCAGAAATAAAATCCCGGTCGTCGCCGTACCAGCTGGGAAGCTTCTTGGAAGGGACCACATCGCCCCTTCCACCAATGGTATCAAAGATTGTATCTGAATTGCATCAAGAGAGGGGAGAAACAAAGGGAGAACAAGGGAAGGAGGAGAGGGTAGGATTGGTGGGGAAAGGAAGGGCGGATGGAGGAGAGAAATTAGGAAACGAGAGGAACAGGAAGAAACGCTGGAACAAGAACTCAGAAGGAAAGAGAGAAAAGAAGAAGAAATTAGGAAAGGAAGGGCGGATGGAGGAGAGAAATTAGGAAACGAGAGGAACAGGAAGAAACGCTGGAACAAGAACTCAGAAGGAAAGAGAGAAAAGAAGAAGAAGAAAAAAAGAACTGGGCTCAAGACGCACCATGAGCAGCACACATGGGCCAATCACGGAGCCCCACGTGGGGATAGCTGCTGCTGTTACCCGCCGTCCCATTTTCAGCAGCAGATGGAGCACTGAGGAGGAGACTTGAAAGCGAAGGAGGGGAGAAGGGAGAGGTGGGGGATACTGCGGACAGGGAAGCAGCAGAGGCAGAAGAGGAGGAAGAGGAGGAAGAAGAGGAGGAAGAGGAGGAAGACGAAGAAACAGCCTCCCCTGGGCAACCACAGGCGCAGCTTTTACAGGGAGACACATGGAACTGGCCACTGCCGCTGCCCGTGCTGCTGCTGCGCCCAAAGATGCTTCCCCACGCGCCCTGGGGGGAGCCGGTGGTGTTGAAAGCGGCTGAGAAGGAGACACAGCAGGCGGGGCGAGGAGGGGGGAAGGAGGGGTCGCGATAGCAGGCGTAGCGCCACGTGGCGACTGCTGATAGGTTGCGCGAGGGGTTCACCTGATGAAAGTGCGGGGAGGGAGAAGGGGAAGATGGGGGGTGGGGGGAGATGGGGGGTAAAAGAGAGACACATAGAACTGGCCACTGCCACTGCCGACGCTGCTGCTGCCGGTGCCGCTGCCGATGCTGCTGCTGCCGCTGCCACTGCCGGTGCTGCTGCTGCGGCCAAAGATGCTCCACCAGGCGCCCTGAGGGGAGCCAGTGGTGTTGAAGGCAGCTGAGAAAGAGACGCAGCAGACGGGGCGAGGAGGCGGGAAGGAGGGGTCGCGGTAGCAGGCGTAGCGCCACGTGGCGACTGCTGATAGGTTGCGAGTGGGGTTGACCTGATGGGGGTTGGGGGGGGGTGTGAGAGAGGGGGTGTGGCGGGGGAAGCGAGGAGCGAGTGGGTTTGGAGACGGTAGAGTAAGATACAATAGCTACAACTCCACAGCCCTATCTTCTGCTTCTTCTTTACCCAGACAAATTGCCTCAAGAATGCGTCACTGGGAACGGCGGCAACTTGTTTTCGAGGTGCCTAACTGATTGACTCACGGGGAACTGGGTGGGGTCGATGCGAACACCAGCAGAGCAGACTATCCCGGGGAGGCCGAGGGAGAGGTTGCGCGGCTGGGCAATGGATGGGATGGCACTGACATAAGTGTCTGCTAGATTTGAGGCGACACCTAGTGCCTAGTAAATTGACTCACGGGGAACTGGGTGGGGTCGATGCGCACAGCAGCAGAGCAGACTATTCCTGGGAGGCCGAGAGAGAGGTTGTGAGGCGGGGAGATAATGGGGATGGCGTTGACATATAGACACCTGTCGTCTGCTAGATTCGAGGTGAAAAGGGTGCCTACTAGATTGACTTACCGGGAAGTGGGTGGGGTCGATACGAACACCAGCGGAACAGACTATTCCCGGGAGGCCGAGGGAGAGGTTGCAAGGCGGAGCGATGAGGGGGATTGGCCTTGACTTGGCACGTGAAGCCTAGCAGCCTAGCAGACTTGTACCACCTCATCTGATCCTGTTCCGAAGCCTAGGAAAAGAGGGTGCCTAACCAGCTGACTCACTGGAAACTGGGCGGGGTCGATGGGGATGGCAGCGGAGCAAACTATCCTAGGGAGGCCGAGGGAGAGGTTGCACGGTGGGGCGATGGTGGGGATGGCATCGAACTGGCGCGTGATACCTCATCGATGGTGAGGTTCCCTTTAGTGCGTTTTTAACAGTTTGACTCACCGGGAACTGTGATGGGTCGATGCGAACACCAGCGGAGCACACTATTCCTGGAAGGCCGAGGGAGAGGTTGCGCGGTGGGGCGATGGAGGGGATGGCCTTGAACTGGCGCGTGCGGCCTATGCGGAGGCGGAACTGAGCGAGAGAGGTGTTGCCCTGATGGGGTGAGAAGGAGGGGTTGCGTGTAAGAGGAGGGATCAATGGCATGGACTGTGGGTTGCAATGCAGACAGACTCTAGGGGTGGGGGCTGGTGGGGATGGCCTTGAACTGGCTCGTGCGACCGGTGCGCAGGTGGAACTCAGCGAGAGAGGCAAAACCCTGATGGGGAGAGAAAGATAAAAGGGAAAGGTTGGCGTGAATTGATGATGAGGAGGCGGAACTGAGCCAGAGAAGTGTTCCCTTATGAAACGGGTCCCCCCCACTCTCACTGCCAAATGCCCTAACACACAGGACAGGGAGAAAGCCCAACCAACTAGAGCGAGAGTTCTTTTGAGGCACCTCAGGAGTGCTCACTCACTCACTCACCTGGTACTGAGCGAGAGCACCTGTTTCTCGTTCGTAGGGAAACGAACGCAGCCCATTAGACCCATTCTTGCAGCACAACAGGCGCGCTCCCAAAGAGGCCCCCAGGTCCCGCCCACTCTCACTGTCATGCGCCCCTCCCGGTAGATCCACAAAGGTGGGTGCAGGAGTGTGTATGAGAGTGAAAGCCCGCTTATGCTGCTCACCTGATACTGTGCGAGAGCAGGGTCGCCATAGGGGAACGAGCACAGCCCGATGGAGCCGTTCTTGCAGCAGGACAGGCGCAGTCCCAGGGTAGCCCCCAGGTCCCGCCCACTCTCACTGTCATGCGCCCCCCCTGGTAAATCCACAAAGACGGGCCAAGGCGAGCAGGAGTGGGCGGGCACAAGGCAGGGTGCAAGAACCCAGTAGCTCTCACCTGATACTGCGCTAGAGCAGGGTCGCCATAGGGAAACGAGCGCAGTCCAATGGAGCCGTTCTTGCAGCAGGAGAGGCGCACGCCGAGAGAGGCACCCAGGTCCCGCCCACTCTCACTGTCATGCGCCCCTCCCGGCAGATCCACAAAGGTGGGTCGGGGCGAGCACGAGTGGGCGGTGGCGATGGCTGCTCCGTAGACAGCTGAGGAGGCGGACTGCTGCTGGCAGTTGCCCTGCTGTGTCGCCTGTGCTCCGGATGCTTCCCACACAATCTGAGTGAAAGAGAGGGGAAGACAGGACAGGAGCACGAGTGGGCAGTGGCGATGGCTGCCCTGTAGACGGCAGAGGAGGCGGATTGCTGCTGGCAGTCGTCTTGCTGTGTCGCCTGTGTGCCCCATATGCTTCCCACACGATCTGAGGGGGGAGAGGAATTTGTGTGTGGCTGGGACAGCGGGAAGCCTGGTTGGGAATGGGAGAAAGGGAAGCGGGGTGGGCAGGAGGAGCACGCGTGGGCACTGGTGATCGCTGTACTGCGGGCCGTAAAACCTACACCCTCTAAACCTGAAACCCCTCTCACACCTCGTTCTGAGTCCACCGCCAGCTGAGCACACAGGGGCCGTTACTCTTGAGAATTCTCAAAAGCGACTCAAAAGCTTTTGAAAATTCTAAAAAAATCTCAAAAGTGCCTTGGGGACCCAGTGCGCCGGTCGAGCTGCAAGTTTCTCCAAGGGGGGAAAACCCCAACTTGACCAAACCAACCACCCCCCTCACGAAACCCTAACCCCTGCTACAACCTAAACCCCCTCACCTCATTTTGCGTCCAGCTGAGCAACCAGGGGTCATTCTTAGGGGGCCCAACACGACTGCCATGTCAGCCTGCAAGTTGTCCGGAGGCTATACATCTATCCCACCCCACCTTAAATCCTACACCCTTTACCCCGATCCGTCTTACACTCGCTCCTCACCTCATTTTGAGTCCACCGCCAGCTGAGCGCCTACGGGTCGTTCTTCGGGGGCTCAACGCGCCTGTCAGGCTGCAGGTTGCTCTTTAGGACCGCACATTATACCACATCACCTTAAACCTTCACCCTGAACCCTGATCAGTTTGATTTGAACCCTACACCCTCCTCACCTCATTCTGTGTCCATCGCCAGCTGAGCGCCCAGGGCTCGTTCCTTGGGGGCCCAACGCGCCTGTCAGGCTGCAAGTTGCTCTTGGAGGCCAAATCCCACCTTGACAAAACCTTAACCCTGTCTCATCCTAGCCCCTCCTCACCTCGTTCTGCGTCCACCGCCAGCTGAGCGCCCTTGGCTCTTTCCTCGGTGGCCCAACGCGCATGTCAGCCTGCAGGTTGCTGATGGTGACGAGCATCTGATGGGCTCTCAGCCTGCAACTATACCCCACCTTAAACCCTAAAACTTCGTCAGCTTGAACCCTGGATCCCCTTTTCGTACCTCGTTCTGTGTCCATCGCCAACTGAGTGCCCAGGGGTCGTTCCTTGGGGGTCCAACGCGCCTGTCGGGTTGCAGGTTGCTGATCGTGACGAGCATCTGATGGTCCAGATCGCTCGCTGCTGTCACGTCGATCTGGACCGTTAAAGCGGGGGTGATTGGGGGGAGGCGGGGAGGGGGGCGAGGAGGAGGAGGAGGCGGGTAGGGGGTTTCCCTGCAGCAGACCTGGGGGAGGGAGCGGAGATATAGAAACGGGAAACGGGGGGTAAAATAAAGGGGAAGTCTTGAGACGTCGCAAAACTCCACTTTCTACATGTGGAAGTCCCGGTAGTAACTTGATAGCAAGAAAGAGAAAGAGAGATGGCATTGGAAGTGGGAGGTGGAGGCAAGTCGGGATTGTACTCGAGGAATGAAAGCGTATTTAGTCGAAGAATGAAAAGGCAAGCGGGAGTTTCAGATAGTCGGAGAATGAAGCAAGGTGAGCAACACAACGCTTGCAACATTCATATGTACACAGACTGAATGGGACAAACAGGAAAGCATTGTGCATGTAAGCTCACCTGAATCCTACGGCTCTTGCAAGCTCACCTGAATCCGGTTGGGAGATGGGAATTGAGGGCGGTTGGATGCACAGTTGAAGCCTGCAGAGGAAGAAGGCAGGGAGGGGAGGGGAGATGGGGAGACGGAGAGGGAGGTAGAAACGACTGGGAGTTTCGGGTAGGGAAGTAGAATGGTGAAGGGGAAGGGGATACACAGTGGAAACTTGCAGCAGACGAGAGGAGAGACAAGTGGGTGACACGGCAGATTAGTATCAATCATCCAGGTAAACTATGGTCCACACAAAAGGTGAAGTACATGTTCAGTTGACCCTGTAAGACCTGGTTCTCCAGCCCCACGCACGCGCCCAGTATAGTGAGGTAGATTTTCTAGTGGATCAAGGAATAGCCACACGCACGCACCTGGAGTGGTGAGGCAGAGCGTGCGCGGGAGCGCCTTGTTTGCAGTGGCCGCCCCAAACTCCACACTGAAAGCCTAGCTATCTAGTCCGACTGACCTGGTATAGTGAGCTTTGCCCCATGCAGCAGGTGTAGTGAGGTAAAGGGGTTGAACGGTATTGAGACGGTACCTGGAGTGGTGAGGTAGAGCGTGCGCGGGAGCGCCTTGTTTGCAGTGGCCGCCCCAAACTCCGTGCCAAACACCTCAGCGAACACCACATACTGCTCAAGTGACTTCTGATTCTGACTTCTGAGTCAACTCAAAAGGGGAAGCGAGGTTGGTTTGCCACACGCACCTGGTGTGGTGAGATACAACGTGCGAGGGAGGGCCTTGTTTGCAGTGGCCGCCCCAAACTCCGTGCCAAACACCTCCGCGAACACCACATACTGCTCAAGTGACTTTTGAGTCGACTCTAAAGGGAAAGCGAGGTTCGCACCTGGTGTGGTGAGGTAGAGCGTGCGAGGCAGCGCCTTGTTTGCAGTGGCCGCCCCAAACTCCGTGCCAAACACCTCCGCAAACACCACATACTGCTGAACGTCGCCGCCCGCGTGGATCGCCGTGATGAGGCGGTCGCTCTGGTCGTCAATGCTGGAAAAGAGCAGCGCGGAACCTGTGGTGGGGTTGGATTGGAAGGGAAAAAATGAAAGGTAGTAGAGTGTGAGTGCCTCTGATGATCAGTATCACGTGCAGTGATGAGGCGGTCGCTCTGGTCGTCAATGCTGGAAAAGAGGAGAGCGGAACCTGTTGGAGGGGTGGCAAAGGGATAGGGGAGGTAGTGTGAGCGCCTCCGGTGGCCTGTATCACATGCAGTGATGAGGCGGTCGCTCCGATCGTCAATGCTGGAGAAGAGCAGAGCAGAGCCTGCAGGGGAGAGTGGCAGGGGGGGGAAGGTGGGGTAAGGAGTGGTGAGTTGGCGGAGGCAATTGAGGAAAACAGAGGCTCGTATTTTGAACACTCCTGACCACCTCATTGCCACGTGGGCAATTCAAACTCCAAACTCATTCTGGCTGCAAGGACGCCTGATCAAAGAATGAGTTTGATCAAAGCCTTGGTCGTTATCTCACAAGGGTACGACGTCTCAAACTCCACTTGTGTGTTTTCTCCGCAGAGTAATGAGCTCGTCATGAGCTGGCATGAGCTGGCATGAGCTGGCGTGAGCTCGCCGTGAGCTCGTCCAAACACACGTTGGCTGGCAGCTTAACCCAGCATGAGCAATCAAGTACGGCGCGAAGCAGAAGTAGTGTATTTACCGTCAAACCTCACCTGGATGAGACATCTCACCTGGATGAGACACCTCACCAGGGTACGGCAGTTCGTATTCCACTTGAGCGCAGCAGAGTGATGAGCTCGTTGCGTCAAACCACACGTTGACTGGCAGCGCACCCCAGAATGGGCAATAAGCAGGGTGCAGAACAGAGCAAGTGTGTTTGTTATCAAATCTCATTCAAGTAAGACACCTCACCAGGGTATGGCAGTTCGTATTCCACTTGAGCGTTGCCCAGCAGAGTGATGAGCTCGTTGCGAGTGAACTCCACCCTCACCTCCCACCCCACTAAGTCCCTGTGGTGTCAAGTTTCGAGTAGTAGAGGGGTGGCACAGGGACGAGTGAGAGCGTAAGGAAGGGAAGAGGTAGGAAGGATAAGACTCAACGGGATGACCTCGTTGCAAGTGAACTCCACCCTCACCTCCCACCCCACTAAGTCCCTGTGGTGCAAAGGTTCAAAAGGGTTGAGCGAGTTTGAGAGGGTTGGGGAAGCACAGGGACGCAAGGGGAACAGTGGAGTGATGAGCTCATTGCGAGTGAACTCCACCCTCACCTCCCACCCCACTAAGTCCCTGCAGCGCCATATATTCAGAGGGGTTGAGTGAGATTAAGAGGGTTTGGGGAACACATAAAGGTAACGGGGAACGGTTGTGTGATGAGCTCATTGCGAGGGAACTCCACCCTCACCTCCCACCCAACCAGGTCCCTGCGGTGTCAAGAGACAGTGTGGGGCAAAGGTTGGGCGGTAGGAAGATTCAGCACAGCAGGGACGAAGAGGAGAGACTGACCTCTTGCCAGAGTTAAAGAGAGAGAAGGAACAAGTTAGAGAAGAGGAAGAAGAAGAGGGAGAGGAGGAAGAGGGTCTGACCTCTTGCCAGTGTTGAGTAGCTCGATCTTGGATTTGAACCCATACGGCTTCACACTTCCGTTCCACACGGACGGAATGGTGATTATGCTCTCCATCTCATAGGCCACCGTGACCCCGAAGGAGAGAAGGATGAAGAAGGTTGGAAAAGGAAGGGTGGGGAAAGAGGACAACACGAAGAGGAAGGGGAGGAGAAAGAGGAGGAAATGCTGACCTCTTTCCAGTGTTGAGGAGCTCGATCTTAGACTTGAACCCATATGGCTTCACACTCCCATTCCACACAGACGGCATGTTGATGATGCTCTCTATCACATAGGCCACCATGACCCCCAAGGAAGAGAAGAACAGACCTCTTGCCGGTGTTGAGAAGCTCGATCTTGGATTTGAAGCCATACGGCTTGACACTCCCATTCCACACAGACGGAATGTTGATGATGCTCTCTATCACATACGCCACCGTTACGCCGAAGCACGGAGCGGGGGGAGCGGGGACGATGGGTCCGCGAATGGGAGGCGGTAAGGGGGAGGAGAGCGAGAAGGGGCCGGTTGGAGGTGGGCGGATTATCGGGTCTGGGATGGTGTCTGACTGGTTTGCTGTGAGGAGGGAGGAGGGTGGAAAGGGGAGCAAGCAAGTACAATAAAGGGAGGTGAATTGGAGGTGGGCGGATTATCGGGTCTGGGATGGCGTCTGACTGGTTGGCTGTGGGAGGATGGAGAAGGGTGGAGAGGGGTGGAGAGGGGTGGAGAGGGGTGGAAGGTGGAGAGGGATGGAGGGTAAAGAATTGGCGGTGGGCAGTTAACGTGTTGGGGATGGCGTTTAATTAGTTAGCTGTGGGAAGAGAAAATGGGTGGAAAGGAAGGAAGAGGGGGGAAGCATGGGAAGGGAATGTCCTGAGTAGAGAAGCTTGCTTCTGAGATGTGGGAGAGGGGAGGCGAGGTGGGGACGACGGTGTCGCGTATGGGAAGCGGCAGGGGGGAGGGTGAGAAGGGGCCAGTTGGGGGCGGGCGGAACATCGGGCCTGGGATGGCGTCTGGCTGGTTGGCGGTGGGAAGGTAGGGAGAACGAAGCAGCATTTCCCTTCCCTCCAACACCGTCAAGGGTTTTTCCCCTCTCCTTTCATTTCCCACATCAACCTAAAGTGCTTCCATCCCTTCCCTTCCCCGTATCACCCTCAGTGCTTCATTCTCGCTCCTTCCGCCCATAAGTGTTTCTCTCCAAGTTCTTCTTTCTCTCGCCTTCCCCCATTTTCCCCAGAACTTACCAGCAGGAAGGATGACATCACTTGCCATGACATTGCTTATCACGGCACGACTAGCGTCAGCGTCAGCAGAACCACTGCCCGCACCAATGGGGGCTGACGAGGGAATGTGAGCCGCAGAGAAAGAGTCTGCTATCGCTTCTACTTCTGCTGCCGCTTCTGCTGCTGCTGTTGTTGAAGATGCAGGGGTGGGTGGTGCTGGTGCTTGTGATGATACAGGGAAGGGGGGTGCTGGTGCAGATGATAAAGGTGGTGCTGGTGCAGGTGATGCCTGTGCAAATGTTGACGTTGCTGACATCAGCAGCAGGGTGACAAAGGCGAGGGTTCCTCCCGTTATAGCGCCACGCTTGACGTCACTGCTGTTCGTTTTCCTCCGTTTCTTCTCGTTTCTCACGCGTCTCAGCCCCATCTGCTCCTCATCCCTCTTAACAGCACCTCCATAAAATAAACTCAACTCAACGTCCTGACTTCTCTTCACAACACCACCCACTTTCATCTCAGTATCAGTCGCTGTAGCATCCATGCAGAGTGTACCAATCATCTCGTCTTCGCTCCTTCCAGAAATTTCATCGTTTTCCTTATAATTCAGACCAGACATTTTTTGGTATTCCCATCCGCCAAAATCGGCCAATTGAGAGTGGAACTCGTCTGGTCGAGTAAAGCCGCATGGAGAGGATGGTGATGATGCAATCGACGGTGACGATTGAAGCGGCACCATTCGTGGCATCCTAACCGTTGATCGTGCCCTCGTCGACGGCCGTATCCCTTTCAAAATTCCTAATCTCATTTTCGATTGCTCCCTCTGCCTTGCGAATTGAATGCAGCTAGTCGGTTCGTTTTGTTCTCCTGATGCCGGTAGCAGTGGCAGTGGCGCTGGCAGTGGCAACGCGGCCTAGGGAGGCCAAAAAACACTTAATAACGCGAGTGTTCAGCGTTCACGCTAAGTTCTTTCTGCACCCAACGCAATAAGTCTTGGGACTGACGAGAACACCGAAAACTCTTGAAACTCGGTGGCGGTGGCGGTGGCCCTGCAGCTAAAACAAGGCCGTTCAAGGCGCGGTGGCCGATGATCAAGGTTTCAGCTGAGTCGAACTGCACAACGACCTATGCGATGTTCCTGTGCGACGACCTATGCGACGACATGTGCGACCAGCTACACGACGGCACTGTCGCCTTCGCAGCTTCTGATACGGAAGAGCTGGCGATTATTGAGCAAGTACTAAGAACCAGGTGGAGCCTTTGCTGGCGTCGTTCGAAATTGAAGGCATTCGCACTCTTTGCCGCGCGCGCGGCGTTGTCCTTAATTCACGGCGTGGAACGTGGGGACGACCTGCCATCTGCCGTCTGTCGCATTGCGTACTGCTAGGAGGCAGGCTCGAACGACTAACCGCGCTTCGACTGCGCGGAAGCGTCGCGCGAGGCAGTGACCGCGCTCTTACGCATTCAAACAGCGCCATAATAACGCTGGGACTCGAACCTGTCGGGGCCCTTAGTAAGGAGAAAGCGAGAATGAAGCTGAGTAGGAGACAAAGGTGAGAAGCTACGATGAGACGACTTCGATGGTTGATTGAATATGGCGGTTGGTGGGAGGGAGCGGCGACGCTGTGAATCGAAAAGGTGGTGCGGTGCGGCGGTAATCTCCAGGGCGGAGCGGACTTTCTTTTTTGGCGGGAACTATGTCTGGGGAATGAATTAGCGGCAATAAAAGCTGTTTCATTACAGAAATCGGTGAGTTATATGATGATATGAGTGAATTGTTACCACAAATGGTACTATTTATTTGGTATTACTAGATCACACGCTGCTAGTCATTTTTTCTAAATAAATTTCCAAGGGTAACATAATCTAAACCCTGAATAAAATTCTTTAATAAATATTAGAGTCATTTTCTCAGCTAGAAACACGTAGTCGTGTAAGCATCACCGAAAGGTTGCTTTTAGCGAAACGCAACAGGCCTCCTGTCTTGGGAGTTGCCGCTCCCAACTGCCATGCTCGGACTGCTGTGCATGGTCGAGCCCATGGCTGTTCATAAACTTTTAGGAGCTTAGGGCGCGTGTCTTTTGGTTTTTACATGCAAATCTCGAATTTTTTGTTGAACTGTAGTCATATGAACCTAGCTCGAGCTAGGCTCGAGTTTTCACCAACTGCAAACCGAGCCGCGGTTCCACCCCTCCCGAAAATCACGCGACAAACAAAAGTTCAACTATCGAAGTTGAACTTTTGCAGCCCAGCCGAGCCGCGACCTACGCTTGTAGGTTACCCGGTTTGGGCTCTTGACATCGCGCCACCGGGACTCGCGCTGACGAGCACCCTCGTGCGCACGATGCTAGCTGCGAGCGTCGCAGACTTCGCATCGTCGCTGTCAGTGATGAGGTGGACACACGCTCGCACATTCGTGCCAACCTGTTTGTTGATGAGGGTTCAACTTGGGGGCTCAACATTTTCCGATGCCGGAAGTGTACGTGGACACACGACGTCCTGGCGAATGTTTTGGCGGAATTAACGAATAGGGTAACCAGCAAAAGTTCAACCAAAAATCCGAACGTCTACACCAAAAGACACGCGCCCTCAGCACAATAGTTTGTAGGTCAAATTATCGGAAAGTGCTTCGGCGAATTTGCGCGATGATCTACCAGTTTAAGCTAGTTCTGCGGGACTAACTTCACACCTTGGCGTAAATAGGATTCGGATAAGCCATTCTTTCCACGTTTACCGCCTAATTCCAGCCGTCTGAAGGCCAACCTTTTCTTAGCTTCTCTTTTTGCAAAGTAAGCGGTTGTTTTCCTAGATTCCGTTTTTTCACCCGCCAATCTTCATTACCAGGAACGCCCGTTATTGCTTCTCCATCCCTTCCTAGAGCCTTCACCAGTGACTCTATGAGTCCCCTGTTGCCTTCCCCTCCTCGGCCACCTCTATTGAGGCGACTCAGGGTGCAGCCTCTCCCCCACAATTACCATGCTTTCGTTGTGCGCTTCTCTCGTTTCACTCTGTCACGAGTCCCCTCCCCGTCATTGTTGAACCTCTTGAATTCCCCTCCGTCGGTCCCTCAGCAGCCTGATGAGGCGATTCCAGTTCCTTCACGATCACGCGCGAATCTAAACTGGCATCAGCGTGTAAAACTAACTTACATTCCAGTCCGACTCACCTCGCATTGGGATCTCCGCATTGCTAATCTAACTGATCGCGGTTCCGTTTATCTTGCCTTTTGCTATTTTCCTCTACCTCTTTTCTGTGCCAAACTTCATATGGGCCCCGCAGCAGCAAATAGGGTTTCCTGACAGTGTTACGGTGTTACCAATCCGCTCGCATCTGTGGCTCGCTGATGCCTCGCGCTGCTGATCGCAAGCTCGCCAACCTCGCAGTCAAGCGGCTGGTGTCCGACTTCCTCGACGCGCCCTGCTGCGACACGGATGACTACGTCTCGTACCTCGGCCAGTGAGCAATGCCATACGATGCCATGCCGTGCCATGCCATGCGGGCCATGCATGTATCATGACCCAGTGAGACACGGATGAGCAGTGTACCATGCCACGTCATGTGTCTCGTACCTCAGCAGTGAGCAATGCATGCCATGTCATGCGTTATGTGCCATGAGACATGCATAACTAGCCGTGAGACATGTCAATATCTACTTGCACTGCGTAACCATGTCTTTCTTCTGCCCATCTGCTATGTCTCCTTCGAAATCTCCCCGTGCCACAGCCTCTCCACCAGCCAGTCAGCGCCTCCTGCCAGCAGTCGAAAGCGCAAGACAACTCTAGACTCCCACGGACTCTCCCCCGCTGTCAGTAATCCCTCTCCCCATCCTCCCCCTTCCTTCTCTCCTCCATCCCCAACCCCCTCCACCCATCCTTTCCCCCTCTTCCTGCTATTAGGACCCGTGCTGCGCACGGCCTGTTTGCTGCACAACGTGGTTTGCTTTCTTCGCTGGTGGTTTCCTTCCCTTTGCAAACATAAGTTTTGCTGCCTCGTCCACATGGTGTTTCGTTTTAACACTGTTTCATTTATTGATCGCATTCTTGCCTTGCTGTGGAGCATTTCTGTCTGTCCTTTTCATCCTGTCATTATGTGTGCAACGTGGTCCTTCTAAGGCGTGCGTTCATGTTGTACGTGGTGAAGTAGACGTGCGTTTGCCTGCTGCTGTTTGATTTTCCCCATGCCCATGATAGCATGCATGCATGCAGCGAGGCACAGAGCACAGCATGGATGGTCTGGTCTGCTGCATCAGGTGCAGAAGCTCAAAATGACCGAGAGCAGGCCCAGACATCTCCGCAACAGAGTGCTTCATTATAACTCAACTCACGCATGCGTGTCTCTCTGCTTTTTTGTGTGTATCTGCCCATGCTCACGGTGCAGCGAGGCACAGAGCACAGCATGGACGGTCTGCTGCATCAGGTGCAGAAGCTCAAGTTGACCGAGCAGGCTTAGTCTGAGTCATATCCTCTATAGAGTGCTTCATCACAACTCATGCATGTGTCTGTCCCCCATGCCCTGCAAATGCAGCGAGGCACAGAGCACAGCATGGACGGTCTGCTGCATCAGGTGCAGAAGCTCAAGATGACCGAGCAGGCGCAGGCATCTCCTGCATCCCCATTACAGAGTGCTTCACTACAGGCATCTCCGTTAGGCTCAGGCCTTGCTAATGAGGGCAGAGCAACACATGATGGAGAAGGGGCTGCTACACGGTAATTCTGATGTGAAATAATAGATAGTGTGTAGCGATTGGTTGTTAAATTCCCTTCTTAAGTTCACATCTTCCTTGCAAGAACCATGGACAACCTGAGCTTCTTTCTTTCTTCCTTTCTTCTTTCTTTTTCTTTCCATTTCTTGTCCTTTCCGCTGTCTTTCAAGGCCTTAATTTTGCTGATCCTTCTGCCCTTCCTTGCAAATTGTGTGGTCATTGTCCACTGTTCCCGTGAGTTCTCCCTTTCGACACATGCAAGCAACATCACCTAAATCATCGCCCCCCCCTCCCCCCCCCCCCCCCCCCCTCCTCCCTCCTCTTCGTATTGACTTCCTTGTGCTCCTCTTCATTCAAGCTGCCATCATCTGTCGACTCAAGCGTTTCTGCTCGTGCCTTTGACTGTGATTTTTGAGTTGACTCAAACGTTTCTTGTTCGTCCCTACTACATACGCCCCCTTACCAGGTCTGACCCTTCATCATTTCCCACCGTCACACATACTCAAGAAGCGTCGACCGAGGGAGCACCCGTAACATCTAACATAGGAGCAACTGTAGCATCAAATGTAGCGTCAACTGTAGGGTCAACTCTACCATCAGCTGTAGCATCATCTGTAGCAGCAACCAGACGCCTCTCACTCTCACTTTCCTCCTCCTCCCCCGCGCCCTCCCCAGCCTCCTCCACTGTCCGTAGGTCGCTAGATCTGAGTGGTATGAGCCTCAATCCCCACGCTGCAGAGTTCGTCCCTGTCTTTGGCCCTCCTTCCCACGCCAGCAATCTCGCCACTGCATCACAGTCAGAACCAGCGGCAACAGCAGGAGGAGGAGGTGGGGGAGGAGCAGCAGGAGCAGCAAGTGGTGGTGTAGCCGGGTCTGCTGGTGCAACAGCAGCAGCAGCAGGGTATGCTTCTTTTCTGCAGGGCAGCAGTGCAGGAGGGTATGCGTCCTCACTGCAAGCAGGGTACGGCGGCATGAGCAGCGGTTTAGCAGGGTACAACGGCGGGGCAGCAGCAGGCGAAACGTTTGGGGAGTGCGAGGAGGAGTTGAGCCGGTCGCAGTCGCACAACAGCAACGCGTCTGATGATGAGTACCGCCGCTTCTGGCGCGACCGCTTGCCTGATGAACTCCTGAGCTTCGATGAGTCGCCCAAAGGGAGAGGGGCGGGGCGGGACGGAAGGGGCGGGGGAGACGGGAGGGATGTGAGAGATGGGTTTTTGCAGAGAGGGATAGGAATGGAGATGGATGTTGGTGGGGGTGGGGGGGGTGATGGTGGTGGAAACAGCCTGCATCGCCATGCAGCCAGCATGCCTTCTCTAGATGGCAGTCACATGTCCAGTTCTGCTGCTGCTGCCGCTGCTGGTGGTGCTGCTCCCTCTGGTGGCCCAGACAGTTTTGACAGGCAGGGGTATGGGTACTCGTTTCGGCAAGGTGTAGGTCCCCCTGGTGCCCCCCCTGCTGCCCAGTCCATAGGGAATATCCTCGAGGAGGTCAAGTCAGACTCGGCTCTAGACCACATTGCACCGCATCGCACCGCACTCGGTCTCTCCGGACCAGGCCAGCACCACTCCATACCGCATCGCTCGCCTTCTGGCCCTCTTATGGGATCGCCGGCTCAGGGACCTTCCTACGAAGCTTCCTTTGACCCTTCCGCTCCCTATCATGCTCCCCCTCCCTCACACCTTCTCCCTCGAAACGCCCCCAGCCCTGCCTGGCGACCTGCCCCAGGCCCACCTGGGTTTTCACCTGGACCCCCACCTGGGGGACCACCTGGCTCTGTTGGTCCCGTCCCTTCCAGCCCTGTGATTGGCCGCGGAGGAGTACCCCTTTCTCCCATGGGCACACCCAACCGATACCCCCCGTACGGCGGGGTTAACCCTAACCCTAACCACATGAGCCCGCAGCAGAGCCCTGCCAGGGGCCCTCCTCCCTATGCCTCCCCCGGAGGCCCACTCTCTCGCTTTGGTGGTAACCCTGTAACATCAATGTCCTTGCCACCACCTGGCACTGCCTCTCCTCCTCCCCCAATCCATCACCCTTTCAACAGCCCCGCCAGGGGTTATCCCCCTCCCCCAAATGCTGACCCGAGGGCTATGCACCCCCCACCGTTTGAACTCCCCGGTCCTGCCGGGGGAGTGGACATGGGGGGAGGAATGGGGGGAGGAATGGGAGGAGGGATGGGGGGAGGCGGGGGAATGGGGGGACCAGGGGGAGGGGATGGCATGTGGGGGGGAAAAGGCGGGGGGGTGAGAGAGAGAGCAATGTCGATGCCAGTTGGGTGGGGGGGACCGGAGGAAGGGGTGGGTGGCGACGATCGACACGATCCTGTGCGCATACTCGCTACAGAGTTCCCCATGTTCAGTATAAGCACCCTGGCTGAGATCTTCTTCTCGAATGGTGCTGATCTTCCTCGGACCATGGAGATCCTCACCCAGCTGCAGGTGTGCTGTGCGGTTGGCATGGGTTGAAGTTGTTTCAGATGGGGCTTATGTGGTTGGGAGTATGCTCCTGCTGTGTGGTTGGGATGTGTGATGTTTCTACCAGACATCCTTACCTTACCTTCTCTCATCCCAAAAAGATGCAATGCAACCTAACCCTTCTCGCTCTCTCTCCCCATCCTCTTTTTTGTTTCTTTTTCCCCTCACAGCTTCAGGACGAAATGACTCTCCCATCACCAACCCACCGCCGCCCCCCACCCCCCTCCGCGCACCCCCCTTCCCTCGACCCTCTCGACTTCCCGTCTCTCTCCCCTCTAGACCCCCTCCCCGCCTCCTCCTCCCCCATGCTCCGCCCCCTCTCCTCCTCTCAAGCCCGTGACATTCGGCCTATGCAAGGCACTGTCCTGATTTTGCCCTATTCTTTTTCTCTCCCCCCCTCTCTCCCACCCTCCCTCTTTTCTCTCCCCCTCACAGCTTCAGGACGAAATGACTCTCCCATCACCAACCCACCGCCGCCCCCCACCCCCCTCCGCGCACCCCCCTTCCCTCGACCCTCTCGACTTCCCGACTCTCTCCCCTCTAGACCCCCTCCCCGCCTCCTCCTCCCCCATGCTCCGCCCCCTCTCCTCCTCTCAAGCCCGTGACATTCGGCCTATGCAAGGCACTGTCCTGATTTTGCCCTATTCTTTTTCTCTCCCCCCCTCTCTCCCACCCTCCCTCTTTTCTCTCCCCCTCACAGCTTCAGGACGAAATGACTCTCCCATCACCAACCCACCGCCGCCCCCCACCCCCCTCCGCGCACCCCCCTTCCCTCGACCCTCTCGACTTCCCGTCTCTCTCCCCTCTAGACCCCCTCCCCGCCTCCTCCTCCCCCATGCTCCGCCCCCTCTCCTCCTCTCAAGCCCGTGACATTCGGCCTATGCAAGGCACTGTCCTGATTTTGCCCTATTCTTTTTCTCTCCCCCCCTCTCTCCCACCCTCCCTCTTTTCTCTCCCCCTCACAGCTTCAGGACGAAATGACTCTCCCATCACTAACCCACCGCCGCCCCCCACCCCCCTCCGCGCACCCCCCTTCCCTCGACTCCCTCGACTTCCCCTCTCTCTCCCCACTCGACCCCCTCCCCGCCTCCTCCTCCCCCATGCTCCGCCCCCGCCCCTCCTCTCAAGCCCCTGACATTCGTCCCTTGCAAGGCCCTGTTCCGGACTTCGCTGGTGTGCTGCGAAAGCCTTTGCCCCCAGGAGCAGCGACTCAGAACGCGTGGGGGGGTGGGCCGGCGGAGAGAAGCGGGGGAGGGGATGGGGGCATGGGTGGAGCAGGGCGGAGAGGGGGAGGAGGCGGAGGGGGAGGAGGGGGAGGGGGAGGCGGGGGAGGGGGGTATGAGTTTTCAGGGAGAGGAGGGGCACAACCGTGGCTGGAAACTGGCAATGCTGTTGGTGAGCTATGCTTGTATCATTTTTGACAGTTTTCACAAGTGAATGCTGCAATGCTGCAGTGATGTTGCTCTCTTGAATGTGTTTGTGGCTGGCACGTTGTTGCATGAGCATTGATTTGACAAACAACACCACAAAACTGTGTACGCATGTTTACGCTGTCTGTATGCAGCGAACCTGTATGGAGACATGCGGGAGGAGGCACGGGACCATGCGAGAATACGGAATGCGTGTTTTGAGCAGGTCAGTGCTTCTTGCCTTCTTTCGTACACCGTTTCTATCTTATCATTTGCCTTTCTTAGATATAAATACTTTAAAGCTCAAATTTCTTCCAGGCGACACGTCTTGTCTCTTGTGCTGGCCGACACACATGCACGATCCCCAACAGCGTCCTTCCAACGGCCTCCTTCCAGCTAAACAGAATAACCATCTCAACCATCTTTTGAAGCCTTTTCCTCTGCTTTATTACCTGTTTCCTCCTGCAGGCAGCGCAAGTGTACCTGGTGGGCAAGGCAGCCGCCAGGCCATTATCCGAAACATCCCTTATCACTGCCTGTCTTCTTTATTGCCCTCCTTGGCCTTGCAGGCCACACAAGCGTACCTGGCGGGCAACAAGGCGGCAGCCAAGGAGCTGAGTGCTCGAGGCCAGTGGCACAACGAGCAGATGAAGGCAGCTCACGCCAAGGCCAGCGACGCCATTTTCAGAACCCGGTATGGCTTCTTTTTGTTGCTGCTGGTTGTGCTGTGCTGCTTTTGTCGTCGCCGCCGCTGTTGGTTGCTTGCTTGCAAAGGAGTAAATGGGCATGAGGCAGAAGCACAGAAGCCAAGGAGCTGACTATTGAGCCGAGTGCTCGGGGGCAGTGGCACAACAAGCAGATGAAGGCAGCCCATGCCAAGGCCAGAGATGCCATCAAAACTGGGTATGGCTTCTGCTGCTGTTTATGGTGTTGGTTTGTTGCTTGCTTGCAAAGAAGTGTGCAAGTGGACAACATGAGCCAGCAATGCCATCGTCTGCACTCTGTATGGCATGCAATACAGCAATGTCAGTGGTAGATTCTTTTTTAAGCCAACCTATCGTCCCTTTCGTGCCGCCGCTTTCTCTCGGTAAATTGTGAAGTTCAGTTGGTTTCTTCCAGGTTTTCTAAATACCCATGGGCCTGCATAGGCTGCATGTGAGGGAGGCCATACTGCTGATGAAAATATGACAGAGGAAGCATGCCATTAAATTTTTAACATCCAACCAACCCTTCCTCCCTCTCTCCCCTTTTTGCCCACCGTTCCCTCAGGAACGCTGCGTCAGGCTATCTGGGTGGAGGGGCAGGCGAAGGAGGAGAAGCTAGAGTGTTGGACTTACACGGGTTGCATGTGGGGGAGGCGATACCCATGCTGAAACGGGAGATAGCTGCAATGAGGAATGCTGCTCGCTCCACACAACAGAGACAGCAGGTGAGGGACTGGTGCAGGAGTTGTGGATCTTTTAGGCCTTGTAAGCGTGTTGGACCCTAAACCCTGGTCTGGTTGTTGGGCCTGCATGGGCTGCATGTTGGGGAGGCGATACTGCATCCCTCTCCACCACCCCTATCTCTTGTTTCTTAACCCTAATACACCCACAGGTGTACGTGTGTGTGGGCACGGGCCACCACACCAAGGGCGACTCTTGAGGCACCTCAAAGACTCTTGTCCCTCAACCCCCACTCACCCGCAGGTGTACGTGTGTGTGGGCACAGGGCACCACACTAAGGGCCGAGCGCCCCCGCGCCTGCCGCTGGCAGTGGAGCGGTATTTGGTGGAGGAGGAGCGAGTTCAGTTCATGGAAACACAGCCTGGCATGCTGAGGGTGGTGGTGTAACGCTTGGTAACATTGTAACATGTGTGGCAACTCATGGAGACCCAGCCTGGCATGCTAAGAGTGGTGGCGTGATGTGTTGTAGCATGTGTGGTAGCATGTGTGGTAGCATGTGTGATACCAGCATCTGTGGTAACATGGTGAGACACTGGGGGGGGCAGCAGAGTGCGACAGCAGCAGGGTAAGCAGTGGAGAGGTACTGGGTAGGAGAGAGTTTAGTTCATGGAATCACAGCCTGGCATGCGGAGAGTGGTGGTGTGAGGGGCTGTGGTGTTGGTGGGGTACCATTGGTGGTAACAACAAGTGAGACGGCAGCAGTGTGCATCAGCAGGCTAGGCAGGAGGTTTTGGTTTGAGGAGGAACCAGTGAGTTCAGTCAGTTCGTGAAGACCCAGCAGGTTATGGTGAGAGTGCTGGCTGTGAGGTTACTGGTGTAACTGTGTGTTACATACGAGAATATTGTGGGGCAGCAGTCCCATCAATGGCTGACAACACCGATATGGTGGGCTAAATCAACGGCTGACAGCATCATTGGCTGACAGTATCAACGGATGGCAGCAGCAATGATCAACCACATCAACGGCTGACAAGAGCAATGTCAGATGGTCCCATTCTACACGCCTTTTCGGATGGCATTGACACAGCCAATCCAAAGGTGGGCGCCATACGAGTTGTAGTTCACTTAGTTCTTGCATTTTTTAATGTGTTTAGTGTAACATTCTTTTAGACCATATTGTGCTTTCACAATGTAATGCTTTACAATTTTGTAGGCTGACTGTTGTGATAGCATTGATGAGTATGAACTGACTGTTGTGATAGCATTGTATCAGTTTACACATGAACTTTAAGCCATGCATGTGTATGGGCAATGTATGCCCAGAAGTTTTCGATAACGTGGTCCATAACTAAACAATACAATCGCAACGCCACAAACGAAGCATGAATCACCATAGAGCTTGCGTGCCCGCGGAGTCCGGTGACCGCCTTCCCCGAAGTGCCGCGTGTCACAATCGAACGCGTCGATTTTTGCAGGAAGGGCAATCGCGAGAATCCCGAGAAGCACAAGGGCCATTTTCAGGTGCGATCTCTACAGTACAGGAAATGTATTCAGGTGTGATCCCGGCGCATATTTCCAAGTCTCTGTTGCAGACTGTAGACAAGTGCCAGAATCTGCCTTGGAGAGATACGCCACTCAAATCTGTACTCGCTGAGGGAAACTAATGCGAAATAAATGCGCTCACACACTCTTCGTTTACCGACGCTACCAGGAAGTGCTAAGACATGCCCCGAAAAACAAAACTAAAAGCTTTAGTGACCCTGGACCCAATTTTGGGAGATCAACCCTAAACACGGGAACCTCCTGGTGTCTAGGGTTGATGCCTCCGTAAGGTTTTCGTGACAAAAAAATAAAACCCAATCGGAACGGAATCGAATCGGGAGGCATCAACCCTAAACACCAGATGGGTTCCCGTGTTTAGGGTTGATCCCTCCCGAAACTGCTTCCAGGTTCTATAGGTGTTATATTATGTTTTTTTTTCGGGTAGCCTTAACAGCTTCGGGTAGTTTTGTCTGGCCATGTTGTATGTTTGACTTCCGTCAGAATGTGTCAGAGACGAAAAAAAATCCGTCAGCTGAACAAGATGTGAGTGGCGAGTCTGCACATGGAACTGTTGCAGCACGTGTGTACAGTGGTGTAACATATTTGAGATCGCACCTGAAAATGGTCCGAAGCACAACAACCGCGTGGAGTGAAGTCAAAATTTGGGTGCCTCGAAAAGCAACTTGAATTTCCAGTAGCTCCTGGCGAAATTCAAAGACCGTACTCGCAGCTCCTGTCGCGAAATTCATTCCCGCGTCCTGCCCGTACGATGTCCGCCCGCGCCTGCTCTCTCCTCCGCCTCCGCCCCACCTCCGCCACTTCCTCCGCCGCGTGCGCCACCATTTCTGCTCCGCAATGCGCGCGCTCCGTTCCCCCCGTGCTTCTGCGTTCCGAGCTCGGTAGGTCGACCCGCCGCGTTCGACGGACCGCAAGCGCAGCAATTCTGGGAAGCTTCGGAAATTTGAGTCGCATTAGCAGCAGTGACGGCGGTAAGAGAGAATTTGGTGCAGGCAACAGCAGTAGCAGCAGCAGCAGCAGCGGCGGCGGCAGCAGCAGCAGCAGCATCTTCCGCATCTCCCCCATTCCGCGCGTTTCCCCCTCGTCCCGTCCCAATGCGCAACGGGAGGTTGCAACCCCGTTACTGTGCCGGCCGCCTAGCGCGTCGCTCTCCAACGGAACTGGGGAACGCGCGGAACGCGTAGCGGCGGGGGACGTGGTGGGCGGAAAGTACCGCATCGTGCGCCTGCTGGGGGAAGGGTCGAGCGGAAGGCTGTATGAGGCAGAAGTGGTGGCGGAAGGGGGGACGGCGGAAGGGGGAGAGGGGGAACGCGTTGCGGTGAAATGCATTTCGTTGCGGTCTGCTGCGAGATGGAAGGTGGGCTGCTTGTGAATGGACGGTTGAGATGATTGAAGGCGGGTCGCGAGTGGGAATGGACGGTTGAGATGATTGAAGGCGGGTCGCGAGTGGGAATGGACGGTTGAGATGATTGAAGGCGGGTCGCGAGTGGGAATGGACGGTTGAGATGATTGAAGGCGGGTCGCGAGTGGGAATGGACGGTTGAGTTTATGGAAGGTAAATAGCTGGTGAATATAGACAGTTGATTGAGATATTGAAAACTGGCTTGCAACTGAATGGATGGTCGCGATGGTGGGGAGAATCCCCCTAGTATGCCCTCTATACCCATTTGACAACAAGGATGGTTCCTGCCTCTGCTCTTGTTATTCTTCTAAAATTTTCCCTTCTTCCACTCTTGTCCTCTTCACCCTATTTCAGGATTTAGATTTGTTTGAGAGGGAGGCTAGAGTGCTCCGCAGCCTTAACCATCCCGGTATTCCACAATACATTGACTATTTCGAGGTACGCTGATAGAATGTCTGGACATACAGTTTGCTGTCATCACAGAATTTATTTTCTTTTCCTTTTTAACGTTGAAGGCAAAAGTGCGTGATGTTTTTTACTTTTCCTGTTACTTGGTAACCATCCTCGTTTATTGCCTTTGTTATTGTGACAAATGAACAGTCACAACAAGGAGGACCGTGCCACAGCCCTGGCCTCTATCTCCCCACACCCACCCTCGTTATAATCACATCCCGTCGCCATCACAACCAGGAGGACAGCGCAACGAACCGCGCCTTCTTTCTCGTGCAGCGCCTCGCACACGGGCAATCGCTGGCAAGCAGCCTTTCCTCCCCTTCCCATCTCTCCTCTACTCATCCCCAAACCCCTACCAGGAGGACACCGCCACAGATCGCGCCTTCTATCTCGTGCAGCGCCTGGCACATGGGCAGTCGCTGGCCGCTCTAGTGGCTGGCGGGTGGAGGGGAACGGAGGAGGAGGTGGTGCGGATAGGCATAAAGGTGAGATTGGGGCGGTGCGTTGGGAGAGGAGGTCGCATCGGTGTTAATGTGGGCTCACAGTTGATTCCAGAGTCAGGAGAGTGTGAATGTTAACTGTTGAGAATTCTCAAAGGTAAAATCCACATGGAGGAGGTCGCATCGGTGTTGATGTGAGCTCACAGTTGATTACAAAGTCGGGAGAGTGTGAGGTCGGAGAGTCAACTGCCCCTGTGCTGACGGCTCTCCGACCTGATTGGTGTGAGGTCGGAGAGTCAACTGCCCCTGTGCTGACGGCTCTCCGACCTGATTGGTGTGAGGTCGGAGAGTCAACTGCCCCTGTGCTGACGGCTCTCCGACCTGATCGGTGTGAGGTCGGAGAGTCAACTGCCCCTGTGCTGACGGCTCTCCGACCTGATCGGTGTGAGGTCGGAGAGTCAACTGCCCCTGTGCTGACGGCTCTCCGACCTGATCGGTGTGAGGTCGGAGAGTCAACTGCCCCTGTGCTGACGGCTCTCCGACCTGATCGGTGTGAGGTCGGAGAGTCAACTGCCCCTGTGCTGACGGCTCTCCGACCTGATCGGTGTGAGGTCGGAGAGTCAACTGCCCCTGTGCTGACGGCTCTCCGACCTGATTGGTGTGAGGTCGGAGAGTCAACTGCCCCTGTGCTGACGGCTCTCCGACCTGATCGGTGTGAGGTCGGAGAGTCAACTGCCCCTGTGCTGACGGCTCTCCGACCTGATCGGTGTGAGGTCGGAGAGTCAACTGCCCCTGTGCTGACGGCTCTCCGACCTGATCGGTGTGAGGTCGGAGAGTCAACTGCCCCTGTGCTGACGGCTCTCCGACCTGATCGGTGTGAGGTCGGAGAGTCAACTGCCCCTGTGCTGACGGCTCTCCGACCTGATCGGTGTGAGGTCGGAGAGTCAACTGCCCCTGTGCTGACGGCTCTCCGACCTGATCGGTGTGAGGTCGGAGAGTCAACTGCCCCTGTGCTGACGGCTCTCCGACCTGATCGGTGTGAGGTCGGAGAGTCAACTGCCCCTGTGCTGACGGCTCTCCGACCTGATCGGTGTGAGGTCAGAGAGTCAACTGCCCCTGTGCTGACGGCTCTCCGACCTGATCGGTGTGAGGTCGGAGAGTCAACTGCCCCTGTGCTGACGGCTCTCCGACCTGATCGGTGTGAGGTCGGAGAGTCAACTGCCCCTGTGCCGACGGCTCTCCGACCTGATTGGTGTGAGGTCGGAGAGTCAACTGCCCCTGTGCTGACGGCTCTCCGACCTGATCGGTGTGAGGTCGGAGAGTCAACTGCCCCTGTGCTGACGGCTCTCCGACCTGATCGGTGTGAGGTCGGAGAGTCAACTGCCCCTGTGCTGACGGCTCTCCGACCTGATCGGTGTGAGGTCGGAGAGTCAACTGCCCCTGTGCTGACGGCTCTCCGACCTGATCGGTGTGAGGTCGGAGAGTCAACTTCCCCTGTGCTGACGGCTCTCCGACCTGATCGGTGTGAGGTCGGAGAGTCAACTGCCCCTGTGCTGACGGCTCTCCGACCTGATCGGTGTGAGGTCGGAGAGTCAACTGCCCCTGTGCTGACGGCTCTCCGACCTGATCGGTGTGAGGTCGGAGAGTCAACTGCCCCTGTGCTGACGGCTCTCCGACCTGATCGGTGTGAGGTCGGAGAGTCAACTGCCCCTGTGCTGACGGCTCTCCGACCTGATCGGTGTGAGGTCGGAGAGTCAACTGCCCCTGTGCTGACGGCTCTCCGACCTGATCGGTGTGAGGTCGGAGAGTCAACTGCCCCTGTGCTGACGGCTCTCCGACCTGATCGGTGTGAGGTCGGAGAGTCAACTGCCCCTGTGCTGACGGCTCTCCGACCTGATCGGTGTGAGGTCGGAGAGTCAACTGCCCCTGTGCTGACGGCTCTCCGACCTGATCGGTGTGAGGTCGGAGAGTCAACTGCCCCTGTGCTGACGGCTCTCCGACCTGATCGGTGTGAGGTCGGAGAGTCAACTGCCCCTGTGCCGACGGCTCTCCGACCTGATTGGTGTGAGGTCGGAGAGTCAACTGCCCCTGTGCTGACGGCTCTCCGACCTGATCGGTGTGAGGTCGGAGAGTCAACTGCCCCTGTGCTGACGGCTCTCCGACCTGATCGGTGTGAGGTCGGAGAGTCAACTGCCCCTGTGCTGACGGCTCTCCGACCTGATCGGTGTGAGGTCGGAGAGTCAACTGCCCCTGTGCTGACGCATCTCCGACCTGATCGGTGTGAGGTCGGAGAGTCAACTTCCCCTGTGCTGACGGCTCTCCGACCTGATCGGTGTGAGGTCGGAGAGTCAACTGCCCCTGTGCTGACGGCTCTCCGACCTGATCGGTGTGAGGTCGGAGAGTCAACTGCCCCTGTGCTGACGGCTCTCCGACCTGATTGGTGTGAGGTCGGAGAGTCAACTGCCCCTGTGCTGACGGCTCTCCGACCTGATCGGTGTGAGGTCGGAGAGTCAACTGCCCCTGTGCTGACGGCTCTCCGACCTGATCGGTGTGAGGTCGGAGAGTCAACTGCCCCTGTGCTGACGGCTCTCCGACCTGATCGGTGTGAGGTCGGAGAGTCAACTGCCCCTGTGCTGACGGCTCTCCGACCTGATCGGTGTGAGGTCGGAGAGTCAACTGCCCCTGTGCTGACGGCTCTCCGACCTGATTGGTGTGAGGTCGGAGAGTCAACTGCCCCTGTGCTGACGGCTCTCCGACCTGATCGGTGTGAGGTCGGAGAGTCAACTGCCCCTGTGCTGACGGCTCTCCGACCTGATCGGTGTGAGGTCGGAGAGTCAACTGCCCCTGTGCTGACGGCTCTCCGACCTGATCGGTGTGAGGTCGGAGAGTCAACTGCCCCTGTGCTGACGGCTCTCCGACCTGATCGGTGTGAGGTCGGAGAGTCAACTGCCCCTGTGCTGACGGCTCTCCGACCTGATCGGTGTGAGGTCGGAGAGTCAACTGCCCCTGTGCTGACGGCTCTCCGACCTGATCGGTGTGAGGTCGGAGAGTCAACTGCCCCTGTGCTGACGGCTCTCCGACCTGATCGGTGTGAGGTCGGAGAGTCAACTGCCCCTGTGCTGACGGCTCTCCGACCTGATCGGTGTGAGGTCGGAGAGTCAACTGCCCCTGTGCTGACGGCTCTCCGACCTGATCGGTGTGAGGTCGGAGAGTCAACTGCCCCTGTGCTGACGGCTCTCCGACCTGATCGGTGTGAGGTCGGAGAGTCAACTGCCCCTGTGCTGACGGCTCTCCGACCTGATCGGTGTGAGGTCGGAGAGTCAACTGCCCCTGTGCTGACGGCTCTCCGACCTGATTGGTGTGAGGTCGGAGAGTCAACTGCCCCTGTGCTGACGGCTCTCCGACCTGATCGGTGTGAGGTCGGAGAGTCAACTGCCCCTGTGCTGACGGCTCTCCGACCTGATCGGTGTGAGGTCGGAGAGTCAACTGCCCCTGTGCTGACGGCTCTCCGACCTGATCGGTGTGAGGTCGGAGAGTCAACTGCCCCTGTGCTGACGGCTCTCCGACCTGATCGGTGTGAGGTCGGAGAGTCAACTGCCCCTGTGCTGACGGCTCTCCGACCTGATCGGTGTGAGGTCGGAGAGTCAACTGCCCCTGTGCTGACGGCTCTCCGACCTGATCGGTGTGAGGTCGGAGAGTCAACTGCCCCTGTGCTGACGGCTCTCCGACCTGATCGGTGTGAGGTCGGAGAGTCAACTGCCCCTGTGCTGACGGCTCTCCGACCTGATCGGTGTGAGGTCGGAGAGTCAACTGCCCCTGTGCTGACGGCTCTCCGACCTGATCGGTGTGAGGTCGGAGAGTCAACTGCCCCTGTGCTGACAGCTCTCCGACCTGATCGGTGTGAGGTCGGAGAGTCATCAGCACAGGGGCAGTTGCTGGCAGGGCTGGTGGGGGAGGGAGGGGATGTGAGGGGGGGGTGGGGGAGGGGGGGAGGGGGTGGTGCGTTGGGAGAGGAGGTCGCACCGGTGTTGATGTGAGCTCGCAGTTGATTCTAGAGTCAGGAGAGTGTGAGGTCGGAGAGTCATCAGCACAGGCGCAGGTGCTGGCAGGGCTGGTGGGGGAGGGAGGGGATGGGAGGAGGGGGGTGGGGGTTGGAGGCGGTGGTGCATTGGGAGAGGTGGTTAAGAGGGGTGGTGTTGAGTTACGAATGGGTGTGGTGTGGTGGAAGAGAAGGAGGTTCTTTGAGTCAGCGTTCATGTTAGCTCGCAGACGGGACTCAGTGTCACTTGCCTTGGTGGAAAGGGATGGATAGGGGTGGAGAGGGATAAAGAGGAGCCTAGCAGGTCGAGTTCACGTTTGCTGCTGTGCATGCATGACTCTTTACGAGCTGGTTTTTAAGAATTCTGAAAAACTGACTCTTTACTGTTGTCCTCTTCAGCACCTTGTCATCATCTATTCGTTGCCTTACCATCTTTTTTTTTTTTTTTTTGTTTGCGAAGCAACGCTTTACGATCGATTTGGACAGATTTTTTTTTCACATTATATAATTTATTTATAATACAATGTGAAAAAAAAAACTGGGTGCACTAGTTGCTAGCTACATAACGTGTACCATAAGTTTTATCTAATTCAATTACGATGTGATGGTTCTGACCGCACTGCGTCATATTTTTGTATGTTGGATGATTAGTGGTAATTACGTGACTGTTATGAAATGAATATATTATGAATCGTACACATATGATTAAATGAATATAATAATACATGCTTGCTTGAATATAATGATACATGGTCGACTGAATATAATAATGCAAATGATATAAATGCATTATGTGATGATGATAAAAATGCTTCAGTATGCATAATGTTGGATGTTAAAATGCATGCATACCAGTATATGATATAAATGCGTGACAGCTAACGATCCAAAAACTATGCTATCGCATCCCCTGCCTAGCATGGGGGGGAGCTAATAGCATAATCCTTGAACAATCAACAGGTACATGAAACAACACAATCTGTGAACTCTAAAAAGATGGTCAACTCTATCATCTCCAGTTCAAGTGGGCTCCCGACAGGCGCGCCAATGAACCTTCTAATGAAATGACAGACCTGATTCACCTTTTTAAAACTCACAGACATGCATTGTTATTGCAATGATGGATAAATGCATACTCAGATAAGCAAACACATTCACAACAACCAAACGCATGCAAAAAAAAAAAAAAAAAAAAAAAAAAAACAATAAACAAAAAAAGCCGGAAACCCACGATCACACATAAACGATGCAAAACAAATCAAAAATGGTAATATGGTAAATGCTATAAGTGACAACTACAAATTCTCCAGATTAGATTCGTCTCTCTGGTCAGCAAGACTCCTGAGAACAAAAGAAAAGATGAAGAGAAAAGGAAATCATAGAAAACCGTTAAACATGAATAATCAGGATACAAAATTACGGATGAAGAAAAGTAAAGGCAAGGTAGGGTCAACATAAGAGAAAATAGAGCAAATCAAACAAAGTAGAAAACAGAAGCGTAAAATGGAAGCATAAAACGGAAGCAGAACGCGAAAGCAGAAAATGGAAGCGGCAAACTGAAGCAGTAAACATGGAGAGAGAGAGCGAACGACAAAGAGAGAGGAGAGAGAGAGAGAGAGAGAGAGAGAGAGAGAGAGAGAGAGAGAGAGAGAGAGAGAGAGAGAGAGAGAGAGAGAGAGAGAGAGAGAGAGAGAGAGAGAGAGAGAGAGAGGAGAGAAGAGAGAGAGAGAGAAAAGAGAAGGGATGTCAAAGAAATGAAATAAAACATATGAATGAATGGAATGAACCATAATGAACAACATACTAACAACGGTGATTTAGGAAAGCGGAAAAAGACAAACACACACAATACAACAAGTGGTTAAATACGAAACTATGCGAATAAGGTGCGTTCAGAAGATGAACACACACAACAGAATGAAAGAACCAGAGAGAGAGAACAAGATACACACAACAGAATGAAAGAACCAGAGAGAGAGAACAAGATACACACAACAGAATGAGAGAGAGAGAGAGAGAGAGAGACAGAGAGAGAGAGAGAGAGAGAGAGAGAGAGAGAGAGAGAGAGAGAGAGAGAGAGAGAGAGAGAGAGAGAGAGAGAGAGAGAGAGAGAGAGAGAGAGAGAGAGAGAGAGAGAGAGAGAGAGAGAGAGACCATGTATCATTATAATGCAAATGATATATAATGCAAATGTGACAATATCCACGTAGACAAAACGGAATGAAAGAGAGGATGATACAACACTAAGGTAGGATGATACATCATCTTCTGGTTAACATGTACGTCTAGATCTAGTTTAAAAAAACGAAACTCTCAACCATGATGAGTTAAACTAGGACCCACTCTCAACTAGAATGAGCTTAATAATAGAGAGAATAAAGCTTACCTTAATATGAGCTATAGTCTGGGGCGTGAGTAGCGTGAGTGACGTGAGGGACGGGAGAAGGTAGAGTAATCTGAGTTGGTGGAAGAGAAACGAAGCAAAAGGAATTTGACGAAACCCTAGGATGGGACCTTTTCGGTTGCGTTATAGGACTAGTAAAATTGACAGCGGATTTTAGACAGCGTGTTTAGCACAGTGCTATCGAAGTGGCGTTTCGTCGCGAAGGTCGGGGGTTCGAATCTAGTGGTGCGCATTGTTTCTGAAAAACGTATTCTTGATCCGTTTTGTACTTGTGTTGTTTCAGATTTCCAGTCACCATAAAACCAAATAATCTGTACAGAATAAGAATAACATAAAGATTCTTCTTAACATTCAGAATCTATATCCAAAACGACCACACCCATTTATTTATGTAACCCTAAATTATATGTCAAATGTATATGTAAATAGCAGTAATTCATCAAATATCAAAGTCATGTTACGATATTATATAATTCTCATTATAGGTCAAGTGCATCTAAAAATTACAGTGTAATGTTGCTTCGCAACCCTAAGACGATTTCGTCGCCTCTTGTTTTTTTTTTTTTTTCTTTCCTCTTTCCCTTTTTTTGCATACATGCGCAATCCACACCACATCACACCACACCACACCACACCACACCACACCACACCATACACCGTAACCAGGTCTTGGAAGTCTTATCGTATTTGGAGTCGCTTCGGCCTCCTGTGGTGCATAGAGACATCAAGGCATGTGCTGCTATTCTTTTCTTTCTTTCTTTCTTTCTTTCTTTCTTTCTTTCTTTCTTTCTTTCTTTCTTTCTTTCTTTCTTTCTTTCTTTCTTTCTTTTTCGTTCGTTTTTCCTTCTGTATGTTTCGTATCTCATTTGTTCTTTTCTTCTTGTAACAAGTGATTTCTAAGTGTAGAATCAAGGGCCCTTCGTCCCTTGACGAACCATGTGTCTAAAAAATGTTTCCATGAAGCACGTCACCCGTTCACATGTGCCTGCTTGCTCATATCAAGCTCCGTACTATCCCACTCCCCTCTCCCCAAACCCCTCCTCTTTCCCCTCCCCCTCCCCCTTCCCCTTCCCCTCCCTCCCGCTCCCACCCCCCCCCCCCCCCCCCCCCCCCCCCCTCCCCTTCCCTCCCTCCCCCTCCCTATCCTGTTCTTTTGCCTTGCAGCCTGACAATATAATTCTGGACCAATCACGCGGCACGGTTCAGGTGGTTGACTTTGGTGCGGTGCAGGAGGCATCTGCATCAGCGCGGAGTGATGCTCCTATCGGCAGCACAGTTGTTGGTACGGTGCGTTGCGATGGGACTATAGCGAATAGTGATTATACTGAGTTGGGACTGTAGTGAGTACTGTACTGAGCAGGAGGCATCTGCGAAGGCCAGGAGTGATGCTTCTATCGGCAGCACAGTTGTTGGTATGGTGCGTTGGAACTATACAGAGTTGTGACTATAGCGAGTTGTGATTTTAGTGAGTACAGTGCAGGAGGCATCTGCGAAGGCCAGGAGTGATGCTCCTATTGGCAGCACAGTCGTTGGTACGGAGCGTCGAGATGGGACAGAAGTGAATAGTGACTGTTACAAGTAGTGACTGTCGCAAGTACGGTGCCGGACGCATTTGCATCTTCAAAGAGTGATGCTCCTCTTGGCAGCACAGTTGTTGGTACGGTGCATTTTCAGTCAACCCTCCACCCCCCTCGTGTGTTTTGAGTCGACCCAAAACACACGTGCATTTTCAGTCAAACCTCCACCCCCCTCGTGTGTTTTGAGTCGACCCAAAACACACGTGCATTTTCAGTCAACCCTCCACCCCCCTCGTGTGTTTTGAGTCGACCCAAAACACACGTGCATTTTCAGTCAACCCTCCACCCCCCTCGTGTGTTTTGAGTCGACCCAAAACACACGTGCATTTCAGTCAACCCTCCACCCCCCTCGTGTGTTTTGAGTCGACCCAAAACACACGTGCATTTTCAGTCAACACTCCACCCCCCTCGTGTGTTTTGAGTCGACCCAAAACACACGTGCATTTTCAGTCAACCCTCCACCCCCCTCGTGTGTTTTGAGTCGACCCAAAACACACGTGCATTTTCAGTCAAACCTCCACCCCCCTCGTGTGTTTTGAGTCGACCCAAAACACACGTGCATTTTCAGTCAAACCTCCACCCCCCTCGTGTGTTTTGAGTCGACCCAAAACACACGTGCATTTTCAGTCAACCCTCCACCCCCCTCGTGTGTTTTGAGTCGACCCAAAACACACGTGCATTTTCAGTCAACCCTCCACCCCCCTCGTGTGTTTTGAGTCGACCCAAAACACACGTGCATTTTCAGTCAACCCTCCACCCCCCTCGTGTGTTTTGAGTCGACCCAAAACACACGTGCATTTTCAGTCAACCCTCCACCCCCCTCGTGTGTTTTGAGTCGACCCAAAACACACGTGCATTTTCAGTCAACCCTCCACCCCCCTCGTGTGTTTTGAGTCGACCCAAAACACACGTGCATTTTCAGTCAACCCTCCACCCCCCTCGTGTGTTTTGAGTCGACCCAAAACACACGTGCATTTTCAGTCAACCCTCCACCCCCCTCGTGTGTTTTGAGTCGACCCAAAACACACGTACGGCTACATGGCACCAGAGCAGTTTCAGGACCAGGCCACCTCACAGTCCAATCTCTCAACTCACACCCATAAAGTAGCCTCACTTCCCACCCAAATTCATCCATCCTAACCCCCCCCCCTTCCCCCTACCTCTTGCTGTTTTCCACCCCCTCTCCCCCCTTGGTTGCATTGCACCAACAACCTTTATCACCCTCCCTCCCCCTCCCTCTCCCCCCACCATCCAATACGGCTACATGGCACCGGAGCAGTTTCAGAACCGCGCCACCTCACAGTCGGACCTGGACTTACTCCCTTGCTGTTTTCCACCCCCTCTCCCCCCTTGGTTGCATTGCACCAACAACCTTTATCACCCTCCCTCCCCCTCCCTCTCCCCCCACCATCCAGTACGGCTACATGGCACCGGAGCAGTTTCAGAACCGCGCCACCTCACAGTCGGACCTGGACTTACTCCCTTGCTGTTTTCCACCCCCTCTCCCCCCTTGGTTGCATTGCACCAACAACCTTTATCACCCTCCCTCCCCCTCCCTCTCCCCCCACCATCCAGTACGGCTACATGGCACCGGAGCAGTTTCAGAACCGGGCCACCTCACAGTCGGACCTGGACTTACTCCCTTGCTGTTTTCCACCCCCTCTCCCCCCTTGGTTGCATTGCACCAACAACCTTTATCACCCTCCCTCCCCCTCCCTCTCCCCCCACCATCCAGTACGGCTACATGGCACCGGAGCAGTTTCAGAACCGGGCCACCTCACAGTCGGACCTGGACTTACTCCCTTGCTGTTTTCCACCCCCTCTCCCCCCTTGGTTGCATTGCACCAACAACCTTTATCACCCTCCCTCCCCCTCCCTCTCCCCCCACCATCCAGTACGGCTACATGGCACCGGAGCAGTTTCAGAACCGCGCCACCTCACAGTCGGACCTGGACTTACTCCCTTGCTGTTTTCCACCCCCTCTCCCCCCTTGGTTGCATTGCACCAACAACCTTTATCACCCTCCCTCCCCCTCCCTCTCCCCCCACCATCCAGTACGGCTACATGGCACCGGAGCAGTTTCAGAACCGGGCCACCTCACAGTCGGACCTCTACTCGCTGGGAGCCACGCTACTCTTCCTGCTCTCTGGCCGACCGCCCTCCGCCTTCCCCCAGGTATTGCGGGAGATGTTTGAGGACGCAAAAGGCTAGGAAAAAACATTGTTGAGGGTTCACAGTCGGACCTCTACTCGCTGGGAGCAACGCTCCTCTTCCTGCTCTCCGGCTGCCCGCTGGGAGTGGCTGAGGTGAAACAGCACGGCAAGGAAAGAAAGCAGAATGGAAACAGGAAGAAGAGCAGGTGCCAGAGGAAAGGTGTTCTCCGACACCGCCCTCCGCCTTCCTCCAGGTATCGTGAGAGATTTTTCAAGATCCATGGCAAAAAGTTGAGGTCAAGAAGCTCGTGAGAACTCAACTTTATTTCTCTTCGTTTTCCATTCCTTTTGTCAACTTCAACCTCTGCTAGCCATATATGCGTCTGCCTCTTTCTCCCCCCACGTGACAATCCAATTCCTTCTTCCCCTCTTTATCCATCCCCTTTTATCTCCCCGTATACCCCTTTAGCCATCCATTTCCTTCCTCCCTTCTTTATCCACCCCTATCCCCCTCTACCCGTTTGTTTTCCCTTGTACCCCTCTGTTTCCCATCTGAACCACCACCAGGCTCGCCTCAAGTTTGACCTCCAGTCGTCGCTAGGTGCCTCCATCTCCCCCAAGTTAGCCACTCTTCCTCCCCCTCCCCCTCTGTCTCATCCACTCCCCCACTCTCCCTCTCTATTCTTCCATCCCTCACTCCTCCCAGGCTCGCCTCAAGGTTGACTTCCAGTCGTCACTTGGTTCTACCATCTACCCCCACGCAGTAGCCCAATTTCACCCCCTCGTCCCCATCTACCCCTTCATATCCCCTTCCATCCCTCTGTTTTCCCTCTGAACCTCCACCAGGCTCGCCTCAAGGTTGACTTCCAGTCGTCTCTTGGTTCTACCATCTACCCCCGCATATCTTTCCAACCCGTCCCTCTTCTCTCTATCCGCCTTCATCTCCTCCTCTACCCCTCTGTTTGCCGTTGTACCCCTCTGTTTCCCATCTGAACCACTGGCAGGCTCGCCTCAAGATTGACTTCCAGTCGTCTCTTGGTGCATCCATCTCCCCTCGGCTAGCCACGGTGCTTGACTGCTTACTCATGCCAGCAGCAGAGGATAGATTCAAGGTGAGTGACTTGGGTTGATTTGAGAGTTGACTGGAACTGACTTGAGTTGAAATTGATTCCTCCTAAGCTCATCTCCCCCCGGCTAGCCACTGTGCTTGATTGCCCGCTCATGCCAGCAGCAGAAGAGAGGTTGAAGGTTAATAATCTGGGTTGACTTGAGTTGACATTTGACTGACTTTGCAGTAGCTGCGGGATGAGGGAAGGGACATGTTCATTTCGCATATTCAATGCTTTCTCCCCTCCTTCCCGCTTCCTGGTCATCCCCTTCCCTGAAGGCTGCTAATGTTTTTGAGAATACAAAACAAACGAAGGCTGCTCGAGGCATGATCAAGGTCCTGACATGTGATGATTCCTTCTTCCACCGCTACCTCTCACACCACCACTACCAGGTGTAAAAAGTGAAGACGTGAAGACATGTTATTGAGACGGCTCAACAATTCACCGCTACCTCCCACACCGCCACCACCAGCAACATCACCAACCAAAAACATCTCCAACCATCAGTTTCCCTCCCTCCCTGTGCCATCCCCTTCCCCACCGACGGCGCGAGACGTGATCAACGCACTGACCTGCAACGAATCTTCCCTCCATGGATAGCTCCGCCCCCCCCACTTGCTCTGCCTGCAACAGTCATCTAACTCTCCCCCCTCTACCCCCACCCTCTTCCCCCGCCCCATTCCCCCGCCCTCTTCCCCCGCCCCCTTCCCCCGCTCTCTTCCCCCACCCCCTTCCCCCGCTCTCTTCCCCCACCCCCTTCCCCCGCTCTCTTCCCCCACCCCCTTCCCCCGCCCCCTTCCCCGCCCCCATCCCCGCCCTCTTCCCCGCCCCCACAGATTGCTCGAGACGTGATTAACGCCCTGACGTGCAACGACTCCTCTCTCCACCACTACCTCCCCCACCACCACCAGCAGAAGTGCCAGCAACAACCACCATCAACTCCCCCTCCTTTCCCCCGTGTCATCCCCTTCCCCACAGTCTGCGCGAGATGTGATCAATGCACTGACATGCAACGAATCCTCTCTCCACCACTACCTCCCACACCACCGCCACCACCAACAACAACAACAGCCATCCGCCTCCTCCCGCACCACCCTGTCCACTGCTGGCATGGGCGGGTCTCTCTTCAGGAAAACCAAAGGTCTCTCTCCCCCACCCCCTTTCTTTCATCCCCTTTCTGCAGACGGCTCAAGACGTGATCAATGCACTGACCTGCGAGGATTCCTCTCTCCACCACTACCTCCCCCACCACCACCACCACCAGCAGCAACAACAACAGCCATCTATTTACCCCCCCACCTCCCTAAGCACTGCTGGCATGGGCGGGTCTCTCTTCAGGAAGCCCAAGGCCTTTTCATCCCGTGTCCACCTCCCTCCCTCCCTGTGCCATCCCCTTCCCCACAGACGGCTCAAGACGTCATCAACGCACTGACCTGCGACGAATCCTCCCTCCACCGCTACCTCCCACACCACCACCAGCAGCAACAACAACAACCATCCGCATACTCCCCCACTTCTTTAAGCACTGCTGGCATGGGCGGGTCACTCTTCAGGAAGCCCAAAGCCGCCTCCTCCTCCCCTCCTTCCACCGTGACACGGCCCTCCTCCATTGCTCCCCTGCAAACTCTCCCTGTAGCGTTCCAATCCCCGGGGGCGCTTGTCACCCGCCCAGCTGGAACGCAAGTGGTGAGTGAGGGTTCTGTCTTGCTGGCATTCTGATTGTCTGAAAGCCTCGTCTCTGTTGCTCCCCTACAATCTCTGCCTGTAGCGTTCCAATCCCCGGGGCGCTTCTCACCCGCCCAGCTGGAACGCAAGTGGTGAGTGAGAGTCTTCTTTTCCATTTTCACCCCATCGTTCCTATTTCCATGCTTTTCTGTTTGAGTGGAACCAAAAGCCACTTCTCTGGCGCCCGCCTGCAAACTCTGCCTGTCGCGTTCCAAGCCCCAAGGGCTCTTATCACCAGCCCTGCTGGAACCCAAGTGGTGAGAGGGTCGCGATTTGTCGTACTTTAGATTTCCCGTTTGCCAAATGAGTTTCTGATTGCTGCTTTACAAATGGCTTTACATAGCTCTGGGATAGGAATTCACCATGTCGGCCTCTTTTATCTGTGTGTGTGCATGCATCTGTGTATATGCATATCGCTGTGTGTGTGCGTAAATGCGAGAGTGAGCAGGTACTGGAGAGGACAGAAGGAGGCAGAGTCCTGGTGGTGCACATCCCCCCTGCGGGCTTGACAAGGGAGGCGATGGGCACAGGCGGATTTGCCATCGTAAGTTCCCATCACATCCCCTCACGTCACGTCACGTCACGTCACGTCACGTCACGTCACGTCACGTCACGGCACGGCACGGCACGGCACGGCACGGCACGGCACGGCACGGCACGGCACGGCACGGCACGGCACGGCACGGCACGGCACGTCACGTCACATCACATCAAATCACAGCACAGCACACATTGCATTTCACTCCTTTGCTACCTCCACCACAGTTCCGGTGGTGCACATCCCCCCTGCGGGCTTGACAAGGGAGGCAATGGTCACAGGCGGATTTGCCATTGTAAGTTCCCAGATGATGGTTGTAGGCCGTTTGCTCTTGGGATTTCACTCAGGCATTTTGCACTGCGGTTGTTTTCCTCCTGACACTTCCTTCAGACTCTTTTGCTCCTGCCAGACTACTCAAACGGGGTGCGTTTGATGCTTTACTCGGAAAGGTTCTGCGAAAGAAACTTGATTTGAGTGTTGAGTGTCTTTCCTTCTCTCAAGAATCAAGCACTCGTCTCTCCACCTCTCCTATCTCGCCCCTCTCCTGTCATCTGCAGGCACGGAATGCCTTCATTGCTTTTTGGACCGCCACAGCCCTCACAAGGGGGAACCACCACTTCTCTTCCATCTCTTCATGTGTCCATACGCCCTCCTTTCTTCGTGTGACTGCATCCCTCCATCTCCCCTCTCCTCCCCCCATCTCCTGTCAGGCATGGAACGCTTTCATTGCCTTTTGGACCGCCACAGCCCTCACAGGAGGCGCGCCGCTTCTCTTCACGGCGTTTTCAATCCCATTCTGGCTCGTGGGTGGCGAGTGAGTTGCCTCTCCCTCTCCTGCGCCTACCACTCGTGACATCATCTTGTAACCTCCTCTCCTCATCTCTTCTCTTCACGGCGTTTTCAATCCCATTCTGGCTCGTGGGTGGCGAGTGAGTTGCCTCTCCCTCTCCTGCGCCTACCACTCGTGACATCATCTTGTAACCTCCTCTCCTCATCTCTTCTCTTCACGGCGTTTTCAATCCCATTCTGGCTCGTGGGTGGCGAGTGAGTTGCCTCTCCCTCTCCTGCGCCTACCACTCGTGACATCATCTTGTAACCTCCTCTCCTCATCTCTTCTCTTCACGGCGTTTTCAATCCCATTCTGGCTCGTGGGTGGCGAGTGAGTTGCCTCTCCCTCTCCTGCGCCTACCACTCGTGACATCATCTTGTAACCTCCTCTCCTCATCTCTTCTCTTCACGGCGTTTTCAATCCCATTCTGGCTCGTGGGTGGCGAGTGAGTTGCCTCTCCCTCTCCTGCGCCTACCACTCGTGACATCATCTTGTAACCTCCTCTCCTCATCTCTTCTCTTCACGGCGTTTTCAATCCCATTCTGGCTCGTGGGTGGCGAGTGAGTTGCCTCTCCCTCTCCTGCGCCTACCACTCGTGACATCATCTTGTAACCTCCTCTCCTCATCTCTTCTCTTCACGGCGTTTTCAATCCCATTCTGGCTCGTGGGTGGCGAGTGAGTTGCCTCTCCCTCTCCTGCGCCTACCACTCGTGACATCATCTTGTAACCTCCTCTCCTCATCTCTTCTCTTCACGGCGTTTTCAATCCCATTCTGGCTCGTGGGTGGCGAGTGAGTTGCCTCTCCCTCTCCTGCGCCTACCACTCGTGACATCATCTTGTAACCTCCTCTCCTCATCTCTTCTCTTCACGGCGTTTTCAATCCCATTCTGGCTCGTGGGTGGCGAGTGAGTTGCCTCTCCCTCTCCTGCGCCTACCACTCGTGACATCATCTTGTAACCTCCTCTCCTCATCTCTTCTCTTCACGGCGTTTTCAATCCCATTCTGGCTCGTGGGTGGCGAGTGAGTTGCCTCTCCCTCTCCTGCGCCTACCACTCGTGACATCATCTTGTAACCTCCTCTCCTCATCTCTTCTCTTCACGGCGTTTTCAATCCCATTCTGGCTCGTGGGTGGCGAGTGAGTTGCCTCTCCCTCTCCTGCGCCTACCACTCGTGACATCATCTTGTAACCTCCTCTCCTCATCTCTTCTCTTCACGGCGTTTTCAATCCCATTCTGGCTCGTGGGTGGCGAGTGAGTTGCCTCTCCCTCTCCTGCGCCTACCACTCGTGACATCATCTTGTAACCTCCTCTCCTCATCTCTTCTCTTCACGGCGTTTTCAATCCCATTCTGGCTCGTGGGTGGCGAGTGAGTTGCCTCTCCCTCTCCTGCGCCTACCACTCGTGACATCATCTTGTAACCTCCTCTCCTCATCTCTTCTCTTCACGGCGTTTTCAATCCCATTCTGGCTCGTGGGTGGCGAGTGAGTTGCCTCTCCCTCTCCTGCGCCTACCACTCGTGACATCATCTTGTAACCTCCTCTCCTCATCTCTTCTCTTCACGGCGTTTTCAATCCCATTCTGGCTCGTGGGTGGCGAGTGAGTTGCCTCTCCCTCTCCTGCGCCTACCACTCGTGACATCATCTTGTAACCTCCTCTCCTCATCTCTTCTCTTCACGGCGTTTTCAATCCCATTCTGGCTCGTGGGTGGCGAGTGAGTTGCCTCTCCCTCTCCTGCGCCTACCACTCGTGACATCATCTTGTAACCTCCTCTCCTCATCTCTTCTCTTCACGGCGTTTTCAATCCCATTCTGGCTCGTGGGTGGCGAGTGAGTTGCCTCTCCCTCTCCTGCGCCTACCACTCGTGACATCATCTTGTAACCTCCTCTCCTCATCTCTTCTCTTCACGGCGTTTTCAATCCCATTCTGGCTCGTGGGTGGCGAGTGAGTTGCCTCTCCCTCTCCTGCGCCTACCACTCGTGACATCATCTTGTAACCTCCTCTCCTCATCTCTTCTCTTCACGGCGTTTTCAATCCCATTCTGGCTCGTGGGTGGCGAGTGAGTTGCCTCTCCCTCTCCTGCGCCTACCACTCGTGACATCATCTTGTAACCTCCTCTCCTCATCTCTTCTCTTCACGGCGTTTTCAATCCCATTCTGGCTCGTGGGTGGCGAGTGAGTTGCCTCTCCCTCTCCTGCGCCTACCACTCGTGACATCATCTTGTAACCTCCTCTCCTCATCTCTTCTCTTCACGGCGTTTTCAATCCCATTCTGGCTCGTGGGTGGCGAGTGAGTTGCCTCTCCCTCTCCTGCGCCTACCACTCGTGACATCATCTTGTAACCTCCTCTCCTCATCTCTTCTCTTCACGGCGTTTTCAATCCCATTCTGGCTCGTGGGTGGCGAGTGAGTTGCCTCTCCCTCTCCTGCGCCTACCACTCGTGACATCATCTTGTAACCTCCTCTCCTCATCTCTTCTCTTCACGGCGTTTTCAATCCCATTCTGGCTCGTGGGTGGCGAGTGAGTTGCCTCTCCCTCTCCTGCGCCTACCACTCGTGACATCATCTTGTAACCTCCTCTCCTCATCTCTTCTCTTCACGGCGTTTTCAATCCCATTCTGGCTCGTGGGTGGCGAGTGAGTTGCCTCTCCCTCTCCTGCGCCTACCACTCGTGACATCATCTTGTAACCTCCTCTCCTCATCTCTTCTCTTCACGGCGTTTTCAATCCCATTCTGGCTCGTGGGTGGCGAGTGAGTTGCCTCTCCCTCTCCTGCGCCTACCACTCGTGACATCATCTTGTAACCTCCTCTCCTCATCTCTTCTCTTCACGGCGTTTTCAATCCCATTCTGGCTCGTGGGTGGCGAGTGAGTTGCCTCTCCCTCTCCTGCGCCTACCACTCGTGACATCATCTTGTAACCTCCTCTCCTCATCTCTTCTCTTCACGGCGTTTTCAATCCCATTCTGGCTCGTGGGTGGCGAGTGAGTTGCCTCTCCCTCTCCTGCGCCTACCACTCGTGACATCATCTTGTAACCTCCTCTCCTCATCTCTTCTCTTCACGGCGTTTTCAATCCCATTCTGGCTCGTGGGTGGCGAGTGAGTTGCCTCTCCCTCTCCTGCGCCTACCACTCGTGACATCATCTTGTAACCTCCTCTCCTCATCTCTTCTCTTCACGGCGTTTTCAATCCCATTCTGGCTCGTGGGTGGCGAGTGAGTTGCCTCTCCCTCTCCTGCGCCTACCACTCGTGACATCATCTTGTAACCTCCTCTCCTCATCTCTTCTCTTCACGGCGTTTTCAATCCCATTCTGGCTCGTGGGTGGCGAGTGAGTTGCCTCTCCCTCTCCTGCGCCTACCACTCGTGACATCATCTTGTAACCTCCTCTCCTCATCTCTTCTCTTCACGGCGTTTTCAATCCCATTCTGGCTCGTGGGTGGCGAGTGAGTTGCCTCTCCCTCTCCTGCGCCTACCACTCGTGACATCATCTTGTAACCTCCTCTCCTCATCTCTTCTCTTCACGGCGTTTTCAATCCCATTCTGGCTCGTGGGTGGCGAGTGAGTTGCCTCTCCCTCTCCTGCGCCTACCACTCGTGACATCATCTTGTAACCTCCTCTCCTCATCTCTTCTCTTCACGGCGTTTTCAATCCCATTCTGGCTCGTGGGTGGCGAGTGAGTTGCCTCTCCCTCTCCTGCGCCTACCACTCGTGACATCATCTTGTAACCTCCTCTCCTCATCTCTTCTCTTCACGGCGTTTTCAATCCCATTCTGGCTCGTGGGTGGCGAGTGAGTTGCCTCTCCCTCTCCTGCGCCTACCACTCGTGACATCATCTTGTAACCTCCTCTCCTCATCTCTTCTCTTCACGGCGTTTTCAATCCCATTCTGGCTCGTGGGTGGCGAGTGAGTTGCCTCTCCCTCTCCTGCGCCTACCACTCGTGACATCATCTTGTAACCTCCTCTCCTCATCTCTTCTCTTCACGGCGTTTTCAATCCCATTCTGGCTCGTGGGTGGCGAGTGAGTTGCCTCTCCCTCTCCTGCGCCTACCACTCGTGACATCATCTTGTAACCTCCTCTCCTCATCTCTTCTCTTCACGGCGTTTTCAATCCCATTCTGGCTCGTGGGTGGCGAGTGAGTTGCCTCTCCCTCTCCTGCGCCTACCACTCGTGACATCATCTTGTAACCTCCTCTCCTCATCTCTTCTCTTCACGGCGTTTTCAATCCCATTCTGGCTCGTGGGTGGCGAGTGAGTTGCCTCTCCCTCTCCTGCGCCTACCACTCGTGACATCATCTTGTAACCTCCTCTCCTCATCTCTTCTCTTCACGGCGTTTTCAATCCCATTCTGGCTCGTGGGTGGCGAGTGAGTTGCCTCTCCCTCTCCTGCGCCTACCACTCGTGACATCATCTTGTAACCTCCTCTCCTCATCTCTTCTCTTCACGGCGTTTTCAATCCCATTCTGGCTCGTGGGTGGCGAGTGAGTTGCCTCTCCCTCTCCTGCGCCTACCACTCGTGACATCATCTTGTAACCTCCTCTCCTCATCTCTTCTCTTCACGGCGTTTTCAATCCCATTCTGGCTCGTGGGTGGCGAGTGAGTTGCCTCTCCCTCTCCTGCGCCTACCACTCGTGACATCATCTTGTAACCTCCTCTCCTCATCTCTTCTCTTCACGGCGTTTTCAATCCCATTCTGGCTCGTGGGTGGCGAGTGAGTTGCCTCTCCCTCTCCTGCGCCTACCACTCGTGACATCATCTTGTAACCTCCTCTCCTCATCTCTTCTCTTCACGGCGTTTTCAATCCCATTCTGGCTCGTGGGTGGCGAGTGAGTTGCCTCTCCCTCTCCTGCGCCTACCACTCGTGACATCATCTTGTAACCTCCTCTCCTCATCTCTTCTCTTCACGGCGTTTTCAATCCCATTCTGGCTCGTGGGTGGCGAGTGAGTTGCCTCTCCCTCTCCTGCGCCTACCACTCGTGACATCATCTTGTAACCTCCTC